ACTTCAGAGTCGTTGCCGCCTGTTGTGCAGTGTTCAATCATCGTGATTGAAGCAACATTCGCTCTCATGCAAGACCATTAGACCTGGCGCGTTCTTGAATAAGTAAACGAATAACACTCCCCCCGCTTTCAATCAGGCTATTTCTGGCCTCCGAACGACAGGTCATCGTGCAAGCCTTTGTAAGAAGCGAATAATGTGTTAGGATCGCGTGCCGAAGCTCTTTGTTTCGTCAATCGCCTCTGACGTTTGGTGGGCTAGGACACGCGTATAATTTCGGCATCGATTCGATTTGTGACCGGTGTCCCTCGACACGCCCGGTCGCCGCCTCCGCCGTCAATGGATGGAGGAACACTGGAAGGCGGTATAAAGCAGAACTCCGTTCACTTCGAAGCTGCCAGTGCAGCGGAACCTACGCACTCTTTGGGCCAGTGATACGTCGATCTTTCGCCAGGTGATCCCGCTCCTGCCCGCACCCAGGCGCGAAGAGCGGTGTCATGCGATGAAATGGAGGCGGCCGATTGGTCCGGCGATTCCCACTGCACTGTCAGCTCAGGGGTCGAATGGAGTGGAATGGTTGACGTTCGGCTTTGGCGTCGCGTCGGTCGTCGCCTTGGCAACGGGGCGTCCGGCCCACCCCCCGGTCTCGTAGCGGGACGGCCGAATCGATGTGTGGGGTGCGGGCCGCGACCCGCGGGGCATGCACAGCAGGCTGCTGCCCCTTTGCTGCTCCAACGTGGCGGTCGAGGAATCTCTGCTCAGGATCCCGCCGTCGAGGGAGTGCAGTTCTGGCTCGCCGTCGGGAGCGTCCTCGGACGCCGAAGGTGGGCTCCAACTCCGTCACGAGAGGAGAACTTGACATAACTCCCAAGAAGTTCGAGTTCCCCTTTTTTGTGTCCCCTCGTCCCCGGGCTTTGTTTTCAGTATACGATTTCTCACCGGCACGTCTGCGCAATCACTCCTATTTCTTCTCAAAGAAGCGGTCAAAGCAACGCTGCGGTTTGTGCAGCGTAGAGCCACAGTCGCACTGCTCGTACATGATACAAAAGACGCCATGTTCGCTGCGGGCACGATGACGGAAGTATATGCGATGATGCGGACAAAGCATCTTCGAAGCATCTTTGCTCCAATCACATGTATGCAGACAGTTTTTGTACGACTAATGTGTCGGGACTGTCATACGAGGAAGGAACACGCCTCTAACAGTGTCTTTAGACTCTTTTGTATAATGTGTCAGCAGTATAGTATAGTGTATTAACCTCTTCGAGGTATGGCATATATCAGGGGTGGCCAGGCTGACCCGGCCGAAGAGCCGCGAACAAAACTACGAAACTTCCAAAAGCCACATGGAAAGGAAAAGGCAAAAAAAAAAAAAAAAAAGTGGGGGGGGGGGGGGGGGGGGGGGCAAACTTTTCTTCTGAGCAATAAAGGAAACTCGAACTACTTTCAATATATCCGAGTCAAAAGCAGTCCAACTGTACGTAAGGTAGCGGTAGCACAAGTCTACCAAACCGCAACCTGTCTTTCGATTTAAAACGCGTTCCCTTTTCCTTTTTGGGGAAGTGCTCGTGTGATCTAAGGCTACAGTGTTCTAGAACACTGTACTAAGGCCTATCTAGTGACTTTAGTGTGACCGGGAGAGAGGCGGGGGGGGGGGGGGGGGGGGGATTTGTGAGGGGGGCCGCGTGCCGCACTTTAACACGCGAAGAGCCGGATGCGGCTCGCGAGCCGCAGCTTGGCCACCCTTGGCATATATAGTGCCAGGCACCATGGTACCATGGGGACTCCGCGAAATTTAGCCAGTGCAGCACGTCTGCTAGCCTGGGGTCTTTGACGTGTACCAGGCAATAGTGATAGTGATACACGAGTCGGGGTCGGGACGGTCGGGATCGGGTCGGGGTCGAATCCATCATCCCTGGGTTCTGCAGCGCGAGCTTTCGCTCCACTGAGGGACTGTAGTGTGCTACTGCTTGCTGCTAACACCCTCGGCCACCAATCCACCTTAGCAGCAGTGGGACGTCCGTTATGTTACGTGCGTGTGAGAATATCGGCAAAAACTCTCTTGGAACCCGTTTGCCACTCGTCGCATTATGTACCCAAGTGCGCAACGAGGCTAGCCGCCTCGGTGACTCCGAGACGAAGCACCGCGGTCTACGGATCCCTGTAGGTGGCGGGGGTGGCAAGTTCGAATCCCGGACGAGGTGCCCGCAATACGACGGAGGCTTCGGTTAAATGCACGTCGGAAGACCCCCGGTGGTGGAAAGGAATCCTCGGTCCACCGCCGGGACGTGCCTGATGGCATTTATTGGTTTGGCACGTAAAGCCCTCAAGATTTATCTGATTCGAAACGAGGCTGTCGGTCGTCTATCGGCTTCGCTCGACATGTTTTAGCACTCGAGTGAAACGTAACCTAGTCGTCCAAAGCGGCTACTCGGCGTCGACTTCTTCGTGTTAGTTTTCAAGGCGTGGTCTGCGCAGTGCTCCAGCCCCGCGCTGAAGCATCTCTGCGGGAGCCCCAGTGGCATCTGCTCGCGTCCCAAGAGCGCGGACTGGTTCGCTGATTGCAAAAGGAAGGCTCGTGCACCTTTCCACGCTGCTTTGTCTGCAGCAGTGGGCGCGTGACTTCCCAAAAGAAGCGAGCTTCCATGTGCTCCGAGCTGCCGTTCGCCAACACGATTATCTGCGTTCCGCGAGTTGAGGCGGGCCAGCACAGAGGAAGAAGAACAGCTACCATGGCGTCGTGATGGCATGGCCTTATGGCAGCCGGGTCCCTCCACGAGAGGCCAACGTGGGTGGTACGCTTGGAAGGCTGCGCTCCATCAACCTGGCAAGGAGAGCGGTTGTTTTGTGTCTCGCGTCGTTTCATCCGCTGTGACGCGCAGCATTGGGCAAGAGATTACTCGTGTTATTGGGAGATCAACGGGTTCTCTCCGGGTACCGTCTCATTTGTTGGAGGAAGATAAAGGTAGTAGAGGCGGCATATTGAAAATAGCGCAAATAGACGTGAACCACACAGGACAGCGCGTGTCCTGTAAGAGAGAGAGAGAGAGAGAAATGGTTTTGGTGAGATTGGCAGCTAGCCTTAAAAATGGTTCTCTGACTTTGTCGGGTCTCTTGGCGCTTTTTCTTTTTCTTTTTTTTTCTTTTTTTTTTTTAATGCGTCGTTTGGTCACCAACTAGGCCAGCAATCCAGCGTTTTACGGTACATTCTTGTAGAAGAGGTTCGAGGTATCGTGCTTTCCGGGAAGAAGGGAGAATCTTGCGGAAAGAGGAAGAGCGCATGTAGGCAAAGGTGCGGCGGTTCAACGACGACGCCTGTTTCCAAGCCGTTCCCCGTTCAGGGAAACTGAACGGTGTCGGTGGGCGTTTTCGCGCCGCCTTTTCTTGCTCGCATGTTTACGCGATATCGTCAGTTGCCGCACGGGGCGGCCACTGACGATATCCGGCGGCTTTTCGACGCGAACGAAAAAGCATTCTTGAATAACCTCTTCGGCGGACTGCATTAAGTCTGCATGACTCTTAATAATAATAATGAATGATAATAATAACAATAGCAACAATAATAATAATGGTAATTAGTGACTCAGGAGAGCGAGCATGGGGGCCGTACCATGGGGGCCCGAGGTGCCGCGTCTACATAGTGAGGGGGATCGTGCTCTTCTGACTGCCGCGAAAACCTCTGTGCGAGTCTTGGAGGTTCGGTGGTTGCTGAGGAGAGTCAGCCAGCGAGCCAAGATGACCTTCGCCGGGCTGTTCGATGAACGTTCGAGAGATGGTAAAGCCCTGGCGGTTTGGTGGTGCGGTCGCTCACTTCGGTGAAGGCAGTGGCTCCAGGAGGTGGCCTAGTCGAAGAAGACGGCTATGCCACCCCCCTCCTTGTACATTGACGGCCTTGAGAAATGCGCCATTGTGTGCATCGTCACGGACGTGAACTTTGACCTGGACTGTTTCTTGGGCCCAAGCAGATTTTCGAAATACCCAGGCTTCACTCTTTCTGGCGTGCTCTTTATCATCTCTCAATTCAAAATAGCAATTTAGAAAACGGCAAATTGAGGAGGCAGTCCTTTTTTTTTTTTTTCCTCTTTTGCTTTGCGCATTTTTTTTTTTTTTTTTTTTTTGCATTTGTTTTACTGGTTAAATTTGAAAATTCAGTAACCTCGCAAAAACGATTATTGTGACTTCTGATTTGGATTACTAGTGATAGTAATGTGTTCTCCTTCCCATCTGCTCTTTCTCTCTGTGCTGTTTTTTTTTTTTTTATGATCAAAATATTATAATTTTTTTTTTTTTTTTTTTTTGATTGATTTTGCCAATTTGCAGATTGCCAGAAACCAGGAACACACCTTTCTGGCTTGAGTGGTTCTTCAGTAACTTGTTTTGCTACAAGCATTTTCGAACTTTCACAATTGTTTTTCTTTTTTTTCTTCTTTTTTTTTACAAAAATATATGTTGTAGTGGTTGGATTTCGTTAAGGAGATAATAAAAAAAGATCATTGCATACATTTTTCTTTATTCAATGGGAACACGTAAAGTGTTCCTGTTAGCATGAACAGCTCTGCAGCATTACCTAATGGGAGTGGTGTAGATACTCCCATTAGATAATGCTTGCAAACTGACCAGATTGAGAAGCACCAAATGGAAATGTTGAGCACAAAAAGTTGTTGACTTTCTTCCATTTGGTTCGATTTTGGCACGTGTACTTACGCGACGTTCAGGCGATGCCAGTCTGGACCAGAGGTACTTCGCAGATCTTCTTCATCAAATTATAAATAGGGTTCCGTGTTTTCGGTAAATACCAATAACCCCCGAAGTGGTTTTCTCGGAAACGGGGAAAACCGAAAAACCCCATATATGAGCTGCCCTTGGGATTTGAAGGAAGAAGAAATAGGAATAGGGAAATTCTGGGTTTGAAGGAATTATCTGCAGAACTTTTCTTCATGTGTGAGCCTGAACACAATGTCTATTAACTGTCATTGAGGTTGATTCTTCCGTTGCCCCTTCTTTTTCTCTTTTTGGTACCAGAATGATTTTTTTTTTTTAAATGTTTGGGTCATGGGTGTGAGCTCCATGGACCCTGGAAGAAAGGAGGACAAGAGGGGGGGGGGGGGGGGGGGGTCGTGGTTGTGTAATCACGGTTGTACATGGATGCAACTACCGTCGAAGGTTTAAAAAGGGGCGGTGGAAGGGTTGTTGTACGTTCAGCATTTGCTGCTTGGATTTATTCATTGATGTTCATAAACCTACGAAGCATGCTTTAAATTTTCTTTCTTTTCTTTTGGAATGTGGGATGCATTCTAAAAAGGCTGATGCACCAGGCAGCCCTGCTAGGTAAGTCCTCCAAGCCTGTCCCAGCCAAAAAAGCATTTCCGATTTTGAAGAAATATGAACCCGAAAAACACTAAACCCTAATTATAAGCTCTCATTTTCTGAATTAAATTCTGAGAAACTTTAGAAGTTTTAATGGGAAAACACGGTGCTCCCATTGCCACCACCGCACAGCAGCTGACATGCAAAGCGACCATCTCCCGCATATCAAGTGCATGGAGTGTCTAATTTCAAGACTATAAATAGCCCCAGCAAGGCGAAACATGGTGTGAATTTGGCGTTTATAGTTTGCATGAGCCATAACAAATGGCAACATCTCTTGAGGTGCACGCAGCTTCACATTTAAGCGGGAACTTTAAAACCTGTAATCACGGCCGTACATGTATGGCGACGACCGTCAAAGGTTTAAAAAGAGGTGGCGGAACAATGTTTGTAGTTTCAGTATTTACTTAAAAATATTCATTGACTTTCATAACCTACGAAGCACGCATTAGTCTTTCTTTTCACACGCTGGCACTTGCAGAGGAAGCGAGAGAAAACAAGCAGCATTCATTTCTTCACATCACAGCCAGCTAGAGTATGTGGCCATGTGATCTGGTGCCTATTATATGTCATCAGCCAGAGTTTCATCATAACCACACACTGGGGTTCGTTAAGCAAAGCACACACTGAGTTGCAGACATTATTTGGGTCCATTATTTTCATCATTGCAGCAATAAGACGTGAGCTGCTACCCAAATGCTTGTCAAGGCATCGATTGTCACGAGCCGAAATCGAATGCTGACACAGTGTTCCTGCCCTAAGCCGCAATTGACTATTGTCACAACAGGGTAATCCCCATGACTATGTCAACACTGTGATCCCCATGCCTACATTGTCAAGTCTTGCAAAAGAGAGACAGAAAAAATAAGTCTGCTTTTGTTGTTGGAATTACACCGCAACAGGAAAGCTTCTTGGCCAGTGGCAAATGGCGTGCGAGTATATTTGGGTCGCACTGGTGCAAGTAAGCTTGTGCAAAGTGAGAAACATTCCAACCTAAATCTTTGCAGAGCACTCTTAAAGGTGGCACAGGCTACAGATACAATTGCAAGAAAGCTTCATTCTTTTTCTCTTTTCTTAGCAGGCATGAGGGTGAGCACACAACCACACAAGGCTTTCCCTTTTTGAAAACCCTCCCAAATACATCACCACATGTGCATATTAAAAAAAAGAAATGTTTTTTGATTTCTTGTACATTACTTCATTTTTGGCTTTAGGTTTATCGCGCAGACGTGTATTAAAGGTACACTGACGGGGTATTTATGCTCGCCAAGGTTTTTATTTGTACTAAAACACAATATGTGGCTAGAAATTAGTTTTCTTTCCGCCTGAAAACTGCCGATTGAAAACTGGGCGCTTTGAGTCGTACTCACTCTCTTCTCCGTGGTCATGTGACGTTTTCTGTGGTTCAGACACAACCACCAAATATAATCAATCGTGGGTCATCGGAGGCACACACTCAATATTAAAATACATATGAAATATGATACCCATTTTTTGTGGCTTCTAAAAAGCTGCTAATACGTTGATTGAAAAAAAAACAAAAAACAACTTCCACAGCCACGTGACTTCTGGCAACGCTCTCCTCTTCTATATTTCTTCTTCCTCTCCAACTCAGTTTTGGTTTCGAGCAGTTGCATTTTTTTACTTTAAATATATGTAAATCCTCATTGGGTAGTCTTCTGACACCATGTTAAATCACATGGGAAAAAAATAAAAAAAAAAATTTTGGGGCAATGTTAGTGTCCCTTTATTAAGAGTATTTCTTCCATTCGTACAAACACCACCCAAGTTCGGAAACCCTCGCTCATTCGCGTGAGCTCAGTTTGGCTGCCCAAACTGGAGAGGTTTTAGTGCACTCATTTGTAACGACTCTGTGTATTCGGCAGATTTCAAAATGAAGATTCTTCACTGCCTGCAACTGCTGAAGCCTTATCAAAGTTGTGTAGCCCGCATTGAAGGCAGGATGGCTGGAGTTACCTCCCAGCTGTTCTTTCTAGCGACTGTGGCATTCAACTTCCTAGTGCCAGAGAGCGGCAGACCACAAAACAACTCCCGTGTCCACTGCATTCGGATCTCTCGACTGACCTGTTGCTTCTCACGTTGCCTGCAGAGTATGGGCCTCCTCTCCAGGACGCTCTGAGCCAGAGGACCGGGGTGTCGGGACTACCCCAGGTGTTCGTGGGTGGAGAGTTCCTCGGCGGCAGCGAGGACACCGCAGTGGCTTACGCCAAGGGTAACCTGGGGAACCTGCTCGCCGGGCTGAGTGACTACGACTATGACCTGGTGGTGATCGGAGGGGGCTCCGGCGGCCTGGCCGCCTCCAAGGTCAGTGACCACCTTTCCCCGTTCTCGAGGTCGGCTGTCTCGTGCTACGTTGTCCAGACCGGCGTAGCTTTCCCGGTGCTGCAGCCCCACGTTACTGCGAGAGCATGTGACTTTGTCTCATGCGTCATTGCCACATGCCCACACAAGTGGCTTTGGAAGCGTCGGAGCGCTGCGAAGGCTGTGCTAGCCTCGACGACTGGCATTAAATAGTTCATGCCATATGTGAACTGTCCCGTTTGCTGTCATTCTTGTTTGTTGCTTTCCCAAAGCATCCCGCTGAGGTGTTTGTCTGGTGGCTGTCAGCCGTAAAACGGCTGACAGCCACCAGACAAACAGGTTCAGGGATTCTAGGAATCGTCGGATTGTCAGATCCGACGATTCCCAGAATCCCTGAGACTTGGTACCCTTAGTGCTCCGAGAAAGGCTGGTCTTTTAGCGAAGTGTTGGTTAAGATTCTTTGGCTTCCTAGATTTGTTTGTATTTCTTCCATAGTTTTTAGAGCACAGCTCTTGGGTGCCCGTTCCCGCATATAGCAACGTCGCCGTAACCGCGACCCCCGAACAGGACCTCTGGTCCACTAGATTTAGCGGGAAAATTGACATCACGTGTCTGCAACACCAGTTCAGTTTCCCCGCTAAATTTAGCGGGAAAATTGGCATCGCACTATTTCGTGTCACGTCACCTATACACAAATTCAGTTTCCCCGCTCGATTTAGCAGGAAAATTTACGTCATGTGACCTTACCACCGATTCAGTTTCCCCGCTAAATTTAGCGGGTAAAATGATGTCGCATGACTTTATGGCACGTGACCTATACACATTTTCAATTTCCCCGCTAAATTTAGTGGGGAAAATGACACATTACCAGCCGCAGCATGCCATTTCCGATACTGTATGAACGCAGGACAACCCGACGGTGCCTGTTTCCGCATAAGGCGGCGGCGGCACCGCCGACGCTATGGTTTCTTTGAGCGCGTCTCTGACAAGTCTGATTAGCGTCCTATCTTGCCCATATATCAAGAGTGGTCCCAAGGTGACTACAAATGACGTTACAGAGGCCAGTGTTCAGGTGTCAGATGTCGCGATCCTGGCGGTTGGTTGTAGAAATGCCGGCGAAAAGCACGAGCGAACGAGAGTGTCGCTTTCGTCGCGACGTCCCAACTTCTGGCTCCCGAAGCTTCCGTGAACTGCCACACTGCAGAGCGACTTGCAGCAGAACAGGTGCCTGCCACATCAACCACCGCTGCTATACTTCGTTTCACGATAACTTAGTGAACTGTGGAGGCTGCGGCCCCCGCAACCCAGTAAGATCGTCGTAGCAAGGCACACGATAACACTCCCTGGTCGAGGCCGCGGAGGTCTCGTTATCGCCACACCAACAGTGCCGTCTGCAACAAAAAGTAGTTCTAGGCTTCTTTTTCATTTAATGGCAGTTCAACTCGCGTAATTCCATCTCTGTCGAGAATATTTAAAAAATAAAAAGTAAATATTTACAAATTTATTAGTTTCAATCATATTTAAGTTTAAGGAAAAAGACGCCACATTCGTTTCTACCTTAGATTTTTTTCTCCTCGTAGTGCCATGGCTGTTGCCAACTGCAGCCGTGCAGTCGACTGCTTCTGCTCAAAACATTGCCCTAGCATTGCACCCGCCACAAATTCATGTGTAATTGAGTGTGCGGTTGTATCGTGAACTGCTTCCGAAGAGCTCGCTACTCTAGCGGACGGCAATGATGAGGCGGTGGGTGTTCATCGGAAGTTGTTTGGTCTCTCAGCAGACATTTCTTGGCCAACAGATGATAGCAGGTTCCGCCGGGCCTTGCATTTGGCGCTGTGGCACACAGGCTCCTGTGACATAGTTTCACGTGCCTCGCTGCAACATTCTTATTGGTTTGCGTAGACCGTAGCCTCCACAGTTCGCCAAGTTATAGTGAAACGGAGGAAAGGATCGCGACCGGCGACAGCATAAGACATTTATGACGTCATTGGGCGGAAATCGAGGGACCACTTTTTTGGTTGCAGTAAACACACCAGTCGGAGACGGAAGAGATCTTTGAATGTTCATCAAAATAAAGAAAAATGTCGGCAATGTGGGGCCTCGTTCCTTGTTTAGTGGTTTACAAAATGTCTAAATCCCATCATTTGTGCGTCTTAAATAATAAACTTTATAAAAATGGAAAACATTTATTTCATATGTTGGACATCTCTTATTGCAACTTAAATGTAGAAATTGTGAGAAAATGTAGAGAAAATAGGAGTTGCTGACAGCATTCCCATCCTGTTCAGGAAGCTGCTAAGCTGGGCAAGAGAGTTGCAGTATGTGACTTTGTCAAGCCGTCCCCTCAGGGAACCTCCTGGGGTAAGTGGCCCTGAACTCTCCACCTCTCCTTTTTCCTGCTGAAGATGCTCAGGATTTCAAGCTCAAAGCTTCTTGATTTTTCCATCTCCTTTCCCCGTATAGGCCTGGGCGGCACCTGCGTGAATGTGGGATGCATTCCAAAAAAGCTGATGCACCAGGCAGCCCTGCTAGGTAAGTCTTCCAAGGCTGCCCCGATTAGAGTTTCGTTACAGATTGAAAAGTAGTTTATGTGGTGTAAGGCCAGGTGTGGATAATTTCGTTGAACTTTGTATTCCCGTGGCACATTAATATTCTCACCAATGACAATTGATGAGGTGAAGAACACTGAAACTAAATGTTTAATGGGCCGAACTTGTGCCCAAAACAAAATAGAGAAAGGCTAGCATCACAGGTGTCGATAGCGGCGTGACAGCAGGATCGAGCGCTGGGGCGAGACCGACTCCGGCTCGCCCCGCGGAGCACCTTTTCTACCTGCGTGTGTCTCTGGAACATTCGGTGCGTAGAACATTCATAACTCAATCAGACAAGAGGGTTCTCAAACTTAACGAGAACGCCAAGTAGAAAGAATAATTAAAAGAAATGTCCGCTCCCCGGAATCAAACCTTGATCCTGTGCGCGACAGCCAAGCTCGGCAACCATTCGGCCACGCACCTGCTTGCTTGGTGACGCGTGATGCAATATTGTATCATAGTACGAACACCGTTAACAGTATACTGAGGTTGACATCATCATGAAACTATAGGACTGCAATGTAAACTATTATTTACTAATTTTATAACTATCGTTTCTATTTATCCTTACCGTTGCTTTAGCTATTTTAAATGAACGTTAATTGAATTGAAAAAAGAAAGCAAGAAGTCCCTTATGTGTTTGCTTCCATATAGGCCACATCACTGATTTATTAAAGGGAAATTTATTTAATAATATTTTTATTTAATGCAATTGTCTGTTAGAAATGGTACTCTTAGTGAAACTAGCAAGCATTGATCATGGCACAAGTTGCATATCTAGGGTTCCACATCTTCGGTTGTTTGGGTTGTTTATCTTTAGGAACCGGTGGGTGTTTTTCTGTGTTTGTTTCCATTAGTATATTCTCCTCTTTTCAATGTTTATATTTTGCTGAGGAGATAATTTGTTGATTTTTTAGCACCTGCAGAGAAAAGTGTTTAATTGAATAGAAAGGTGCAAAGTTAGATAGTGCCATTGGTACCCACAATTCATTCATGCATATCAGTCCCATCATAGAAAACAATATATTTTTCACTCATCCCATCTTAAGAGAGGCACATGTACATTTTCTCATTTTCATTACTCCATTCAGTGCGCTCCTTTTGGTTAATTATTTCAAACTTTGTAATGCCCTCTCCATGTTCACACTTGAGGCTGCAAGAGTCACAATAGTACAATGTTCAATGCCGTGCCAAACAAATGTGACAAATTGAACAAGTGGTACTTCTTGAAAGTAATTACATGTAATACCTTATAGAGAACACACCACATGTGCTTAGCACTAGTCATTCTCCAAACTCCCAGAGGATGTCATTGTCACAGACTGCAACATGGAATGCAAGTGTTTACAAATTGAAGTTGTGCGGGCATACCAGAGGAGGGCCTATCAGAAACGAGAGCTCTCGGACCACTGAAACATTACTTAGTTGTCGCTGCCGAAGACTGCGGAGGCCCTCAAGAAGTGGCCTAGGCTCACACATCTGTTCAATACCTAATTTATCTGTATCTCATCAAAAATCGATTTGCCACGAGCAATGTTTAGACTAGCCCCCTCTCTTCAATGTACCGGGTTTGTTAGTATCTGGTTTTAGAACCAGAACTATTTTAAGGTTTGATGTTTGACATTCCGTGGTTTTTCAGTAAAAACCAAATATGAGAAAATTATTCAGCCAGTAATTTTCAATATTTTTTTTAGTAAATACTGAGGAAGCTGAACCATAAGTATAACAGTAAGGACTGTCCAGTTTTTTTTAGTTGTTTCGAGATCATTTAGGATGAACTACCATTATAACTAGCATTGGATGAAACAAGTTGAAAATTACTTTTAAGTGAAGTATGAAGCAACTAGTAGTTGTCATGATTCCAGTGAAATTAAAAATAGTATCAGTCGTTTGGGAGAAAAGAGAACCTTGTTTATGTCGCTGCAAAAATAAACTATGCTTCGCTGAATGCTCAATCTCCTCAAACGTAGTGGTGGCAGTTGAAGCAATATGCCAAAGTTTCAAAACTTTCCATTATCCACTAAAAAAATTGTATTTGGTGTAACGGTGGCCAACAGAGCCCGCGAACACCTGGTACTTGGGATGGGGCACCTGCTTCTCGGTATTTTGCACCCACGGTTGGGTCACAGTACCATTATTACCTAACTGCATCTTAGACGCGTCTCTTTGCTCGGCGGACAACAGCAGTCGTCAAGAGAGTTTATTGTTCTTTTTCAGGGCAAGGTATCCAAGACGCCAGGAAGTTCGGGTGGAACATACCAGACGGTAAGTTACGTCCACTCCCTATCGGCAGTCTCTGCGTTGTCACCTCAAAGAAAGAGAGAAAATTTTGTGCATATAGCGATCGACAGAGTAAGAACTCGAGACGTGTCTCTCGAACGCCCGACTTCCAGCACGTGCTCCACACCTTCTGCCTTGCTTCGGTTGTGCGCATGCACTCGAGGTGCACGAGACGTCGAAGCATTGTGGAAGGTAGGATGGTTGCGAAGAAGGCGGGCCGCCCGAAGCTCTTCCCTGCAAATGCCTCTTCGTCATTGACTACTAGAGTGGTTCGTAGGCTCTTCCAAATAATTATCGGAAACACATTTCGAGGAACTAGCAAATGGCAGGTCTGAAGTGCCCACAACTGTCTTGATTTACTGCATAAATGGGGTAGTCGACAACGCTCCGCAAGAATCTGAACTCCCTTTATTGCGGTCTTGAGGTGGAAATGACGACTGTAGACTCTTTTTTTCTGCGACGAGAAGCGCTTGTTCATGCCAACTGCTGCTTCCGCAGGTGCAGTCCAGTTCCAGTGGGAGGTCATGTGTAGCAACGTGCGTGACTACATTTCCTCCCTCAACTGGAAGTATAGGGTCCAGCTGCGTGAGAACAAGGTGCAGTACCTCAACGCCTTCGCCGAGTTTGTGGACCTGCACAAGGTGAAGGTGAGTAACCGAGAAAATGTCTTGCTCTTTCGCGGCACCCGCTCTGCCCGTATCACATCTTCGTGGCAGACACCGTGGCACTCGGCCCTACTTGTGGACGTATAGAGTGCCTCTGGTTTGTTTGAGACAAGGATTGTCGACACTGAGGCAGTGGCAGCCATGAGCTGTCTAGTTTCTCCAAGTAATGCGGCACCTCTCTGTTTCGTTCAGCTACCACATGAGCCTGGATATAAATTTTTTATGTTCAAGGAGAGGAGGATTGCTCTCTCTGAGTGAATTGTTTGTAGTTGAGAATCTTCTGTTACTTGTGTACAATCAGTTTGTTTTTTCTATGAAGATGAGTGAACAGCTAATAAAATGTTATTTCTACCTTCATTTATTTCTACCTTGGTAAGTTCTAAAAAACAAATAGGCACTACTAATTGGCCTTCATATGTACTTTGAGTTGGATGAAGCTGTGTCCATCTAAGCTGAGCTCTCGAGCCATTGAGAGTGCTGCACTGAGAGGCATGCATTAGAAAATGCCTAAAACAGCGAAGGGTTAAACTGAAAATATGAAACATTTAGGAGATGATGGAGCACGTAGCCGGCAAGTCCGCTGTATGATTGCTTCAGTACTTTTTTTAACAAGCTCTGAAATCGGAGTTCTCTATATTTTGTCCTGTGGTATGTGTCTGAAGCACTTGGATTCTCTTCATGCTTCATTTCCAGGTCACAGACAAAAAGGGAAAGGAGAAGTTTATCACCGCCAGCGACTTCATCCTTGCAATGGGCGAGAGGCCCAAATATCCAGACATCCCGGGTGCCCGGGAGTATGCAATCACAAGGTTGGCCTCTATTCCATTTGTTATGTTTTATGTCATATTTTTAGCATTGCATACCACTCGTACCATGGCTTAGTTTCATAAGTACATAAATGAAAAAATCCCTTTACTGCTAGGTTCACATGTCATTCTACCTGCCAATATTTGGTTAGCACAAGATAGTCACTTGTACCACCTACCGTTGACACTCAATCTTGCTGTTGGTCCTAAAGGCTCATGTGCTTATTCCATAGCACCATTGTTTTGTGACTCTAGCTTCAAGGGTTCCTGAGCCAAGCTTGGAGAACCCATGGTGAGGCATTCACATCAGTGGTGTCAGAACGTATCTGCAGGGGCGTTTTTAATATGGCTAATGTTATGTTCAAGGAAATGGGCACTACTTCAGTTTGTTCATCGGTAACTTTTGCTTGATTCCTCCTGAAGGAGCATCAATAATTACTGGTGTTCATAATAAATGAATCCGGTTTGTTCACGCGTGTCTGCTCCACTTGCATTTCTCCAAAACGTGCTAGCATAAATTAGCATACTGACCATGTGTCTGCTTTCATAATCGAATCCAACGTGGGGTCTGTACTTCTGGACCTACGATAGCTCCTACATAAAGCTATTGTGGCAAAAGGCTCTTGAGACGTCTAAACTTTCCATTAAGAGCTTTATAGATGTCACTTCCACCCAATTCTGGATCTTCTTTCCCCGCCCCTCGAAGTGTTAGTTTCATTTCATGTCTGCTTCAGCTGAGATGCTGAAAGGTCCAGGGAGCAGAATGGAAAAGAAGACAAGCAATGCATTCTTGTCCTGGTCTTTGCCTCTTTTAGTATTCAATCAATGTACCGACTGGCCCATCTTTCCATTCTAGTGCTTCAGCTTTTCTAAAGTTACTTGCCCTTGATGAGGTCAGTGGTGCGACTGACGAAACCTGGGATTTTGTTTGTCCCCCCAGTGACGACCTCTTCTTCCTGCCACACTGCCCCGGGAAGACGCTGGTGGTGGGGGCCTCGTACGTGGCCCTGGAATGTGCGGGCTTCCTCAAGGCCATGGGGATGGACGTGACGGTGATGGTGCGCTCCATCCTGCTGCGGGGCTTCGACCAGGACATGGCCGAGAGGATTGGCACCTACATGGCCGAGGAAGGGATCCGCTTCATCCGGCCCTGCGTGCCCACCAAGGTTTGTGCTCCCCTCGCTCGCCCATTGCTTTTGAGGTTTGCGTGCCCCGAGTCCTTAGAACTGTGCTTGACACTGCCATAACAGTAGTCCACACGAGTCAGGCGCCAGTTCACGAGACAGCTCTGCTCTCGCAGACCCGCAGTGGGGATGTCGCGCAGGCTGAAAAGTTTCCATGATGCGTGGCGACTACGGTGGTGTTATGAAAGTGGCTGGTGAAAATGGTCTACGTATTGTTGCTGCTGTAACGAAGCCACTAGACCATTGTTTCATCGTGATTGATGAGCAGTATGTCACTTGAAGGGATTGAGTGCGGCCACCCTTCTCACTGGCTGATTGCTCACTACATCAGTGTTCTCTGTCTCATGGTAATATGGCAAATGGCTAGAGCTGTAGCCCTCTTAATTCATAGAGTCACATGACCGCTCTACAGGCGTGTGTTTATGTGGGGATGTATCATGATGCTTGCTTCTCTGTCACATCCTGAGAACTTGTTATCTGACGCAGTTGGAGAGAGTCGAGGAAGGGTCACCTGGCAGGATCGTGGTCACTGCGGATGCAGACGGCAAGGAGCTGGTTGAGGAGTACAACACGGTGAGCTTGTTCCCTGGTCGGCGTCGTCTGTTTCACCTCTTGCGTGACACCTAGTTGGCTTTATGCTAGTGGTTGCATGCTACTTGGGGCCTTCAAGTCTGGGGTTAGGAACCAGCTTTAGGATATAATGCAGTGTCACTATGTCCGGCAGGTTAATTTTCCACGAACTCTACCTCGCTGAACACCGTTACTCGTGTAACGCAGCCTGTGGCGCTTCTTGGCTTCTGCCACATAGTGAAGAACGACAAGTTGCGAGACAGCACCTTCTGCATTCAATGTAATGAAATTGCTTGCTTTTGGCAGGACAATGAACAAAAAGCAAACAAAACTATGCATGGTAGACTGTGATTGTTAAAATGTGAATAAACATGATTCCTACATTAAGAGTAAAAGTGTCACAGTCTGAAATTGAGTACAAGTAGAGTCCTTTGCTTTTGAGTTTCCAAGAACAGCGAGGTTTGTTGCTGCCCCTTGTATCACTCACCATGCTTTTAGAGCAGAGCTGTTAGGGGCTAGTTTCCCCAGTATCGTGTCCGTGGACAAACAAATGTCGACAGAAAACGTCTGACAGCTACCGCCATCTATGAGCAATGGCGGCAACTAGACAACTGAATTGCCGGTTGTCTGGTTGCTGCCATCGCTCATAGATGGCGGCAACCTGTTTAGCCTTTCCACTCTGGCTTGCCGACTTGTGGCCGGCCATTACCTCATTCCCACCATAGTACAGCTTCGCTGGTCTTCCTTCTTCACCAGAGTGGAAAGGCTGAAAGTTTTTTTGTGCAGTGAAAAAATCTTGGCACAGTGTGCATGCTGGGACGAAAAAAATGCGACACTTAAAGAATTAAATAAAGTCTCTTTCGGTAGTCTCAAGCTACAGCATGAGAATGGTACCGCATGCATGACAACCGTTGGTCAACGCTTCTTTGCCGTTGTGCAGGTGCTGTTTGCTGTGGGACGCGAGTCGTGCACCCGCGGCATTGGCCTTGAAAAGGTCGGGGTGGAGGTGAACCTCAAGAGCGGCAAGGTGCCCGCCGTGGCGGAGCGCACGAGCGTGAACCACATCTTCGCTGTCGGGGACGTGCTTGACGGACGCCCCGAGCTCACACCCGTCGCCATCCAGGCGGGCACTCTGCTGGCTCGGAGGCTGTACGGAGGCAGCGACGTTCAGGTGGGCGGGCCATCGCACTCCCTTTGTCTTTCCTCTCTGTTAGGGACTTTCTAAGATAGAATCTGCTAAAAACCATATGCAAAAGAAAACAAAATTTTTAAACAGCCTGGATGGAAAAAGGATGTCAAAATGAATTTACGACGGACAGAACTTTTTTTTAAAGCTATATTTACAGCGCAAAAGGAACTTTCAGTGGGCGCCCACGGGAGTTCACGAAAAAGTGGCTACTGGAGTTGCGCGTCTAGCCACTATAGTCGCCTGGCGCTTGCGCTCTTTTGGGAGCTTCCTATGAGCTCGAAAAGTTATTTATAAATCTTCATTTCAAGTGCAACAAATAAATTAACATTAATAAGTGACTTTTAGAGCCCATAGGAAGCTCCCGAAAGGGCGTGAGCACCACGCAGTGTGCCGGAGTGTTCCCTTCCAGCAGCGGTGTGGAGAAAAGTCGCTAAGGAACGATGATGAAAATGACAATTTTTTGGAGAACTTATTTTTTATTGTTCTACTGGATAGGATTTGTGAAGGGTTTTATTTTATTTGAAACAATATTTTAAATTACTTTCTGCGTATGAAGAAAAAGAAATTACAGGAGGACGCTTAAGCTTCGTCTTTAAGAGTGGAACTCAATAGCTAAATATAAACCCACGCTTGTTCCCAAGCCATATCTGCGTGGCCTAATCGTTAGCTTGTCTGGCTCGCAACCGAAGGGTCGTGAATTCGATCCCGCTGCGCCTAAGATTCTGCAAATTTTTTCTTTAACACAAATGGATTACTGTAAACGACTTAATTTTCGCGAGGACGTAATTTTCACGAATCGCCTACAATTCGCGAAAAATAGGTCCCGCGAAGAATTCTGGTAAAATGTAAACACATTGGAATCTTATGGCACACTGTGCATTCACGAGGACGCCCATCAAACCACTCGGGCATAGTTGCCGCGAGGCAGCTATGCAGTTGCCTCGCCTCAGACACGATCCCATGGTCGCGTCGCCACGGGGTCGATCGGGATCTCGAATTCGGCTCCCGACGTGCCGCTTGCTCTCCTAGCCACTGGATGGCACTGCAGTCGCCGCAGGGCGGGGAGAAACCTCCTCGCCCATCGATCGAGATATGGTCAATCGGTGGACCAAGGGGCAAACAGCCTCTTAGGGCTCCGGACGCTACCGAGGTCAAGCAAGTGTGTGGCGACCGGATCTAGGGTAATCGCGGGACACAAGGCCTGGGGACCCTTTTTGTGTTTAGCTTTGGCTTAACGTGTGTTTGTAAATATTTGTGTAATGTCGCATGTATTTGTAGTTTAGATTGAGTGTTTTGTAGCGTTGCTTTTTATGTACCAATCAAAAAGGGAGCGAAATTCAGCTCCCGTGAAGAACCCGGTATGACTTGTGTTGTTGACGGACCACATGGGAAATGGCGAATCGGCGGCGGTGGGTGAATTACTACAATCTATATTGAGATCTCACAGCATTGCGAAAATTAGAAGCCGCAAATTATTCAAAAATTTCAGCTTTGAGCTTAATCGCAAAATATTGAGCCCGCGAAAAATAAGTCATTCACAGGACTTTCCCATCCTACCTACGCCGATGCCGGCTTTTCTGCAACACGAGCTCCTTAATGGGCAACTCAGCTCAATTTTGAAGAATTCGAAATAATGAGTGATTTCGCATTAAAAAAACCTTGTAAAAGCGTTTGCTTTGCAAAAAAGGGGATATATATTTTTTAATTAATTTTATACACAAGCAGAAATCGAAACCGAAACTTCAACTCTGTTTGGCAACATTGGCTTCGGGCTGCTAAGAACATGGCTGTCACGTGGTACGAGATGTCACGTGATCCTCTACGCAACGACGGGCGGGATTGGGGCGGATGTGTGCCAGGTGCAAGGGTCGTCTGCACCACACCCTTTACCACATTTTGGTGTCTACGACATTCGACGACGTCTGAACGACTGCGGTATAAGTCTGCGCACATAGTGTCTGTGGTGTGGACGAAACTCCCAGAGACGATAACCACACATGGTGAGACGACGACGGCGGGTGTGACGTGAAAGACGGCGATAACGGCAGGACCACGGCAGGGCGGCCGCGGACGGCTTTCAAGAAGCTCGCTGCACAGGCGCGCCGAGAGGAAACGTTGCTGACGTCACTCGTCACGCTTGCCTGGAGAAGTAAACACAAGCAAAAGAGGGCAATGGTGATGACGCTTAGCTCAATGTTGGCTACGCCCACGCCGTAGCCTTGACTGCACTGTTGGTTGCGCCTCAATTCGCCCGCTCGAGTCGGCCGATTTCGGCAACTTGGCGAGTTGCAAAGTTTGCCGGACCGTTTAAGAAATATTTGGGCAGAACTACATCGTAATACTTGACGTGCGCTCTTTCTAGGTAAGACTGAAGGGGACCGAATTGTTTTCTTAAAAACAAAAATAAAGCGGAGTTGCCCCTTAAGAGGATTTTGTGTGGGTATGTATGTTGACAGGGGCTGTTACAGGTGATAATGAAGAGGACTGCATTGTATTTTCACAAATAAAAATGAAGTTGTTTTTTAAAGCCATAGCCTTAAACCGCATTGTCATCTGGGAGATGTTAGAACGAGCGCTCCCACGCGTGCAGTAGGACAGTGCGTCCCTCTTCTGCCTCGGTCCCGGGAGTTCTCGGTAATTGCGGTGCCTTCTCTTTGCGCAGTGCGACTACACCAACGTGCCGACGACAGTGTTCACGCCCATCGAGTACGGCTGCATCGGTTACTCGGAAGAGGACGCCATCAGCAAGTTTGGAGAGGAAAACATAGAGGTGCGGTTTGTGCGTGTTCTCTTTCCGGTGTATACGGCAGGCTTGCGCTTAGCTTCTACAATGCCCTAGCAAGCTGCCGAATGCATACAAACTTTGTTTGTATGCTTTTCGATTTTTTTTCTTTTTCTCTAATCTATTGTTTTTTAAGGGCTAGCTGGCTCACACACTTGTGACTGCTCACGACCGAGTGCCTTCCGACCTCTCGTGATCTCTTGCGACGACAGAACACACTGGAAACTTCTATTTTTTGTGCGTTCTTCTTTCCCTTTCGGCTCAAAGACTTTTGACAGTGTTATAAAGGATCATTTCTCATGCATGGTTCAGATCTTGCAAATACCGCAAGACCTTCGCTCTAGTGAAACGCAGTTCGAGGGCCACCTCATAGATGCCGCCAGCGTGTCTTCTTGTCGTAAGAGATTGCAAGAACTTGGTCGTGAGCAAACGCGAGTAATGTGGTCATGCTTTCGACTGTTTACCTGAAAATACAGGGCTGGTTGGGTGTATTGAAGTGACCAGATTGAGGCTCGATATCTACATTTTGCATATAATGTTAGCTTGACAAGTTTGTCGTGGCTAAATACATTATTTTTTTTTTTCAAGTGCTGCGTCTATTTTGTGGTGCCTCAACGAGCGATTTACTGTTTCGCGTAGGTTTTTCATGCAAACTTCACACCCCTGGAGTGGACTCTTCCGAAGCGAGGGACGGACATGGGCTATGTCAAAGTTGTCTGCCTGACTCCCGAACGGGTGAGTGAGAATTGAAAACTCCTCAGTAGAGCCGTCAACTCCTCCACAGCTCGTTGCGCATAAATGCTTCAAACCGACATTGTCATGAGCCGAGAAAAGGTGGAATGGTGCCATTGCAAAAGGACGGACGTGACAGCTCGGAAAGAATTGCAGAAAGCCCTTCGTAGGCACCAAACGGGCAATTCTTGCCAGCGGCCCTGCCGCCGCATGTTGAGAGGGTGACGTGGTTAATCCTGGCTGTGTGATGTTGCTTTTCGAAAACACAATCCTCCTGCTTGTATCTGGACAAGGCATAGGTGGATCGATACATGGTTTAGTGCAGGCAAGGCTGTAGCGTCTTTGCTCGCAAATGTTTGCAATCGTGAAACTTCGCAGGACCGGATCCTCGGCTTCCACTACCTGGGGCCCAATGCTGGTGAGGTGACGCAGGGCTTTGCCACGGCCATGAAGCTGGGTGCCACTAAGGCCGACTTGGATGCCACCATCGGCATACATCCAACGTGCGCCGAGGTAAGCTGCACCCAGATTCCAACGAGCTCTTTCCGATAAAGTTATTTATTGTAATGACTAGGGTTGTGAAAATATTCAAATAGTTGTTTCAAATTATCCGGTATTCAGTATTTGCTTCAAAATTAATTGCAATATTCACATTTTTCGAATTGCTGATTGGTATGCCGCAAAGAAGCAACGTCCGTGGAAGAGAGTGTCATGGGTGTTGCTTCTCCGCAGTGCACCCGTGCTCGGCAAGAAGCGCGCTCAACGGGGCTAACCTGCCACGATCAACACTTAGAAAGTACAAATATTGCCATCGCATACTTAGGAGGAAAGCCCACGTTCAAAGTGGGATGGTGCACGCAATCACCTGGTGTATTTGACATCAACTTTTTGAATGTTAATGTTTATACCACAGTAAAATTAAAAAAAAAAATTTAACTGTGGCTATTATTTAAGAGTATGGGGAATGTGGCCACAGTTTAAGAATGTGGGCACTGTACTTTCTGAGGCCACCGTCCATAAATATTGTTAGATAAAAATCATTTTAGCTTAGAAATGGACAAGTGGAAGCTCGGGAACAACCTTCACTGGTTCAGCTGCTTTTTATTTAAGCATGGTGCCTAGCGAAAGGTTTGGAGAAACTATTTTATATTCAATTAGAAAATATTCGGCCAAAACCACTATTCGCTCCGAACTCAAAATCCACTTCATATTTGCACATGCCTAGGATAGATAAACTCTAGTTGTCTAACTGGCTTGTCTGCTTCATTGTGCAATGCTATTACTGGACTACAGTGTTGCTTAATTAGATAATTGGAATTGCCAGGCCACTTGTGGGGAGGATTGATGTTGTAAGCATTCTGTTTCGGCACTCTCAAGCACCTTCTCGCAAAGTGCAAAAGATCAAGCAATACATAACCATTCGTTTTATGATTATTGTTCCAGTAAAAGTATGGTGTAAAACATCCACTTCAAGTGTGCTCTCGTAGATATGATTATTCTAAGGACGAAGCCCAGTTGTTTTTATGTTAATGTGGTGAATCCTTTTTTAACTACCATAACTATTTTAACAACTATTTTTTTTTTCTTCTAGTTACACAGGTGTTTGTCTTTTTTTTAAGGGAAAATGTATTACTGTTGCATTGTGAGCCCGAGTTTGCAATAACAGGATGGTACCGGCAATCAGTTACATCTTTTTTGCATATTTGGCACATTTACTGTAGCACCGGTGTTAAGCAGGTGCACAAATTTAAATAATGAAAAAGCATTTCAAGCAACTAGTCGGGGCTCTTGGGAATTGCATTATCAAGGAAAGAGTAGACCTTTAAATGGACAAAAAGGGGTCTGAACATGGACAGTACAGATGTACAAAGTGTCTCTTAAAAAAATAGGAATTCTTTTTTTGTTGCAAAAAATTAACTGTATGCACCACCAATTGCCGTCTCTGCCCAAAAGTGGCGCTAGCAGTCCGGACCATATGTCAAAGTGTCGGTGCTTGATGTTATTTGGTTCAAACATCATAAAACAATTTTCGTAAATTTGAATTGGAAAAATGGCAGCTGACGATGCCCAGATGCCCACGAACACGTGAAGCTGAATGGCATTGGCCACCGAGAGCGGGTCTCATTTTGCCATTTTAATTTTCAGAAAATCAGATAATGGTTAGTTCTGACCCATTTGGGTGGAATCTGAGCTCTTAACGATGCATAGGTAGTTTTGGTAAAGAAAACACCATCAAATTATTCTGGGTGCGCAGTGTGGATTCATAGTTAATCACTCAAAGGGCTGCTTGCGTGCCGTCCATTTAAGAAATCGCACAACCCTCTCGCAGCTCTTGACCACGTTGTCGATCACCAAGAGATCCGGGACAGACGCCAAGCAGGGAGGCTGCTGAGGTTAAATCCCGTCGTCTGGAGGGCCGTCCGCTTCGACCATTCTGCCGACGTCTCCTCGCACCGAAGAGCCATAGACATGAAGTGGCGATAGAAGCAGATTGCAAGCCTTTCATCAACAACAGAAGTCGGCGTAGAAGCGGCAGCCTTCCGGCGATGGGGAAAAAGCCGTGTTTTGTCGGGTATCACTGCGCAGCTTCTCGCACTTGCGAGACAAATGACGGCTGTGCCGCGAAACCCAGAATTTGGGAGCGGCCGGCTTGATGTTGCTGCAGCAGTCGTTCCCTCAAGCTCAATCGCAAGATTGCTTGTTTTTTTAAACTGTGCAGAGCTTGTTTCTTTGTAGTGTTATGCGCTTTGCAATAAATATTTATTGAGCTCTTATCATTCTAGTTACATCCTAATTTTACTGCGGCTACGACTTTGGCATCAAGGGGGCAGGTGGCCCAATGGTGGCATCTAGCACAGACTACTGTAGGTAAGGCACTACTTGGTGATCAGACTGCATTCAAAGCTGAGCAATCTCTCTGGTAGCCATCGTGAATTTTTTATGGATGTATATTATATACACGGACATTGCAAGTAAAATATTCCATTCAAAAGGAATTCTTGCAAGATCTCATGCGAATTACAAAGTGATCAGGTAAGGCGTTCCAAAGCACTTGATCTGACTTTTGAGCCTATGCCTCTTACCTCCATGTGATGGAATGATGCAAGCAGTGATGGAATTATTGCGCTGCCATGCTGGCCATGTCATCATCTGCAAGTTCAGACGATGACATGGCCATGCTGGCCATGTCATCGTCTGAACTTGCAGATGATGTCGATGATGTCAGAGCTCAAACTCCCAAGAAAAAAATTGCAAGAGGACGCTTAAGCTTCAATAGCTAAACATATAAACCCACTCGTTCTCAAGCCATGCAAGCCTGCCTGCATGGCCTAGTGGCTAGCATGTCTGGCTCGCAACCAAAAGGTCATGGATTGGAATCCTGCCGCCGCCTAAAATTATTTTTTAATTTTTCTTTAAGGCAAATGTATTGCTTTATAGCAGGGGTTCTCAAACTGGGTTCTGGGGAACACAGGGGTTCCACGAGCTGGTCTCATGGGTTCCATGAACACCCAAATTGCAACCCCCCCCCCCCCATGCTGCAGGCTGCGCAGCAGGACCATGCAAAGCACCTTCATCTCATTTTGTAATTTTGTACTGACATTGCAATTGATATGGTGGGGATATATGGGAAGCAACACAAGCAAAATTGCCTACAATTATGCATCTGTTGCTTCTCGGTGGGCAAATATGGAGGAAGGGGGGGTTCCGCGGCAGTTTTTGAGGCTTCCTGTGGTTCCGCGAAGCCAAAAAGTTTGAGAACCCCTGCTTTATAGAGTAAAATCATTTGAGACATGCAGTGACCTTGAATTTACATTACACGTCACGTTTTAGTCACTTTCATTCCACGTGAGCATTTGAAATTCCCACGCGAGTTTGTGTGGCTGGGATGTTGACCCTATCGACCAATCAGGATTTTTCCATTCTGCGACACAAGCTCCTTAAAGCTATCACTTTCAAATTAATAAAATGGTGGTATAGCGGTAGCTCTAAGACAGAACCAAGGTCTCGTACTCCCGATGAGATCTCTCAATCATCATCTCCGCCACATGCCTCTACACCTTGACCACCTTGCACAGGCACGCATGCATCAAACTTCTCTGCATCGCATTGGTGCGTTGGGGGAAGTGACTTGTGCGGCCTAGCACCTGTGGGTTAGCACGATGGGCTCAGAAATTATGCGCTGTACTATTACAAATCACTTTTTTTTTCTTGATTGTAGGTTGACTTTTAATTTCAAAGAACAGTGCCAACAAAAAAAAAGGAAACAAGAAATGCACTTATGTTTGAACAAGTAAACAAGGTAGTTTCCACTGAGCAGTTGACTCTAGCCTGAGGTCAGCCAGTACGATGATCATCCAGATGGAAATGGGCGAGGTGGGGATGGAACCGAAGTTCCCTGGATTCTGCAGTATGAGGTTTTTCTCCACGTGCTCCAAGCTGGTGTGCACTAGCCCACTCTGCCACCGATCCCTTCCACATATGTTTATTGATTTTACATAAATGATATTGATAGGCAACATTAACTATGCACATAAAAGAGGGAGTGGGAGAAGCGTGAAGTATTCTGCTATAATTTATTTTCAATCTTTATTTTTCTTTATTTCTATTGTAAACAGAACCTACTTTGACCTGAGCATTCTAAAATACAGTTGTGTGTCATGTGCTTTTCATGACTATTTGTATAATTACAAAAGGTAGCAAGTAAAACATTTGTATATCAAAGCTGAACCCTGCATTATTATCGAAGATTGGCCCTTTTAGCAGTGCAATTATTTAATTTTAAAGTGATGTGCTAACACACATTAGGATTTGCTCCAAAAAAACACATGACTGCTCCAAGCAAAATGTTGCTTCCATCACCGTACAAGCCTTTTAACCCCAATGCACAAGTTCTCAAACCTCTACCTAGGAACCCAGAGGCTTTGCATTCCCAAAGTTCTCAAATATCCTCAGTCAATCCAGCCTTTGATGTTGCTGGCATCCCCAAAAACACCATAATGGTTTTGACATTGGTGCACTGAAGTTGTTTCCATAAAACAGATGAAAAATAAACCTATTGTGCAAAGACATAAAAATGCACAAGTAGCAGATCAAGAGCCAGAGTTATAATAAATCATTACAGGTACATTCCGGTATTTAAAAAGAGAAATAAGTATTCTGGTTTAATAAGCAATACAAACTAAACCCAGAGGAGAATCCAATGCTTTAGAAGTAATTTAGGAATATGACTACACTTGTTACATGCTTTTATGAAATTGATACAGCATGCACACCAACATTAAATATATGCATTGATCACCACATGCACGATGCAGCATTGGAAACGTTCAAGCCAGAACTTGGCAGAGTTTGGGATAACTGGTGGTAAACTAAACCCTAAGTGGGCCTCAGACTCCAGCAATATGCCTCTAGTACCAACAAACCTCTGAATTACATGGAAAAAAAAAAGTAACACTTCTTGGGACAAGGATCATGTGACGGGCTAGTTGGTTATACATTACGAATTTAAAAGTAGCGCTAAAGACAAGGACAAGTAGAAGACACGGACAGGCGCCGACTCGTAACTGAAACTTAGTGAAGAGTAAAAGGAAGATAAAGCAGAAGTGCAAGGACATATACGAAATGAAAAAGAAGACTAAACAAAAAGAAAGAAAGCAACAATTATTTTTGACTTCAAAATTAGGAAATAAGAAAAAAGTATGGTAAAAATTAAAATCTTGGGACAGCTTTTTGTGTAAACACCTACTTGTACTGGGCAATTGCAGAGCAAGGCAGTGAGTTTTCACAACGATAAAAACTTGCATTATGCCTAGTAAAATGTTCTCACACCATGCAACCTTTGTGTTAAATATCTATTAATGCACTGCATTCTGTTCAGAAGGCAGACTCAGCAATGCGAACATGCTTAAAAAAATTACAAGTTTCAGAACTGTTGGCATAGAGCGCTCCACCAGAAGGCACTCCACAAATCCATCGTCGCATGCTGCAATACAACACTAGTGGCTTGCTGTGGCCATAGCTTTCAGATTGTGAAGTTTCACTGAACCAAAGCGAGCAAAGGTACAGGCAAAGGTAGTCTTTTTCAAAAGTCCAGAGCCCACAGCATGTGTGGCCGAAGTGGGCTCGCTTCCATGTGGCAACTCCGCTATCATCAGCGCAGGCTAGCTGCAAGGGTCTTGAGAGCAAGGAAGAATTTCGCTTTTGTGTCATACTGCCCTTGATAAGCACGAAACAAGAGTGAATTTCCCCATTGCTCTCAAAACCTCCTCAATGGGCCAGTGCCAACCAAGGTGGCACTGCCGCATAGGAGCGAGCCCGCTCAGGCGAAGCGTGCCAGGAGACTCAACTTGTGTTAGAAAGACTACATAAATGACGAACACCAAGACTTTTCATTTAAAAAAATACAAAGCAAAAAAAAAAAAAAGGTGCGGACACGGTCATTACAGATTAGATGCACACTCCGCATCTTTGGAGGGTTCTTTCCTCAGGAAAGAACACCTTCTCGGCCATTGTGAGCATGGCCTCGTGTCTCGCAAAGACCCGCTGGGAGTTCAGTCGTGTCTCGGCCACTTTGTCCGCCAAGGACTGCCGAACCTTTTTCGCTTCGTCCTGGACTTGACGGATTTCAGCATCCAAGCCTGCCACCTGAGCAGAGATCGGACAGTGTAAAACGCAGCATGCAAGGAGGCAAACACAGCATGTCCCTCCGAAAAAAATTTACAGGGTTTTTTTTTCACCCGGAAAATAAACTATGCATCGCCGAACACTCAGACTTTGCCCAAAAGTAGCGCTAGTGGCTCAAACCAGATGCCAGCTTCAGAACTAACAGTTACCTTATTAAAAAGTGAACAGATTTTCTGAAAAGAAGGGCCCCTGAAAAGAAAAAAAAAATAATCTTTTTTTAACAGTCTGGGTGGGACACGAGACTCAAAAACTTAATTTTCTGTGCATTTTTTTTATTTTTTTTAGAGCAATATTGATGGTGAGAGACACTATTTAGTTGGCAGTCACCTCCTTTCCACTTGTTTTCTCTCTCTGCATTTCGGGTGCGTGGAGGAGATGTGGATTGGCTTCACGATCGAGATAGTCATTCCAGAATGACCTGCAACATTATGAACTTCGCGTGCAGAATTTCAAATAAACCTCTCTCCGTCAATATTGCTCTAAGACTTTTTTTTGTTTTGCTTAAAATTTATTTTTTGACATGCGAGTCTCAACCAGATTGTTTAAAAAAAAGGATTTTTCTTTTCAGGGGCCCTTTAAGTGGAAAAAAGGGCCCGTTTTTGGGAAATGACGCTGTTCATCCCCACATAGCTGCCATTTACCCACTGCCAATTTCAGAAAATTGCTTACAACCATTAAAAAAGATAGTTCTGGGACTCTGGCGCCTGGACCGGACTGCTAGTGCCATATTCGGGCAAAGGCAGAAAACGGCAATATGTTTGTTTTTGTGGCGAAAAACATTCCGTAAATTATTTTTGAGGCGTCCCATGCACAAGCAGTGGGACACAGTGCAACGGAAACCTTTATGCTGTCCGATCACAGTTGTACCAAGGCACCAAACGGTAGGATGTGCACGAAACGAGACGCGGGTTTCTCCGGTGCAAACCGACACGAAGGGACATTGCATTCATCTGATCGCCTAAAATTAGTAATATAGGATTTGGGGGCCCGCAGAAGAAGATGCCCAAATATGGCAAAGCAACCTGCACACTCGTGCGAATTTCGTAGGAAGAGTGAAAAATGCACCCTTTGCAGTTCTACAACCAGAATGGAACATCCAAGAGCAAACTGCCGTATGTTGCACGGTGCTGAGTGCAAGCAGCCTTTGTTGCGCAGGATACAGCAGAAGTTTTCTCTTTGGCGCTCAACTTGACAAAGAGGAAGCGTGTCACGTATTGAGGAGGGAGGGGAGGGCATGAGCGTTGCCTATGTTGGCACAAAAAGCAGAGCACACGGAACTATTTTCCTGTTGGCCGAAAGGCTGTGGGGACTCTTTTTGTCCACGCCCACTTCCGTGACGTTACGCCACCTCGTGCCCATTATAACCTCCTTGCCTACAATAGAATGGCGGCCAGCTGGCAGTGCCAGACCTCGGAATCCTTATAGCAGACCAGCTCTTGGCGCTCGAGACTGAGCTCCTCGAGGCGCTGCTTCGCTTGGGCCAACTGCTCCTTCTTGAAACTGAGCATGGACTGCATGGCCTGGTGCTGGAACGCCGTCTGGCCGTCCAGCTTGCTCTTCTTTTCGGCCTCTGCCTCCCTCTCCTTTAGCAGGCGGTGGTATTTGTCCTTCGCACTCTTCCTGCGTTCAAAAGCACGTGCAAATCAAAGCAAGAACAGCTCCTTCCAGCCGCTGTCACTTTGTCAATGATTACAGTTACAAGCAGTGTTACCAAAGGTACGGGGACAAGAGCATAACTCAAGCAGTTGGAGAGGGGACAACTTTCTCGGATTCTGCGATAATCGGGGACGACTTTCTGTGGCAATGCAGTCAAAGGTGTGGGAACACGTGTGCTCACGTGCTTCGAGCTGCACCCAAGGCTGCGCATGCGCACTCCCCCTCTTTTCGGAAAGGCGGTGGAACTTTCCCCCCGATAAAACAAAGCAGAGAATACAAAAGCGTAGACCTGCCTTTAAAATGCTCCCCTAAAGAAAACAAAAAAAATTTATATTTGGTTAGTTATTACTGATATAGAATTACGCTTAAAGGCTTGTTTACACATATGCATTTAGCGTGTTGCGCGATCTCTCGCAACTGCTTACAATGAGGGCACACGAGCACCATCTGTCAGGCAGCCCCGGAGCACGTCTAGTCCACAGACAAGGGTTCGCAGTTTTTGCGAGATCAAACCTATGCATTACATACGAGCAATGGTTGCCTATAACATTGTCAGAATTATTTCGAGACCACGGTAAGTGAATGATGCATAAAAAAATTAGATTGTACGAGCATGAGAGGAAACATTTATTTAGCCACGAGATTACGGGGGGCAGTTGCGTTGCGGCAGGGCAGAAAATATATACTAGGCAAAATGGAAGCGCCAGTGCGCCCTCTGGTCGCAGCTGGCTGGAAGCGAGTGCAGCACGATCAATATGTGAACCAACCTCAAAACAACACGGATAGAGAAGAGCACTTTTTAAGCAAGCTCCGGATGTTCCCAAGGACGTTACGAGTCTCACCGAACTCCGACGTTACAAGTCGCAGCAAACTCGTCGCAAGACAACCGCCCAGGCCACCACGGCGGTTTTAGGACACCAAGTGCGGTGCGACGGAGGGCTATGAAAAAAGACGGAGTACGGGACAGACCTGCGCGCGGACGCTTTGTCCTTGTCCTGCACCAACGACTCCAGCCGCTGCGCAACGGCCAGGCTGGAGAGCAGCTGGGTCTTGAGTTTGGTCAAGGCCTCTCGGTCTCTCGGAGCCTTCTGCATCTTGCGGCGCAACTCCTCTACCCTGGCTTGCAGATGACGACGCTCCTCCTGCAGCTGGGACGCTGTCTCCACTTCCTCAGCCAAGCACCGTCGCTGCCGCTCCGGCGAACGGCAGATTCTGGCTCGGACGTCGTGCACTGCAGACTTCAGGTCGAGGACCTCCACCTCACTGCAAAAAATGCACAGGGTGTGGCAGACCGCGAGATCACAGACCCTTTTCGAAGTTCACTGTGGCAAGTTTGATCCCAACCGTCACCGCGGGTAGGTGGCGCAAGCTACCGCCAATTATAAAGGGTACAGTCGTTAGCATCCATCCATCCATCTATGTATGACATCTGTGACAAACTAATGGCAGCCTTCTTGAGCCTGGTGAAGGAAGAAAGAAGATACTACCACAAGCCGAGGACATATGAGGCCTGAATGTTCAATATGTCATTGTGCTACACCACTCTCTTACCACAAAAAACTTTGCTCTAAAGGCTTTTGTTGGCAGATATTTAATCGAGGGACTTATGGGTCGCCACTTTGTACTGGTCAATTCTTATGTTCACACCATTGAAACTGAAACAAATCGAAACAGGATTTTGAGGTGATCAAAGGAGCAATTCTTATCTGCCACGATTTAAAACTGGACTAAAACGGAAGAGCAACTGGACGGCTGCCATTTAGGTTGGTCATTTGCCTGCTTGCATGAATTTGTAGAAAAGGTGCAATCAAAGCGACATTCTCATGCAGTATTGGCACGGAAAGCTGCAAACATTTGAGAAAAATTGCCTCATTACATGTCGCTGCAGGCCCCAGACATGGGCGAATGACCCTTCTGTGTTGTCACAACCCCTCAGCATTGAAGTAAGATTATTATTATGTTTGTGCCGTGTTTACCCAACAGTTCATTTTTTGAAAAATGCTTGAAAGGAGGCACTGTGAAGGTCCCTTAGGCACTGTATGTTGGTGGAAAATAGGAAATGGGACAATGCGCCGAAAAACTGAGGTAGCCAGAGCTCCGGCTGGAAGGACTAGTGGGGAGACCTCAGGCAGCTCCACTGCACTGATTAAACGCTTTAGAACGCAGAACTCCGGCGTCCGCCATTTGCCTTTCGCATTCGGACGCGTTCGACGAGTGTAGTGGAAACAAAGGCAGGCAGCTTTTGGGTCTAGCGGCTTACCCACTAATCATGCGAACCAGAACTCGGCATTTTCGTGTCAGTACTCGTCGACTCAATAGATAGGAGCGACAAAAACAAACCTCTTCTTCAGCTGCTCGGTCACCTGGCATTTGGCAATTTTTAAGTTCTTGTAGTCGTTCATCACAACCGCCTGCTTTGGCTCCTTGGTCGCCAGCGCCTTGTTTTCGGCCGCGAGCTCCCCTTGCGCTGCCGCCAGCCTCTCCGGGTTGATGCCGGGATGCTGGGACAGCTGGTTGACCTTGGCCTTGACCGCGTCCAGCTCGGCTCTTTTGGCTTCGCGGTCAGTTTTCGCGGCGGCGAGGCCCACCTCGATGTCTGACCACATGTTCCACTGCCGACCCAGTCGCACCCAGAAGTTGCAGAATATCGAGAGCAGCCTACGACTGCGCTTCGGCACCGGCTCGCTAATGTCGGATAGGCCGAAGTTGGGGACGCCCAGCTTCGTAAAGACCACCTGCATCAGTTTGTTGAGGTGTAATGTTGGCACGAAGCTGCTCACGTGTGCCGGCACAAGGAATTGGGGCATTTCGAAGGCGGTCTTGTTCAGGCCCGCCTCCTTGAAGACGCCGTAGAAGACTTTCGTCATAAATTCGCTCGTCGGGGCTTCAACTTCTCGTCGGGTCACCTTGTCGTTGAGCATTTCACTTAGCAAGGCTGCAAGGCGTTCGTGGCTATCCGCAGCTCGTTCCTATTTCGCGGTCATGACGACGACGACACGACGGTGACTGCCCGATTGGCCCGGTTGTCTTCGCGCGCGCGCGCAGCAAGGTATATTGGCTTGGATTGGATTACACCTTGACCTTGTCTGCATGTAAAACTGCTGCTTGTAAAGCTTGTAAGTTGCTTGTAAAGCTTGTAAGTTAAAAAAAAAAAATAATGTTTTTTTTTTTTTTTTGCTCGGTGATAGTTACAAAATTGGTTTTTAGTTTCTTGGCCCAATATAAAAGTTGTAGCAGTTACCTTTTATCCAACTAGGTGGCGACGGTTACCGCTCAATTAGAAAAAGTGCTACATTTACAAATGTTACTATCATAACTCTTTTCGGTATAAAAATATTGTGGCATTTCAAGTTCTAACGTCTTATTGAAGGGCAATGTTGGCAATGTTCACTCCAGCTACTCTTCATAAGCTTCATAACGTGTAATCGTGTAATCCAGTAAGCGCTGTGGCTCTTGTGTTTGGGTCGGCCGTCATCCACGTGTTCGGCTGGTTCGGCCGGATTTGTGGAAAACCAACCAACCGCCACAACCAACGAAGTTCGAAAGTTGCAGGTCGAAAGTTGCAGTGTTACAAAGACTTGTTTTTTAACAACTCACGTTAGAGTAAACGGCAGTCATGTCGGGCTTACCAGCTGACTATGTTGACTTCGATTCGTCGGGTTCTGAGATGGACGAAATTGTTTTCGCCGACGACGATTTCCACTTAAACAACAGCAAAGCAAAGACACGGACTTCGGTCAGTTGTTCTCGACAACCGCTTTGAAGTGGCTTCTTTTAAATTCCGATTTGATCTCTTTTCGCAGCCGACTAAAGCTCTTTCTGCGGAGCAGTGGCAGCTCCCGTCGGCAGAAACAGCTACGCTGGACCACGACTACACCGCTTACGGAGTACATGAACATCCTGAGGATGTCGGTATTCGGGTGCCTGCGGAATTGCAGGAAGATTTTCGGGTGGCTGTTTCGCGAGGCAATGTGTCCATGGTCCGGGATTTGCTCGATCAAGGCACGTTCAAAGTAGTCGTTTATTATTGTTTTACATCTGCATGATTTCTCGAGTTCTCTTTGATGTCTGTCATCACAGTGCAGGGATTCCTGTATCCGCTGCATTTCACAAGAGCGAAGGTTTTAAGAGATTTCTGAGGTCAAATGTGCGTAATACCTATGAGAAAGGGTTGTTTATAACGCTGACAAAAGGTTTTTTTTTTTTTTTTTTTTTTTTTGAGGAAAGAAAGGAAGAACGAAGCACCCGATAAATTGAAAATATACGGGACCGCCAAGTTTCCACTGCTATCCAATAGATGGCGCCAGCGTGTCCTCTCGTCGTAAGCGATTTTAAGACGTTCCAAGGCACTCGGTCTTAAAGGGATACGGAAACGAAAATTGAAATATTCAAATTTCTTTCGGAAATGAATAACCATAAATGCTAATCCCACATTTGTGTTTTGAGTGACTTGCTATATTTTTTATTCCAAATGGTGCTCTCGAGCAAGCGCTCGAAGGGAAGCGAAAGGAGAGCGCGATGCGTCATGGGATATCCAGCGCAAACAAACCATAGAAAAAAAAAAAAAAAAGATTCCCTGCATTCATGACGTAGCAAGGCTGGCGGGGTTATGAGCTTTGCCGTTGGTGGCATTGTCAGTGTTGTGGGGGTGTCAATAGCGTCAATGTGTTACAACCGAGCCGTTTGAAGTACCCGTGGGGTGACGAGCGTGTGGCTTTTTGAGAGTAGTTATGTTCAACTAATTAACCGGGGATTATCTTTCCAGCAAGCTTTCAACATATTTATTAAGGCTTTTTTCTCTAATTTAGTTTTATGAAGAGTACACCATGACATGAACTTGTAGCCAGGATAACATTGTGCAACGAGGAATCTTTCAACTAAAAATAAGCCACTATAACATGGCATGGCCATCATGCTCAAGAGGAAGCTGTAGCACGAATGTGTTGTGTGACGACTTATAATGAACCATATACCGCGTATTGATGCAACTGTATTTCTTGGGTTTCTGTATTTTTTTTTATTATATGTATGCTGATTGCTTGCGCAGGTGTCGCAGTTCAAATGCCTTCTCGGGGCAACTGGTCAGCTCTCGTGCAAGCCTGCAGTGATGGATGCCTCGAAATGGTTCAACTTTTGTTGGACCACGGAATGGATCCAAACGGACAGGAGGGTGGGCTGCACTCTTTTTTCGCTAGATTTCTGGGGAATTCAAAGCTTTAGTCTGGAAAAATGTGTGACCGTGTGTTCAGATTTTAGCAGCATAATACACCGAAGACACAGAAACAAAAAGGATATACACAACACCGTCTCTGCAGTGTTGTGTACGTCCTTCCTGTTTCCGTGTCTCCTATTTATTATGTTGTATAGTATTCACCAGCTCAACTGTGCCCTCAATCTTCTTTCATTAAGATTTCTTTCATTTAAAGGGACACTGACAGGGTATTTATGCTCGCCGAGGTTTTTAGTTGTACGTCACATATGAGAGCTCAACTACCCAGAGCACAATTTGCGGCTCGAAATTCGGTTCCTTTCCGCCTGAAAACCGCCGATCAAGAACTGGCCGGTTCGAGGCTCGCTCACTCTCTTTTCCGCGGTCACGGGCCATTTTCTAAGGTATCGATGCGACCACCAAATTTAATCAAAGTCGTGGGTCACTGAAGGCACACACTCAATGTTAAAAATAGAAAAAAATATGAAACCCATTTTTTTGTGGCTTCTAAAAAGCTGCAAATACGTTGATTGAAAAAGAAAGTTCCACAGACAACCGGAAGCATTCTGTGCGTTCGTCGTCTCGCGTATCGTGGGACTCGCGGGAACGGCGATGGCAGCGGACGACGGGCGTGGGACCTCTATTTCAGAACTGTCGTTCGCGGTACCGGCGAATTTCGTCTACCTTTAAAAAAGAAATTTGGGACTTATCAAAAGAATTGGTATTCATCACGTACGACATGCCCGACCACCAAGCCGATTTGCACGAAGACGTCGCCGAGCCGTTGCTCCCTTCTCGTGGCTGAAGACATCGCTCGCGCAAACGTCAAGCACGACGTGTCTACTTTGAGTTCAATATGCACGTGTACGATTTCTTTACTAGGTGCGAATGTCGCCAATGCGTGGTGCTTCCCGACTTCGACCCGGGAGTGCTTTTGCTAGAGGAAAATCGGCAAGCAAACTTTCAGACTTACAGTTTAGCGGCTCAAATATTACTAAGGAAAAAGATCCACCAGTGCTGAGATTCCCAGTAAGAAAGACGTCCGCTTCACACGCGGTAAGGCCAGGTTCGATCCCCCGCGAAACTTTTTTTTTTTTTTTAACATTTTTTGATGTTTACATATCTTTTTTTTTATCACTGAAGAAACAAACAAAAAAATAACAAACAAATGTTGTGGACGACACTTCGCTGAATTAAATGGTATGGGATTTCCTCTTTGACACCTGCGAACTCAATGTAATCACTTTCCACAAAATGCAAGGAGCATATAAATCAGGTAGCGTCCGCTTTCCGAGGTGCCCGTAAATGTTCTACAGGAATTGCAGCCAGCCATTGGTCCCGATGATCTTTCGGAAACTCTGTCGCACAATGCCCCTTTTTTTTGGACGCAGGACATGTAAGCCAGCTCTTCACGCAGCATCTTGGGTGTATTCGTTTCGGAGCCGATCATGGAAATTCACCACGGGCACGCACTACTCATCTCCAACCCCTCAATGTACAAAACAAGTACAGAACAACGAGCGGAACAAACATAACTGCAAAAGAATCGCACGGCGAACGGTTCCCGTACGCCGCATATCGTGTCGTCTGCTACGGAGAGGAGAAAAAAAACAAAAAAAAAAACGCACGGTCGGGTGTAGCCACGTGACTTCCGCCACTCCACTCTCTTCTCTCCACTTCTCCGACCTCCGTCGGGTTTCGGCTTCGGTTTCGGTTTCGAGCAGTTGCGTCTTTTGGCTTTATTAAAAAAATACGCTACTCTGTTGCAAAATATTAATTGGGTAGTCCTCTGACACCATAATAAAGTGCCTGGCAAAAAATGAACAAAAAAGTTTGGGGGGTGTCAGTGTCCCTTTAACAGCTACCTTCAAATCTTTTGCTTTTCATTATGACCTGTGTATGATATTCTATTACCTGTTACTACCGACGGTGAGTGAAAAACGTCTAGCTTTGTTTATGTGAGCCTGCGCATTGTGAAGAGCGGGTGCTTTGCTATCGGCAACTTTGGTAGTGAATTGGGTGTTGGGATTCGACTTATTGACTGTGCAAACTTCCTGGGTGGCTGAAGAATGTTCCTGTCCTCTGATAGCAGTTAGAAATGAAACGGCTCTAAAGTCATAGCATCACTCTCCCTCTATCTTTTCTTTGCAGTGTTGTATTTCTCTTCTTTCTTTCAAGTATTCATTATCACACTCAAACAAATTTTAATGTCATAATCTAAATCCTGAGACAAGAATTTAGACCCAAAATTGACCCAAAATCTTAAATGCAGCTGAGTTTAGTGATTAAACTCAGCTGCATTTGAGATTTTGCGTTGTCTTGTTCATTATTTTATTTCTCCTTATCTCAGGATTTAGATTATGATATTTTGTAACCAGCTAGCCTGCATACTTTAGCTCATAATCTTTTTTTCTTCTTTTTTTTTATATTGTTGCAGCTTTTCTGACACCTCTGATGGCTGTCTGCGGCTCTCAGAAGCAAACGGAGGAGACGTTGGAGAGCTGTGCAGTGGCACTATTGAAGCATGGGGCAGACCCCAATTTAGCCGAGAGGCAAGTGAACCTGAGTGTGTGTCTCATGTCACGAGTAGAAGGACGCAGCCACTCTCACTTATTTAACGCTCAAATTCAACCGCTGTTCAACCTGATTCAAAATGAACTACTACCATGACACTTAATCTTGACTTGAATGCCCATGTAATTTGATATTAAAATATTCTGGCCGGAGACGAGAACTTAGATAGATGGACAGGAAATGACAGGAAGGTTTGTCATCTCTCTTGTGCCTCTTTCATAATTTTGTGTCCGATTTTTTAACATAGGCAGCATTGCATGTTCCTCACCAATTTAACCAATGGCACTCATTGTAATTCTAGTTTTGCTTTGTAATTGTAATTTTAAATCCTGACGATTTTGTACACATACAGTGATGCGGCACCAATAGAAGTCAGATCTACCCCTACTTCCAGACACCACACTCTTTGCTCGTTTTAGCCTCAGGCGCCTGATGTTTCCACGTAAATGTGATGATATAGTTTTTTTTTTTTAATAATTGAAGACTAGCGTATTGGTGAATAGGTGCGAATACATGAAAGGATAAAACATCAAGGACGGGAACGGAAACAGGACTTGTTTCATTTAGCAACATAAAATGACACAAAATGTAAAACCTTTCCCCAAAAGTTTCAACGTTCTCAAAGGGGGAAGGAAAAAAATTGATGAAGGTAAAGGAAATTTACCATAAATTTAAAAGTTCAAAAAGCAGCAGTGTTACGACAAGCTATCAGTAATCTAGTCATCTCTGCTGTTAGGAATTCGACCTCTGTCTTTGTCAGTGACAATAAATATTGTTGTTGACAGTCCCCATGGCAAATGATTCAATGATTTCTCTTCCAAATCTGTTGTGCCCGCTCAGTATTCTAGTATCTGAGAAACAAGGAGTACAGTCATTGCGCGTGCTGCTGTGACCGACGATTGGGTGAAAAGACTCATTTGAAGCCTTTGATTCTTCCAAGTTGTGTTCTCTGAGTCAATGGTTAACGCATCTCCCAGTTTGTCCGATGTACTGACTGCCACAGCTTAGTAAAACTGCGAAAGCTAGTTTTTTGTTTTTTTCTTTTACTTAATTTTTTTATTATGCTCATTCGCAGTAAGGGCCAGGCAACACCGTTGATGGTGGCCGCTCGTGAGGGCCACTGTCGTCTGCTACAGCTGCTGCTGAGTCACGGTGCGGACGTCAGTCGTCAAGACAGCCGGGGCTGGTGCGCCGTCAGTTGGGCCGCCTACGCCGGCCAGGGGAGATCAGCTCGCACCCTCCTCCACCTGGCACGACCAGATCCACTGTCCCTGATCACCCTGGACGGGCAGATGCCCTCAGACCTGGCCATTGGTCAGGGGTGCCACACGGTCAGTAGCCTCACTAGAGCCATTGGTGACCTTTTTCATTTACACTTGTGACACTTGGTAAATCAGGTTTGACCTTAGTGACTCTTGTTGAGAGGGCTCTGTACTCTGCTGCTCAGTACTCTGCTTTTAGTCAGTACTCTGCTACTCAATGCTCAATACACTGCCACACTGTTTTGACCAATCAGATGATTGATTATCTAGATGGTTTAGCTGGCGATAGTTGTTGCTATCGCTTGTTTTAAAATGGTTATTTGTCGTCTTCTACCATCTTTACTTCCTTTTGTCTTGAGCAGGGAGCGGTGACATAAATAAATATAAAGTGTTAATGTAACTGTGCTTCCTTTTGGATGGTGTCATACCTTCCAGTTTGAGTCTCAATCATCTTGAAAAAATTCTCATTGCACCCCAGAATTTTTTTAAAAATTTTTTGTCAGGCAGTTTAGTATGGTGTCAGAAGACAGAACACCTTTGATGACCGACGACTTTTATTATATTTGGTGTGTGTGTCTAAACCATAGAGAACGGCACGTGACCCCAGGGAAGAGGGTGAGCGAGATTCAAACCGGCCAGTTCTCGATCGGCAGTTTTTGGGCGGAAGGAAAACACATTTCGAGCCGGAAATTGTGTCCTAGGTAGTTTGGCTGTTATATATCAAGTACAAACAAAAACCTTGTCGAGCATAAATACCCTGTTAGTGTCCCTTTAATGCATGCCGTCTTAAGCAAGGTTGTTTGATTCAGTCAGAGATTATTGAGTCACTATTATCGATTATTTTGGTATTGAGCTACTATTGATTATTACTGGGATTATTGTGCTATTTTGACCTAGGATGACATCCCAAAGAATGTGCTAGTATACATTTGTGCTTTGCAAAAATTAAGGCAAGAGTGCTCCCTTTTACCACTGTCACCAGTAGGCCAGGGAAATGTTGGTTTTGCTAGCAGGTAGCATGCTTCTCAAACGCCATATTGCCAAGAGCGCAAAGAAGATGTGCTACGCTACATTTCTTTCTGTCCACAACTCCCACATAATTTTTTTTAAGCCTTCTCGATCTTTGCTCGCAGACAACGATTTGCACTGAGCACCACTTGAGCCGTAATTCGACGAAACATAGTGGGCGGAGGTTCGGTCGCGAAACGTACGGTAGAACGAACCTCGTCCCAACCAGCCTGCTCGAGTCACGTTCGTAAGGCCAACGCTATTAACGTCGTTTAGCCAACAGTGGAGCAGTGCTTACTGCTTTTGAAGGGAGGTCACTCCAAGATATGCCTGTCCCTAACAGAAAGTGGCTAACCTTGAAATCTTTCCTACTTCTGCAAAACTTCCAGCTCGGCCAAACACTCCTCAAGTATGAGACAGAGTACCAGCAAGGAGACGGAAATGTTGTTCCAGACGATGAGATCGCTGCCGGTATGCCCTCTCCGAGGTGAGTCTCGAGCCGCAGTCACACACCGCTCCTACATCACACAGAAGAAGACAAGGTGTTCGCTACTGATACAATGACAGAATTATCTGCGAACATGCTTCAAACGTGTCTGCAGGCAGTTTGTGTGTGACCATACGAGGAAGAAACGTGCCTCGGACACGTCTGGAGGCTGTCTTTTGTATGGCATATTAGCGGTGCAACTCCAGCTTTACTAATTCTGCTAGATAGTTTCCAGCTGTCTGGATCCTTTGGAAACAGTCTTGCCACAGGCGTGGTAAGGTGCATGGCAAAGTATTGCATCCCAGCATTACAAATGAAGCAACAAGCTTGCGGACGAAACGGTACGACTAGAGTGTGTGTGACACCGAGTGAATGCATTTATCTAGCACTTTCATTTCATTTCATTTTATTTATTGTTCCCTCAGTGCCCAAAGGCATTACAGAGGGGAGGGCGTGGGGAAAAAAAGATTACAGTAACAAAATACAAATTTCAGGTTACTAGGCCCAATCAACGAGAATATTATTATAACGGCAGTTCTAGAAAGTTTGGAGGTCGGGACGGTTACAGTTGTCGCGGGGACGAGGTTCCACTCCTGGGATGTACAGGGGGACGAAAGGTAAATGAAACAAACGGGGGTGGGAGGGGAGGGGAGGGGAGGGGAGGGGAGGGGAGGGGAGGGGAGGGGAGGGAAGGGAAGGGAAGGGAAGGGAAGGGAAGGGAAGGGAGGGAGGGAGGGAGGGAGGGAGGGAGGGAGGGAGGGAGGGGAGGAGGGGAGAGGAGGAGGAGGAGGAGGAGGAGGGGGGAAGGGGGAGGGTCAATTGGTCGCATAGGATAAAATATAACTATGATTATAATTAATAATTATGACTCCTAACTAGGGTTTCATGTTTTAGGTATATACCGATAAGCCCCAAAAAGTAACCCCTGAGCCGGTTATGTCAAAATTGTGGGAGAGTGCAAACCCCCAAATCGGAGCTGTTCTTGAATGAGAAAAGCTTCACGTGGAGAAAATCTCTACCTGCAGGTTTATTCTGTATTGGCCTGGGACGCAGCCCACACCGAACCGCCTGCGGGGCTGCTTCTTTCTTTGGGAACTTATATTGTTTCCTTTTCTTGTCAGTTTGGGGACGTTTTTCAAGTATATTCGTGTTGTGTGTCGTGTGGAAGTTTTGGAATCCCACGACCGTGACCTGCCTATTCAACTTGGGCCTACATAAATGCCAGCCTCTTGTCCAACACTAAGAAACACCAAATCTGTTGGAGATAATAAGCCACTAAAAAAAATGCCCCCAACCTCAGACTCTCAAAAATAAACCCTACTCATAAGATGCTCACTGCGAGCCCGATAGTGTCCGACGACATTCAAGTTGCGAAGGAGCGGAATGGTCTCGTGTGCAGGGGCTTCAAAGATGCCTTCGGAGACGTTTCTCTGATGCTTGCGGCCATGGGGGCCGAGCACCTCTTGCCGACGTTCGAGAGCCACGGAGTCGGCTTTCGGGAGATGCTGACGCTCGATGATGCGGCGCTGTCAAAGGTGATGGTACCGCTCGGATGCTCTCCACTCGACGCTCTGCCAAGCCGTGATGCTAGCACGTTGTTGTTGGTACCGCTCGAATGCTCTCCACTCGACACTCTGCCGAGCCGTGATCTCCGACGCTATCACGTTGTTAGTGTTACTCGCTCAAATTAGTTCTCTGCTATTTCCTCCCTAAACTCTTATTGAATTCACGTGAGAACATTTTTTTACATAAATGGAGCCTAAAGAGCGTTTTCTCGTCACGTGTGGATAGGTTGGAGGCGGGGGTCCGTTGGAGACCCACGAGTCAAATGTCCATTCTGTTCGTGGGCCAACACATTTCCAGGAACTTACTTGTCAGCAAATTTGCCAATAAACAATGGCTTCTGCAAGTTTTTTTTTTTGGAACAGCGTTTACAAAATTTTGATACGATTGACGATAGAGCTTGCGCAACTTAGCTGCGCGACACAGAGAGCCAAAAGTTGCTCCTTTTTCAGATGGGGGTGGAGTCTGCCAGCGAGAGAACCAAGCTCCTGGAAGGCATCCAATCGACTCGGCGCTTCCAGGTGCACAGCCACGTACCGTAAGCGTCCCTCGTGTTCCCTTTGGTGCGGGTGCGGGGGGACGACTTGTTTGCCGCAAACACGTAACCCACCAGCAGGACTCTGCATCTGTACAGTTAGATGTGAAGGTTCGTACGTTTGATCGCACTGTCTTGCATTCAATGTCCGACAACTTTCGCGACTTCGCCAAAACCAGGGTGCCTGGAACGCATCTCCGACCGGTGCATTTGGCGTCCCATCCTGCTATCAAAAGTGCTTCCAGAGTGGTGGAAGGTGACGTTGCAAAGGCTGGCGTGTCATGCCGTCGGTCGTCGCAATCCCTGCAGAAAGTATGAGCGAATGGGAGAGTCGTCGTCGTTGCGGCGTCCCAACTCTCGGATGCCAGAGCGACCCGCAGCAGAACAGGCGTCTGTCACCACTGCTGCAGTGGCACCGCAGGGATCGCGGCCATCGACGACGTGATACTTTTATGATGTCGTCGTTGGGCAGGAATCGGGGGGACTACTCTTTAGGTTGCGGTAAGTGCACCGGTGGGAGATGCGATCCTGGCACCGTTCCGAGACGGACCAGGCTCGGCGAATGTCGAGCCCAGTACTTCCGCGATCTGCGCCGACAAACTTCGCAACACGAGTGCTGCAAAGTCGACAGTGATGCGCAGCGTCCTGTGCCTACATTTTTTGAGAGGGTGGTTCACGCCGGAGACGCGTCATAGGCATGCGGGTTTTTGGATGTAGAACAACGGCTGCTCACCTGTACGGGCAAGCTGGTGCTAGTTGAAAGAGATGCCAAGCTCGATTATTAACTAAATGATCCGTGTAAAATAATATTTGACTTCTTTTATTGCGATTGGCTAGAGCATTTCAATGTCATATTCCCGTCACAGTGGCAGTTCCTCGCTTTACTCCCCAATGTTTTTGGCTGCACCGGCAAGATGGAACGCTCACCACTTCTACTGTTCTATCCCCCCTCCTCCCCTCATGTAATGCCCTTAAATGGGCCTTTGAGGTACCGTGAATAAATAAATAGCATTTACTCAATTGTGAAAATGTTAGGAGTGTAGTCGGAGTGATCCCACGTGATCCAGATGCTTGTAGATTAAAGGACCTCTGACGAGGCACTTGTGCATGTTAAGGTATCGCGACTCACAAGGGCCCAATATCTAAGAAGAACCATTTTTAAGGTGCTTTTTTTTAACACGTAAATCACAGGTTGACTTGGACATAGGGTGACCACCTTCCTGATAGCGAAATGCGGGACACACGAGGCAGTGGGGGGGGGGGGGGGGGGGGGGGGGGTAGAGGAAATTTATTAACGCACACTACGAACCGAGGCTCTGCTAACAGATTTAATATCCTGTGCTGTTTATAAACCTGCTAATTGTATTGTAGCAATTAAGCTCAAATAATTTGCACTCCCAGTTATATACATTTTTTATGCCAAACTTGTTATTAAATGTGTCGAAATTGAAAACATAAAAATCGACTGAAGCAGAACTCAATTTCATTTCATTTCATTTCATTTATTTACTCTCAAGGCCGATGCATTACAGAAAGGAGTAGTGAAGCAAAAAAAAAAAAAAAAATGCAACATGAACATAAACACAGCAGGGAGATTACAAAAAATGGTTGCAAACGGCACTTTTGAAACGGTCGGCGTCAGTATGCATCAAATGGAGTAAAGAAACAGTAAATCTTTTTCGGGTTATAGTTTCCTGTCAACGCTTAATTTTATCAACATGGTCCTACAGAAATTTTTAACATTATGTTCTTTTTCGACTGTTGTGAGTGGCAGGCTAGCTTTTGCCTTGTGTCTTCACGAAAAAAGAAAAAAAAGAAATCCGTGGCAACTCTTTTGCATTGACAACGACAGAGAATGACACTTCGTCCGTGTCGTTCTGTGTTTGTCCCTTGTCCGTATTCCCTGTCTCGGGTTTACAACTATGCTCAGTTTACACCAGCTAGCCTGCACCCTCACCATTGCTTCATAAGAATGAGCGTCGGTTCTCCTGCAAGAACGACGGTTGCTTCCCGCAATGCCTGGGTAGAAAATGGCGTACCATTGCGATTCACACGATTACCAGCGACCTCCACGCTTTCCCGTGCCCCGTTGTTCGACAGCGCCATGGGTTGCAGAGTAAATTTTACGACAGGATGAAATGCGGGACATTTTGAAGATTTGGAAATTTCTCGCGGGACGCAGGACACGAGCCCTCAATGCGGGACAGTCCCGCGAGTCGCGGGACGGGTGGTCACCCTACTTGGACACTTGTGATTCCTTACTCTTTTTCCGTCTGTCACGTGCGACGGCAATTTTTTAAGAGTAGTGAGCCCTCTAGGCTATTATTCACAAACTATAATTATACAGTCCACAAAACTCTGATGTTATGACAACCGAAACGCCAATAACAGGTTAATTTATAGAAATTCAAACAGGTAGCTGGTCGTGTGGAGAGAATAAATGCCTGTGACCTCTGGAGTTTCTAATGTCAACTTCCTCCGGTTTCAATTTGCTGGTCACTAATGGTGAATTAATAACTTTTCGAGCGTGTCAAAAGTTTCCTTTACAATGAATCAATCATCAGGATCAGGGGTTGGCAAACTTCGCCGCAGCGAGCCAAATCGCCGCGAGATTGAGCAGGCCGGATTAAAAACCAAGGGGAAGTGAATGATCAGCTTCTGAATATCTTTGATATGGTGCACAGTGAACTGCTATGCCCTGTGTTGCACACTGCATCTTGTGAGGCTCTTGGGGCGCAGGTTGCGCCTCCATCATTTTCGAGGACGCACAGTTCTCATTTCAACGTCCAAAGACCTGGATAAACTAAAGGCTCTCAGTTCAATTGCTATCTGTAATGATAGGCTACAAGATTTATGCTAAAATTCTGACCAGTGGCTTGGTCGGAATCTCCATAGTAAGCCTCTGTATGTGACAAAAACTGGTGAAAATGACAATAGTACAAAACCGTGATTTCGAGCAGTTTATGCTCTATACAATGATCTTAATTATTGCTTTTTAAGGCATCACTTTTGGTGCACAACAACAGCAGATAGGTGATACATACAGTGAATGTGCATAGAATACTAACCCCGGGGTGTGCTTCTTCAGAAATAATACGTTACATAAGGTTTGCAACCAACCATATTTCTTGCGCCATTAGTCGTCGAGAGTATCTGTGTGTGGTGTTAAGAAGGGGGGGAGGGACTCTGGTAGCTTGCTACGGGTCTCTGGTTGCTGACCCCTGAGCAGGAAATGAATTGAGAGAACTTTTGACACCGCTTTGTAGCTGCACCGGTATGGACTTGACACTGGAGTCATTTCTGTCCGCGCTGGACCTGAGCGACTTGGCGGACACTCTGCACGAACACGGGGTGTCCACCTTGGATGCCCTTCTGCGGCTAGACGACGCGGGCTTGGAGAAGGCGGGCGTCGCACAGGTCGGTCTGCGAGGCCGGCTGGGGGCGGCCATTCAGAGGGCCCACCAGATGCCCTGGCACAAGAGCAGCGTGGTGGACCTGCGGTCCTCCAACCCCATCTCGTGAGTCTTCTGTAAAACGTTCGAGCGATTTAGCAGCCGGGAAAAGTTGTTGCTTATGTCGCAGCGATGCGATCGGATGGCACACAATAGTGACAAGCGTAGCCGAGTGGATAGTTGGGCCAGTCGGGTCATCTTGGAAGAATGGAAAAAGTGCAATGTCGACATAATAGCAATATTCTCTATAAGGCAATGGCATGTGTGTAAATCTTTTCTTGTTTTTGTTCTGCTCAGAAACGTCCCACGAGGTGCATTATGTAGGCGGAGCATTCACACGCTCTCAAAATGGAAAAGTTGGTTTACAGTTGCTGGCCGAAAATTTTGATGCGCTCGATTATTCGTTTGTCTGCGTGGAACTGTCGCCCACCCTATAGAGTTGATGTGCAACAACCACTGAAATAGTGTCAATCAACTCCTTGCCCCCATTTTTGGACTCGATTTGCACCGTTAGCCCACAATACCACCTCGTAGAGAGCCACAATTTTGCCTCTGTCTCGTAGTCTAGATATTATGTCCAATGCAATAGAGAAGCTGGACCGAGGCTACAGTCGGATGTTACAGTTTCGTTGTAGCTGGCACGGCCACCGTCCGTCCTGAAGGCGACCACAACATGAGTGCTCTTCTTTTCATGTTCTTTGGATGCGAGTGCTTCCTGTCGACATGTCCAGAACGAAAGCAATTTTGGTGGGCCAAACATTGTTTGCGAATCGATTGCAAATGGCGCCGACAAAGGCCCCAATGAATGCAGCAAACGCACCAGGATGGCAGTGGTGGAAACAGCTGCCCTATTACTGCCGACATCACCTGGAAGGAGCAATTTATAAAAGTGGGCTGTCTTTTGATGTTTTTGAACGAACAGAAAATTATACCTAAATATGGAGTGGGTTATCTGTAGGTCATGGATATTTTGGCGTTTGTTTATAAGAAAAATCAACAATTTTATATTTTTTTTTTATGTCTGTATGTTTGGATGATTTGTTTTGGGCAGATGCTAAAATGGTGATTATAGGTATAAAAAAGTTAATAAAAGACTGTCTTCAAGTCTAAGAGGTGACGGTTTTGAGAAAACAGTTCTAGCTGGAGAACAAACTTCCAGAAATTGGCGTTCTTTGCTTTTAACCAATTTAGTATTTTTGACACCAACGGATGTTTATCAATGTTTTGCGGATTTTGTATTTTTAACATTGACGAATGTTTACTGGTGTTTTTCGGTTAAAATTGGAAAGGCTACGGCCTACCGTAAAATACCGAGCATGTGCCAATGCCGCAATAAGCACCCACCAGCTACTTTTGGAATGTTTTAAAAAATGAGCATAGGACACATTGAACCCCCACCCTTAAAGTGACACTAAAGTGGTATTTAAGATTCCCTTTTTATGGTGGAAACTTAATCTATCTGCTTTAAGTGTAATGGAAAACTGAAAATTATAATCATGCATGACTTTTTTTCTCTGTCAAAAACACGGCCAAACACCGTGACACGCCCCTTTTTCTGATATTTCTCCTCTAAAGGGCCCTGTTGCAGAGTTTGCTCGTGTTTTTAAGGGCGAAAAAGGCCACACATGGTTGTGCTATCGTGTTTTATGGGATGCTTAGGGTACATAGATTCAGTTTGTGCCATAATATCCACTTTCGTGCCCTTTTAAAGGACACATGCAAAGGAAAAAAACATTTTTTTTTAACAGCCTGGATGGGAAAGGGAAGTCATAAAACTAATTTACAAGGAAAAAGAAAGCCTTTTAGGGCTATATTTACGGCACGAAACGAATTTGTAGTTGCCGCCCACAGGCGCCGCGAAAAAGTGGCCGCTATTTATCATGGTGCTTGCGCTCTTTCAGAAGCTTCCTATAATCTCTAAAAGTTACTTATTCATCTTCGTTTAGAGCTCAAAGGAAGCTCCTGAAAAAGCACCAGCACCGCGTGATAGACCTGTGCGCTGGTCAGAAGCGCGCCGGCCTGTTTCCTTCCGGCGGTGCTTCACACTCAACGTGCGGCGGCGGCATGACTGCGGTGGTGGCCGTGCAGCGTGGCAGCGCACAAGTCTATCACAAGACCAGCAACGGCTCTCGCGGGCGCCAACTGCAGATTCGTTTTGCGCCGTAAATATACATGTTTCCAAGAAAGGCTGCTATGCGCTGCCATTTTGAGTGATGCTGGCGCTGCATAACATTTCCGCCATGCTGGGGTGCACCAGGGGATGTACAATGACAAGATGGCAACGTCTGCTGTATCGCCGACGGCCAGCATTGGCAACAAACTTATTGTTTCGGAACACAGAAGGAGGTATCCACACAGAATCATAGCATCAAATATTGTAGGATGGGGCATGTTTAAGGGGTTGGACTTTATAACGATTGCAGCCTTTATTCCAGCACGTCGTGGAAGCCAGAGCAGGCGTGAGTGCAGCCATCGTTGATGCAATATGGCCATGTGACTTCTGGCGCATTCTGATGAGCACTTTGAGACTTCAGATATTTTTGCAATTATTTGATTTGTTACTGGTTTAGGTATTTTATTTATTGTTTGTGCTCTTTCGTGGTTGAAGACAACACCTGTGTGTTTTTTAAATAATTTTTTAATTTGTTTCTGCACTCAGTGGTGTATGCTTGGCAACATTGTACGACAAGCAGCAAACGTCCTGGCTGGAGAGTAGGTCCGCCTAGAGCACTATATAGCTCCTTCGGAGCAGAGTAACGCAATCCTTTGATCCACGTGTTTTGCCGACAACATGGCCGACAGAGCAGCTCGACGCAAATCACGTGGTACTCACGGTTCCAGGAGGCGCCCGCCCTGTGGGAGAACGCATAAAGATTGACACAACACGGCTGATTAAAAAATAAACGCAGAGTTCACACTTTTCAAAACAAGTCTGTCGTGAAGTTGGTAAAGCACTAAACGCTTTATCAAAGTTCTTTTAATATTTGATGCGTGGGAAAATTTTGAGAAGGCAATTTCCAAGGCATTGGCGTTTGAAGCAGACGATTTTCTTACGCAGTGGAGATGGACTTTTTTGGTTGGCCAGATCGAGTCACGCAAACGGTGCGGCGTTTTCTTTGCGCGTTTTCTGAACAGCGTGAGAGACCGTCGATACGTATAGCTTCTAGCTGCTTCCAAGCGATCGTCCTCCACTGCGCCGCATCGTCTGCTGCATGATGCCACCCAGGCAATTCTTAAAACAAATTTACGTTATTCCGTGGCACACAACTTGATGCAAATTATTGTAAAATGTTCCTTTATTATGTCAAAAACTATTGTCGTTCCGTACATCCCCAAAATATTGAAGAAAAAATTATTTTCCCACATTCCCCTTACATTTGTTACCGAAGTTATACCTCCGAGTGTTTGCCACTAGTCGCCGAGAGATGGCGCTACTCTGCTCCGAAGGAGCAGAGTAGCGCCTGCAAAGTAGTGCAATAGCAAAGTAGTGCAATCGAACTGCGCACCTTACCTCGGCGCGCGGTTCGAGGTTAGGCCGGGATATTACTTGCAAAGATGTATAGCTCTAAAAAATTTTTTTTTTTTGTTGTATATTCGTTTTTATTCATTCTTTTTCCATCTAGGCTGTTTAAAAAAAATGTTTTCTTTTCCTTTGTATGTGTCCTTCAAGTTCTTTGCCCACCAGGGTTCTCCCCAAAGTGGGCGGCAGTGGTTTTGCCGCCCTCCAGTCTTTCTGACTGTCCACCTTTACCATGTCCAACCCACCTTTATATTTTGCCTCCGCTGGACGAAACAATGTTCTTTTTGTGTTCAATTTCTTATATATATTAACAATCTTCCTCACCAGATAACATCATCTATTAGGCTTTTCGCGGATGATTGCGTAATTTACCGTTGCATCAGTAACCCTGAAGATTCATTATTACTACAGTGAAACCCGTTTATAACGAACAGCAGGAAACGCTACAATCAGTTTGATATAGCAAGTAGTTCGATATAGCAAAACCCATTTACAAAACCCAACTACGACTTTCCCGACGATTAAATATCGATCTTTAAATCGCTGCAGCCACCCAGATCCAGCGGTGAAGCCCTCAACGTTCAGGAGGGATGCAAAATCTCTAGCCTTGCTTTTCAACATCGGTCTGAAGACCGGCAGGTTCCGCGCACGGATGTCCAAAAACCATTGGTACAGCGCTTTTTCCGCCTTGTCGTATGCCGGCTTGCGGATGCGCCTGCTGTCCGCGTTTGGCCGTTCAGGGGCCTTGTCTCGGATGGCAGACTTGTTTTTAAGAATTGTACTCAGCGTACTTCTGGGGATCTTGTAGGCGGCGGCAACGTCTGATTTCTTTCGCCGTGCTCCACACGACTGATGATGTCGACCTTGTCGGAAAGTGGCAGAGCCTGCCGCTGCTTCGTCGACATTTCGGGCGCGAACTAGCTGGCCTGCACAGTGAACAGAAAGTGCAATGGGGACAAGAAAGACGACAACAAACGACGACTAAATTAACGAGAAGAAAGGAGGGAGGGAGAGACAGAGAGCTTTGCCTGTGGTTGACGCTTTCAACGGCATGTGACAATGCTATGGAATCTGAATTGCGATAGGCTTATTGCCTCTTGGGGGCGTGGCGTGTCAAGCCCCAAGTGAACGCGCAAGGTGAGGAGGGTCAAACTAGAGTGCCTTCAAGTTCTCTTCGGCAGGACATGAAGGCCCCGCCCCCTAGGTCAAACTAAAGTGACTTTAGGTGAAACAGGGTGCGAAGGGAGAGGAGGCGAGAACTTTGCTTTCTTTCTCATCTCTTTGCTTCTGCCTTGTAACAACGCGCTAGAAAGATTTTTTTTTTTTTAGCTTATCTCCATTTTTTAATTGCTTTTCTTCGTAAGCAACCGCTTTGCACTAAAAAGATGTTTTTTTTCTGTGTCCCTCCGGAATCGCTTTCCTTCGCTTATTTTTGTTTGCAGCTCGAGCTTTTGGAATTTTTTTTTTTCTTTCCTACACTTTTTTGGGCGAAGGCATTGGCTGAAAGACGATTGTTTGCGCGTTTTTGGAAGCCTTCCCAGGGGAAAAAGTTTGATATAGCCAATATGTTGTTCGTTATAAAAAGTACTTTTTACATAAATTTTGATTTAAATTCTTCGTGAGTTCGATATCGACAATAATTCGCTGTATGTGGGTTCGTTCTAAACGGGTTTCACTGTACAGCAGGATCTAAATGTTCTGTCTCATTGGTGTAACACGTGGCAGATGAAGGTCAATATAACCAAGAGCAAACTTTTAACATTCACTAGTCAGCGATCTCCTATTGTACGTAACTACACCTTACTAACACTGCCTCTCGAAAAAGTACCAACTTACAAATATTTAGGCGTAACATTTTCTGACGACCTAACTTGGAACACTCATACTGACAATATAGTGGCTAGTGCATGCAGATCTCTAGGATACATAAAACGTAACCTATACCCCACTCCCCGTTGTGTTAAACTGCCTATAAGACTTCCTTGCGATCAAAATTGGACTACGCCAACTTTATTTGGTGGCCTCATCAATCATATCTCATTACTAAACTCGAATCGGTGCAAAGCAAGGCCTCACGTTTTATAACACATGACTACTCGCGAACGTGAAGCGTGACTGCACTAAAATTCAACTTCGACCTATGCCCTCTATCTCGAAGAACTCGACTTGCTCGTCTTGTCCTTTTTCACAAAATTTACTATACCTCTTCTGATTTTCGAAACACCAACTGCCACCCATCACCTCACATCTCCTTGCATTATGACCACAGCCTAAAAATTAAACCTCTATTCGCCAAAGCTAATAAATTCCAAAATTCCCCACTTTCTCTCGCTATTACTAACTGGAATTCCCTTCCTGAATCCATAGTATGTGAATCTAACCCTAAGACATTCCGTGAACTCTGCAAGGTACGCCTGAAAAGCGTTGATCCTTAACATGTTTATCTGTTAGTTACTTTTTCTACATGTTATGTTCAGATATCTGTCCTATTAGTTTGTAGGTTCTTTCTTTTTTTTTTTGCGTTTTTTTATTAATTACATGTCACTTTTTTGCCATCTGTATATGTCATTTGATCCCCCCTCATGTAATGCATTTCATCTGAAATGCCTTTGAGGTACAATAAACTGAACTGAAACTGAACTGAATTTGAAAAAGCACAACGCCCCAGATCGTTGTGTTTGGCAGACTTGTGTGGCACTATGCAACAGAACTGCATAATCCTGGCAAACAAAATTCCTGCTGTGCGGCAAGCGAAGTGCCGGAAACAGCAAAAGTTGCAGCAGTTGCCCCCTCCTCCTACCCACAACACCCTAGAAATTGTCAGATGTCCAGATCCAAAGAATTCCTGGGGAGAACCCTGTAACCCACCATGAAAACCGAAATGTTGCCCCACTCAACCACCTCTCCGAGCGTCCTGATGCATAGCAGGGAAGCTTCACGCGTGCGCTCTGATGCAAGGCAGTAAAGCCCGATGCGTGCACACCGGTGTAACGCAGCAAAGCCCATCCCATTGCGTGCCCCTTCCGCATTTTTTTCTCGGACCTGACGAGCACCCATCTCCAGATTTCATAGGATGTCTCCAAATTTCGGGCGGGTGCTTGCACAGAATTCTACAGTAGTGAAATGTCGGAATACTACTGTAGTTGAGAAACAAAAACTGTTTAAAAATGCCTTCTTTCTGCTTCTCCCCTGCTTCGCATCGCCGCCATATCAGGTGCCCTGCCGCAGTTTCCCTGGTGTCCAACGTGAGCCAGCACCTGGTGCACCTGGAGGGGTCTCTGTGCCACCTGTGGCGCCACCTGCGCCAGCGGCCTCAGGACCTGCAGCTGGGCAGGGACCTGTGCAGTGTGCGGCACCTCAGGGACGAGCTGGAGACCTGCTCCCAGGCGCTGGCAAAGGTCAAGGCGCAGATGGGGCAGCTGGACGCCTTGGCTGCACAGGTGCGCGAGCTTGCCGCGGAAGATTGCGCTGTGGAACCCGGGAGCCTGAATTGGATCTGCGCCCCTGCCCATTTCGATCTGAATGTGCGCCATACTGGCACGCGATTGGCGCTGCTTGATGCATGTCCTTGCAGTTGTGCTGCACTGGCTAGATTGCTTGTGTACAGCATGAACCGGCATTGCTGTACTATGGCAGACAAACCTCACACTGTTTAAATGCTTGTGTCTAGTATGCTTTTTCTTTTCTTAGCAAAGTGTGAGTTTTTTTTTGTTCTTTTGTGCAGTAGTCTTCTGTTCTAATTGTGCGTAACTGGTACAGTCACACAGTCTTACCTGCCTGTGTACAAGGTCCAAGAACATAATGAGAACAATTTTCTTACCTGTTGTGTTAGCAATTCTGTAATGTGCAGTCTCTAACTTTTTAATTTTTTTATTTTTAGAGCACAGTTTTTAGGCACCCGTTTCCGGGTTGAGCAGCATCGACGTCACCGTCAGTGTTGGCGTAATTGCGCCGAGTTTAGCGGGAAAATTGACGTCACGTTACCTCAACACCAACTGCATTCCCCACTAAATTTAGCAGGGAAATTCAGTTTCTCCACTAGATTTAGCGGGCAAATTCAGTTTCTCCGCTAGATTTAGCAGGAAAATTGACGTCACATGACCTCAACACCAATTCAATTCCCGGCTAAATTTAGCAGGGAATTGAATTGGTGTTGAGGTTACGTGACGTCAACTTTCCTGCTAAATCTAGCGGAGAAACTGAATTTGTTCATGGGTGGCATGACACCAAGTCATGCCCCGTCATTTTCCCTGCTAAATTTAGCGGGGAAACTGATTTGAAGGAGGAGGAAGAGAGGGTACGGAGGAGAAGGAGGCGCATACCTTCCATCCATACCCTCCCTTCCTCCTTAAGAGCTGTGCTCTAATTTCGCATTAGAGATTTGTAAATGTCTCATTTTATTATATTGAACTTGCAATTTAAATATTATAATAATAATAATAATAATGCTTTATTTGTCCTTAGTGCCCACAAACAGCTGTGCAGCCTTTTGTGTGATGCACTGTCGGTTTGTGTTTACAGCAACACTATTTAAAATGTACAGAAACATGTGAAAGGACACGAATACGAGTTTGCGAGGCAAATGCAACTCCTACACAAACTTTGAGTCAGATGTAATTTACTTTTGTAAGGCTGGTTTAAATTTAGCAAAATCAAAAAAAAATATTGAACTCACCATTGCCTATGTTATTAAAAGCAGACTGCATACGAGGTGACGGTGACGATTCACAAATTCTATTGGGGCAAAATGTTAAAAAAATTGCAACTAGCTCTTGTGGGCACATGAAAGTCTATACTCACAAGTAAGCTCTCAGTTTTAACAGTGCCATACACTACCTTATGGAGAAAATGGATGTCTCTAATAGCCCTCCTCGTTGATAATCTTTCCAGCCTAAATAATGATAGCAACGAATCATAAGTAAAAAACAGTTTCCGACCAATGTATCTTAAATAATTCGAATGAATTTCTTTCATACGAGGCTGCAGTACCGTCTCACCACAGATGATAGTGAAGTGAAAGAATGTGATAACCAAGTGATCATACCCAGCTTTTTTATCGCTGAACCAACGATCTTGGATACATGCGCAGTAAATGAGAGAGTACTATCAATGTAAAAGCCAAGGTCTCTTACAAGAGATACACAATTTATCGCATTGCCCTCAAGCACATAAGGGAACAAGAAAACGTCCTGTTGTCTTGAAAAAGAAATTAATTTAGTTTTTTCTGGATTGAACGACAAATGCGTTTTTTGCACACCGCTTGGAAATTGCACCAATATCAGTCTGCAATAAAGTACAATCAATAATATGTTTTTTAATTGTTCTGTCACAAGAAAAAGTATGCAAGTTTTTTTTTATCGCAAAAATAAACTAGGCATCACCGAACGCTCATTCTCCGCCCAAAGGTAGCGCTGGAGGTCACAACCAGATGCCAAAGTTTCAGCCCGATCCGATGCTTTATTCAAAAGTTATAAGTAATTTTCTGAAAATTTCAATTGGAAAATAACGGCCGACGGAGTTTTCGAATACATGGGGCTTTATGGCGCCAGAAAACGAAAACGGGCAAAAGTGGGCTCCATTTTCTTATTGAAATTTTCAGAAAATCACTTGTAACTTTTGAAGAAGCTATCGTATCGGGCTGAAACTTTGGCATCTGGTTGTGACCTCTAGCGCTACCTTTGGGCGGAGAATGAGCGCTTGGCGATGCCTAGTTTATTTTTCCGGTAAAAAAAACCTTGTAAATTTTTTTTTGTGACACCCTGTAGAATAAGTAAAATACGTTTGCAACTGGACGTGGCATAAGTTGGCGTTTATTATAATGAGATGTCTGGCATTTTTCAATGTTCATAAGAATGCGAGAAATGCACTGTCCGTCATTTGGTTGCTCGATCCTTTCTGGTCGTGCATCAGTATAAGGGCTGCCTTGCTGGGACTGCTGCATACGTTCATATCAACTCTGTATGTAAGAGAAACAGAAATATGAGAGTAAATGCATAACTCCATCTGTTTTTCGTTACATACAGTTTTCTATGCAGTGTTAGGTGGGGCAGCATGACCCAGCAATCTGCTCACAGAGATGAGCATTGTCTCTGCAACACGGTCCAGCAGAGCGCTGCCAAAATTTAAATTTTCGTGTGACTGCAATTTTTTTTTTTTTTTCTGTTGTCAAGGTTGGTTTGATGCCGCAAGTATTACAATTAATTAATTTAAAGAAGAGCTCCGGCAAACTTTTCATAGTCAGATTTGCCTTGAAATTAGTTGAACATATTAATAGGCACATCTGAACTAGAAACCCAAATGGCAAGTCACAATACAATTTTTTTTTTTTTTTTTTTCTCGCAAAGTTTTAAAGTTTTAAATTTGGTCCTAGAGGCTCTACTGCCAACACTGAAAACATGACGTCAGATGTTGTAATATGTGGGTAGTACAGCTTGTTCCCGACGTTTTACAAGAACTTTGATGGTGCGAAATGAATGCCAGTCATGCCAGCAAGACAAAAGAACCTGCGGAAAATGTCGCGTTTCTTAGACTGCATGCTCAACGTTCAGGTTATGCAATGTGCGACACCACCGCAACGGAGAGCGCAAGAAAATTTTAATGTTGGTTTTGGCATCGCCTTCATTTGCCGTTTTTTCGACAGCTATTTTGAAATTGGAGACGATTTGAATTTAGAGCGTGAATAAAAAGTGAGTTTCCAGAACTTGCATAGGCACAGCTGTCGACAATTATATACCATTGTCTTGCACGGGCATTGACAGACACACGAAAAGACGCACTAGCTTAAAAACAACTTTATTTGCATCTATGTATTTCATTGCTGTATTATAAACAATGATGCAATGAATCGGTTTGAGCAATCAACCTCTCGTAAAACCACTCTCAGCAGAGCCTTGGTTGTAAAGAAACCAGCAACAGTTCAGCAATCGAGAAATTGGCCCATTTATCAACCGGTAAACAAAAAATGAGTAACCAGTTTTGCAAAACGTTCGTTTGCAGCTTGAAGCTTTTTTGTTGCGCCATAAGAAATCAATAGACAGGGGCCCAGCGACAGCAACGCAAAGAATTGCACAACTTCAGGTCGCGTTGAAGATATGGCAATATGTTAGAAGAGACATTGTGACAATGCATACTAATCCCCCACTCCCTTTTGTTTCACCCTCTCCATGTGAGGCGCAGAAGCTTCTTTCCTTTATGGTGCATTCGCACCACAAAGTATTTCCCACTGAGCAGCTTTGGGAGGGGGCATACGTCATCGAGTTTGGAGGTCACATAACTCACGTCACTCTTTGCCCCCACCCTGTCGGCGGCTCTCGGAACACCCGTTGCCTCTCGCGTAGCCTCGTCTGAATAGAAATGGCGACGAACAAGTCAGCACTGTTTTGCTCTTTGCCTGTGTCCCAACAATTAAAAGAAAAAAATTTTTTTTTTTGGTGGAGGGGAATTGGTGATTCTGTGTTAGCACACCACAGCTCGTGGAGCTAAAGCTTGCGCTGCAGAACCTAGGGATCCCGGGTTCAGTCCCCACCTCTGCCTGTCTCAATATGGATGAACACTGTACTAGTGCGTTGTGCACATAAGAGACCGGAGGCTAGATTTCCCAGGATTTAGGGCTAACCCCTTTGTATTGGGAGATCTCAACCTTGCACTTGCTGAACACAATTGTCAAATTTGACTTTTTTTTGTGTGTGTGTGTGGGGGGGGGGGGAGGGAGGGAGGGAGGGAGGGAGGGAGGGAGGGAGGGAGGGAGGGAGGGAGGGAGGGAGGGAGGGAGGGAGGGGGGAGAAAGGTGAGGTAGCATTTTTTTTTTTTTTTTTAAGAAGTTGTTCTGGGCCAACTTGCTTTAAATTGTAATGTAGAACGACTTCTGTCGTGCACTCAATCGTGTTATATTTTGCTCTAGAGCATAAGAAACACCTTATAGCTGAATCCATGCTTTTTAAAAGTGCACTTCTGTGACTTCGTGGTGTGTCATTACTATCGTGAACCATTATTCCGCCTAGGTTTACTACTTGTCCATCCGAAATACGTCGCTGCTGGGCTTCTTTAAGTTGTAGATATGGGCTTAGTAGGCACATTCTTCGGCATCTAGTGCCAGGCACTTCACAAGAAACCACTTGTCTCGCATAGCAGTTATTATCTGAGGGGAAGTCTTTGGTTATGTAAGCCTAATGAAAGACATGTGCAGGTGGAAGGGTGTCCACAGTACCAACAACAGTGGCCTCCTCTCCCTGGTGTCAAGACAAAACGACAGGCTCCCTGGCTCCCTCTGCTCCTGCTCGCCGCCACTTGGTGGGCCTGCAAGTCATCCGGTCTTTTCGGTCGCCTTCCGCAGCCGCCGTACTGGTCTTGGCGCAGTCCCGCATGACCTGTCCAGCCAGTTTCTGTGGTGCACGCGATAGAACTAGCGGCTACCGCATCAGCGTGCATTTCCGAGTGCCTCGAGAAGAAGACCTTGATCGTGCGGTTGATGGCACGGACGGCGTGGCAGGAGCACCTCGGATTGGCTCGCATCGTGCAGTCGACGGCGCATCTTGGCTGGGAGACTTTTGGATGGGGCTGGGTGGAGGCGGCACCCGTGGCTCGTCCCTCTGCTGCTGTTGGTTGTTGTGCTCTCTGCGGTTCCGTAGTTCTGCCAGGAATTCGGGTCTCTTCCAGTGTGGGATAGGAACGGCGTCGATCTGACTACCTCCACCCGTATTGTAGTTGGGCCGGTTCTTTGGCTGTTCGTTTGGCTGGACATACATTGCACGGTGCGACCTGCAAGTAGAGTGCAGACGACATACGGCAGCCATTTGGCTAGGTCTACACTGGAGAATGGTGGTTCCAGATGCTCGGCCAGCAATAAAATAAAGCAAAGTTTGTGTATTCTGGTTAATTTTTTTTTTGTTACATATATGTTGGCTAGTTTATTCAAATATGATGTGATTAGAAGTACATATTCTGCTCAAGTTGTACTATACTAAATTGTAGGCCCACTGATAAAGTGTTCACGAAAAACGGCGTAAACAACATTAAATTCAGAAATGAAAAAAAAAAAAAAAAAAAAAAAAATTCAGCGTATATTTGTGGTTTATTTTATTGATGCAGGGTCACAAGCGCTCAAATTCTAAGCGTCGTTACTGCTCACCGGAGTCCTCGTGAGTGCCCCGAGATTTTTGTACAGTTAAAGGCTGCTTGGCACATCGCCGAGCACACTGGAATACACGTGTTTGAGTGATTTGCATAAATAGCGCCGGAACTGTACCTACCCTGCCTTTCTGTCAGGATCTGGTAGCAGTTCAGCTCGGCGCTGTTCAGCGCACACTCGCTTCTTGGTTCACAGCGCGCAATTGTTTCTGGTGCAGGGAGATTAGGAATTTCAAACAGCTAATCGCTCATACCTGTGCGCTCGGACCTTTTTCTTGTACCTTCGGACTTGCTTGGATGGCGCAACCACGGTTTAACCACGGGGCGCAACGGGCTCAACGCTCAACCAGCTCAACAGATGAGAGCGAGATTGGAGACAAGTAATGTTATAACTGGAGAAGCAGCAACAATTTTTCTAAGATGGGAAAATAGCTTGCGCCATCTACCGTAAAGTACGGTAATTGAAAAGAAAACAATGTTTTTCTTTTTTTTTAAAAGTCTAGTTGGGACACGCGTGCCACAAAATTAATTTTACGCGAAAAAAAAAAAAAAAAACACGTTTTTAGAGCATTATTGACTGCGCAAGAAAGATTTTTATCTGCGTCTGAAATGTGTGTGCAAAGCTCTTGACGTCACGGTATGGTCACCACTCTTTTCACCCACAGCTTATCCAAACATTGGGCTTCTCACTGCCACCGCTTCTTTCCTCCACGCGCCCGCCAAGAAGGTAGGACGAGGAAAAAGAAGGTGGGAGAAAAGGAAATAGACGCAACGCTGGCGAGGGTAGGAGGAAACACCCTCGCCAGCGTTGCGTCCCCTTCCTCCTCTCCCACCTTCCTTTCCCTCGCCCTGCCTTCTTAATTAACCAGAGAAAACAACTGGAAAGGAGGTGACTAGCGACTAAATTTTTTTTTCGCGTAATTTTTTTTTTTTTGACACGCGTGTTTCAATTACTATAAAAATAATTTTCTTTTTTTTTGGGGGGGGGGGGGGGGGGGGGGGGGTTAGGCTTGAGCTGATTTTTAACTGAGCTAGAGATCGGGTTGGTTGGGGCAGACCAAATTTTTTGTGTTGTTTCATTTTTTTGTGATATAAAAATTATAATTAAATCCCAGCAGAGATAGAAAAGTTGCTCTCGCTTCTTGGTTTAGTGAAAATTCTTAAATTCTTTACCTGCTCAAAGCACCCCAAAAATGTACCATGTCATCTCTCTCCCAACCTCCTTAAAAAAAAAATGCTAAATTAGAAATTTTAGCTAAAACACTGCCAGCTCCCCTGTGCTTTGGCAGCTCCAGACAGACAGTGCACCCAGGTCCAACAAGAATCAAAGAAACTTTTCTGCCACTGCTGCATTTCAAAGCCGACCACAGGCAAGTCGACACAGCTAGCTACTTAACTCTGTTGCATCTTATTACAGTAACCTTATGATGGCCTGCAGGGTATGGTACGAACCAACAAAACCAATCCAACACCATGAGAGTCTCACGCGACCATTAACTGGGGTTCAGCAACGCGCGGGGCACGCCGCCACGCAATACCTTCACAACGCTGGATAGCTCATAGCGTCTGCCGCAATCCATTGCAGGTTAAAAATAGTGGGACAACCTCCATCCCCCAAAGCCCTCATCCCTCCACTTCAGCAGGGCAAATGCCGGAGAGAACAGGATGACAAACAGAGAGCTTTGTGGGAGGAGATTTTCCGCCATTCTAAAGGGCGGTTCAAACCAAGCCGCAAAACTGGTCCGAGGGGCTCTCCGGGTGCGGCCAGCACTCTCCGGGACTGGAAACGGTTCAATATATTCATCTTTTGACCCGCAAAACGTCACAATCACGTGACTGTTGACGTCACTCTTCTCCCGCCCCCAATTTCTCCGGGACCCATTTTCTCCTTGTTTTGTGGGATGGCTTGGACCGTGCTTAAGCCCACAACAGAATACAGAACGGAGTATACAGTGCAACCGACTTGCAACGATACCACACAAAACGATGTATCGCTTATAACGATCAGTTTCTATAGTTTCCAGACTGGAAATGATCAGTTTCTAGTTCAGATCCAACAAGAATCGGTTATAACGATTGAAATTTTGGGTTTTCTCATCATCGTTATAAGTGGGCTGCACTGTAGTGGAAATTTCTGAAAGCGCAACATGTCGACAGAAAAAAGAAGGGACTGGACTCTGAACATGTTGACGAGAAAAACAGTTTTACTGAAGGAGGGTGGGCCTCTGCAACGGGTAGACTTTGACCGGGGGCAGCGGCCGCACCTTGCGGCCGCAGTAGCCGTCCTTGCGGTGCCAGAAGCCGGACTGGGGCCTTTTGCCGAGCCGACGCAGCCGGTTGGGGCTGCCGATGGGGTAAAAGGTCTCCATGCGGTTGGCGTTGGACACCTGTCCCACGACGGCCATGCACAGCTCGCTCAGGGACACCTGGCGCTTGGAAGGCAGCTGCAGGATCACCCGGCCGTCCACCTTGCGTAGCAGCTGGGCCGAGGCACCCGCAGCGCGGCACAGCGTGCCTCCGTCCCCCGGGTACTTTTCCACGTGGTGCACCAGGGTGGACACCGGCAGGGCTCCCAAGGGGTGGGCGTCGCCATCGCGGGGGCGCACTGGGGTGGGATAAATCACCTCCACGCATTTGTCTCGCAAGTAGCTTCGAATGCGCCGACTCAGCTGCCTCGTGCGGACCTCGAAAGCAAAAGGCGGCGCGGCACTCACCCGCGGCACATGTCTCTCATGTTTGTGCAACAACGGTCGTCGGTGCTCGTAAGAAACACGAAGCGTGAATTCTATCGAGGGACTTTGAAGTGAAACGCGTGATTTGTATATTTTCTTTTTTGAGCACAATGTGCAATATCACTCAGGTGCAGTCCACCACATCCGAAGACTTAAGGATGAGGAGCTATTAAAAAGTTGCCTCTATGGACACCGAAGGGATTAGAATGACAGCGAGGTAACTCGGTTGTCCCGCTTACGTTCCAAGCCTTGTACCTTTCATAATGTCTCGGAATCTCGTGAGTCTCGAGTGCGCACCCACAGCCGAAGCACGGCGGGAGGCAATGAGCGCTCGCTGAAGGCATCCGAAAGAGACACCCTCCCGTTTTCATCCCGTCAGTGGACAGAGAGATTTTTACATAACCGAATTTTCACCTTAGTGACCAGAGTACTCATACCTCTTCAAAGTCTCCGGTGGTATTTTATTTACTGCACGACTCCAGCTCATCTCACCCTGACGTGGACAGGAGAAAAGGCACTGAGTGTCTGTGGAGCTTGTGTTTGTGGAGCTCGAATGCTTACATAAAACAAGGACCTTGGTGAAAGGTAATGCATTTTTGCACTTTGCAAAGGCTTTGACTGCGCGCGTGACAATGTGTTATTCGAGGCAGTGAGCTTGCGCTCGAGGTGAAGTGTCTACTGCTTTTTTAACCTGTCACCGACTATAGTAAAAATCAGTGCTAATAATTTAATTCTGGCAGTTTACATACTAAAGCGAAGTAGAGCACCCGGCACACTTAAGCGAGAGAACGGCTAATGTAGACCACTTAGATTTTTAGTCATGTTTTTTTTAGTTTTTTTTTAATGTAAATTAAGATCTTAGTACATTTGCACCTACAACACAATAAATATCTGTCAGATTGCAGACTTGTTGCCCGGTATCCATAAGCCAGCACACCGCTTTAGAGCCACTGAGGCAGCTGCACGAGACAAACGCTATTTGAGTTCTAATAAATGTGGTGGCATTGTTCCCTGGTCTGAATGGCAATCGAGTACCCATGCCAGTCTCCACTTCAAGGTCGGATGATCCTCGGTTCACCAAATGACAGTCGAAATCCCCAACCAAACCCTATACGGAACAGATGGGAGGAACGGAACGGTGTGGGAGTGCACCCACCCGGGATCCTGGGGATGTCCCCTGAGGTCCTGATGATGTCTCCTGGCTTGGTTCCCTCCGTGGCCACCAGCCAGCGCTTGGAGTCTCCCGAAGCCACCAGCGCAATCCGGGCGGTGCGGCACGGGTCGTACCGCACCTGGTACACGCGCTCCTCAAGTGGGGCACCGCTAGCCGGGGCCTGGCGCTTGTAGTCCACCCAGCGGAACCAGCGCTTCATGCCACCGCCGATGGTACGTACCACAACGCGCCCTGATAGAATGAAAAAAAAAAATAAAAAAATTATGCAGGCTCAATTGTATCGATAAACACCAGGGGAGCACAGAATGTGTGGTGCACAAACAGCATGTCACGTGACTTCACTATGTGACATGAAGACACGGTGTTGTGTAACACCGTGACATCCCTAAGGGCTATGGTCTCTATAAGCCATATGTGTAAAATCTAATGCTGTAATCCAACGCTCAAACATAACGGATTTATCATAAAAAACGAGCGTATAAACAGATTCTTCATTAAAACCCAATTGCATCCAGACACATGATTTTGTGGCTCCATAGGACATGCAGGAGACTGGGAACAAAAGTGACGAATGCCAAATGAGGCGAATGACAAATTTAAAAAAAATTTGGGCACGATGTTGCTGAGGCATGGCTAAGAGCTCTATCTCCATGATAGTGTCTCTTTTTGTGTTTGATTCTTCGTGCTATGAATTCACCAATTGCAAAATTGTCTAGACACAGATGAGGGAGATTGGCCAAAAATTGCTTTGACCTTGATAGAGACCAATAAAAATTTTGCCTTTGATGCAAGAAATGGTTTTGGCTTTAGTTCCGAGAAGCACACCATTCCTTCTTTTTGCTTCTGTCATACGAGTGCTCGCACTGTAGAAGCATAGTCCCAAAGCTATTGAGTCGTGCTTCGAGCCTACGCAGAACACTTGGCTGGAGCAAACTTCTAACACGGTCAATGTTCCTACATCCGGGAAAAAAGTCTTGACCCCAGATAAAAACGAGTTTCGCGAAGTGCTCGTGTCAAATGTCAAATAGACCTTACATATGAGGTGGACTTTGGGTTGTACTCGCAAAGCCTGGTGTTCATAACCTTGAGTTGCACAAGGACCTTTCTGATCAGGTCTGATCTTATGGCTACTCACTTTTCCCAGTCTTCATTCTCAGATTTACATAGTCACTGACCGAATGAGAATGGCAGGGAGGTCTTTTAGCCATCCTGCCTCCAGCACGAGCTTGCCGCCTTCGATAACACTCCAGCATCTCGCAAAGCACAGTGGAAGGAAACGAACACGTGCCAGAGGCCAGGAGCCCGAAATAGACGCCCTGCCATCACCATCTTGTCAGCGACTATGGCTGCCTCTCGGCCGCACTGCCGAATGCTTAAAACGCAGACGGCAAAACTGAACCCTGCCTTTTAACGTCTCCCGCACCTGTCTCGGGATGCCTGCCTGCGAGCTTGCGGATGGGGAGTTTCTCGGTGGTGTAGACGCCGTCCTCAGGCAGGATGGGAATGAAGCCGTACTTCATGGGCTCCGGCCGCACGACACCCTTGACCAGGGGCCGGGGATAGCCCCGGATTCTGCGGGAAGCCCGCATCGAACGGAAGCGCAGGCACTGCAGCTGGACGACCTCCACGGAACCAACGAGCAGCGACGTCGCCACACGGGCGAGCCCCCCTAGCAGGCTCGCCATTGTCACCCTGCGGCAACGAGAAAAGGAAATGCACGAGACAGAAAGATTGGAACTTACTTGCGACTTCGGCGAGATGTGTCTTCAAACCTAGCTCTACGGCTTTGTGTTACCACCACCGGGTGCCGTGGAATTTCGGTGCGGTCAAGGATAAACAGGTGCAGCTACCGTAATATCCCAAGATAGCCCACCTAAAATCAAGAGCAAATCGGGTGAAAATATAAAGTGGGCCAACTTTTGGTGTGCTATCAAGAAAAGTTTACAAAAAATTATTTTTAGGTTACGAGTCCCTTCGAAGCTGGTGATCAAGGGGAGGGGCAACGAAGCAATAACGACAGTACTTCCCACTCAGCAACATTCGCTTACATCCAGCCATAACTAACTAGCTGCACTTATGCCGAGGCCATTATTGATCCCAACACTGCTATTAATAGGTGCAAACTATCTCGGTGTTTAAAAAAATGTAGCAAATCAAGCCAAAAATAGGGGTGGGCTATCTTTCGAGGGTGAGGCATCTCAAGATATTACAGTAGTCTCACTCGAGCGAAATAAAAAATGGGCAAATGAACTTGCGAGTTGGGATAACTAAGTGTAACAAACAAAGAGCCCAAGACTGAAGGCAGCACATACACAGCGAACTCTCAAACACGGCTTTACACTGTGCTCGACACTTTGCTGTGCAAGTGTTGCTGTCTCCCACGGTCTTGTTCGTTGGGATTGCTTTTACATACTTGTGCTTAGGTGGGAAACTGTACCGACGAAAGCAGGACGCTGTCAAGGCAGTCACGGTCAGTTGTTTGTGGGACCATACAAGTTTTGCAGCTTTCCTAGAGTTTGACACAGCCTAGTTTCAAGCTTGTTTGTTGTTAAGGAATCCTCGGTAACCTTAAAACACAACTGAGTAACGTCTCCCTCCGGGTGTTCTTGCAATAAAACTGTTCACAAGGAAAGATATCTGCCAGCAGTAACAGAGGCTAGGGAGGGTGGGCAGAGATTTGCTCATGGTCGTGAGTCCTGGGCAGTCGGTACTTTCAGTGTTGGCCATGCAAAATACTAAATATATTCCCTAGAACAAACTGCATCCGTAGTAAGAAAGGCCAGAAACCCGCAGCAGCGGACGTTTTTGTTCTACTCCGAGAAGTAGCAGCAAATGCGGATACTCGCACCACGTTGGTGACTGCATTGAACCGTCCGACATATCCACTTCGCGCATTTAAAACCGCGATATGCGTTCTTGGGAATACGATGTTTGGCATGGAACGTATTAAGTAGACGTTTTGTGTTAAACCGTCGTTTACGAACCTGTGTTTACCACAAAAGTGTGTAACCCCCTCGTTGACCGCCCGACCTTAGTCCTTGTAGCAGACGAGGTTGCTGGTGTCCCCTCCGATGAGTCGATTATATATCCACTCTGTGTGGTGCGTACACTGCGTACATTACATTATTTTTACGTGTCTGAAAAAGTGTTTTGTTTTATATATTTATATTTATTTGTTTTTTTTCATCGGTTCTACGAATACCCAACACATTCAACCCATTCAACCACCCAACTCGTTGGAATCGCCCAAGAATCACCGAGCAACACATCGCCATCGCTACAATTTTAATGGCTGCCTGCTGCTGCTTGGAAAAGCCGCGCTCTGAATCGTACTAAGGCTCGTATTGTTGTTCGTTTTGTTTACGTTTTAATTCTTGATTGTATAGTCAAAGTATATTTGTGCCCATCCTAGTTTCTGCTACTGAGATATGACTCCGATTACGCTCGTAATGGAGAAAACCGGACGAAACTAGTGCGACATCCCCGCTTCTTTTTTGGGGGAAGCTCGGTTTTGCTTACTGTTGCTCGGAGTTCGACAGTTCCTGGTACTCAAGCCGTGGGAAGAACTTCGCAAACATGGCATCGGCACTCGAAAACTACGTGAACCGTATCCTTTGTGTTGTTACTTACTTTTGCGTGTCGACGAAGATTGTGCAAACGAGAAAAGCGATTTGAATGAGTGATCCCGAACTCTGGTCTAGGGTGCGCTGATGGTACCACCGTCTTCAAATCATAGTCTAGCTTTTGCATGGGATGTTCCTCAGAGCGGTACATCCCAAGTATACGGAAGCAGGCGACATAGCCAGCATGAACAAGTGATCGCCTGTAATTCCTGTTTTTCACGGCTGGTAGGCCGTGATGTGCTTATATGGCTTATTAACCTAAGTGGGTAAATGTCTTGTTAATACGCTGTGGCTAAAGTGCTGAAAATTTTGCCGTATGGCTACCTCAGGTTTTTTCATTTTACAAAAAAGCAAACAGCGCGCAAAAAGAAACGAAAAAAAAAGGACAAAGTAAAAGAAATGCACTCAGGACAGCACACTTCTTTTACTTTGTCCCATGCTTTTTTTTTTTTTTTTTTTGTGCACTGTTTGCTTTTTGAGTAAAGCTATGCGCACTACGTCATGCACCTTGACTGAAAATACGAAATTCATATGAAACGAATGGTTACAACGAGCTTCCAAAGCGATGGCGGAGCTTAGTGGTAATGTGTCTGCTTCATATGCGGCGGTCCCCAGTTCGATCGGGTCCGATCAAACAGTGTGGGCTTATTGCCGACCCACATAGGGCGTATTTTTGACGAATTTACGTGCGTTTCAGCAGGCGTAATCACGGCATTTGGCGGGCGCTTTTTTCAGAAAATGGAAAAAGGGAAGGTTGCCAAACCACACATGGCGTTTTTCGTCGACGTCTCCTCGGTGTTTGGTGCAGTGTAGCCCGACTCACACTTTTCAGGAAAGGAGGCAAAATGTAGATTGGCTGCTAAGTTATTGTATTCCGCAAGGGGACACGAATAATTAAATGTTAATCAACCACGAAAGCCTACTTTGCTAATGCCTGTTTCATAAATGTTCCTTGCAATTGCCAAGTTGCCAGCAACTCCCGGCAGGAGGACTGCTGCGAGCTTTGCTCAAAACTCTTCCTTTTATAAATTTTTTCACATTGCCCGCAACATAGATGGTATTTTCTTCTGTCTCAGTCGTTCATCGCTCATTCCGAAGAAATATAGCGATTTTGTACAGTTCTCCAATAAATCGTCGAACGCGCCAAGCGAGCTCCCATTTCTGCGGCTGAGCCAAACCAGCCAGCTGGCCGCATAGCTAGTCAAGCCGATCCGGGAGCAACCTTTCGACTGTCAACTCGCGAGCCGATTGGCCGACACTGCGCTTTACGCTTCCGGATATGCCACGTTGAAATACACCGAAGTGCCAAGATCTGCCTCGGTCGGATCGCCGAATACACGCATATTTATGCCGACCGAGGAAGCGCTCGTCCCGACGCCCGCTGCACGTCGGGGTTACGCCTTCCAGAACGTCCGTAAATACGTTGCAAATACGCCCTAAATAGTTCAAGCTTTACTTTTTTTTTTTTTTGTCGTCTTTAGAACGCTTGTTTTTGTTGGCGATATTTATGAAATAACTTTTTTTATAATTAACACAAAAAAAAAAAAAATGAATGTCGTTGAAATTTTGCTGAACTAAATGGTATGGGTCTCGGGGACAGCAGGGCTCGGGTTGCCGGCTCGACGCCGTGAAGAGGCGTGTATTGGGGGGCCAAGTGGGTTCATAGTTTTGTAATCCTTTCGTCATCATGAACCAACTTGTCCACATTGCCACCCTAATTCTTTAATTTGAAAGAGCTTGCGTTTTTGAACATTTCTAAAACTATTGAGTGATCAAGTACCGCACCTTTTTTGGAACGATCCTTGAGAGCGACGAGGTTATACTTTGCTTTAAATCTCAATAATTTTCTTGACTACCTGTCAGATACCGTGTCGATCATCACAGCAGACGGACGTCACATAGTGGTATGTAGGCTTCGAAACGAAAGGAGTGTTGCGTGATCTGATTTCCCCAGTTATTTGGGATTCAATGCATTTCAATTGCAACAGTGTTGTAAAAAATATCACTTACTAAACCACAGGCCTTCATATAGCAATGTCTCTCAGGGTGTCTACTAACCTGGAAGACTTGGAATTGTCAAGGAATTTCAAAGCATCTGGAAAAGTCAGGGAATTGTCAGGGAAACCTTCAGAATATTGGTGAAGTGCAGGGGAAAAATGACTGATGTCAGCAGCACAGTGACATGCAACGAAGTGCGGTGACGTGGCTAGCCTTCGCCCTGAGTGACTGTTTCCCGAGGCATTACTAAGCAGCGTAAACCATCACCAAATCAAATGGGAACAGCCGCTGCAATCCTATCCTCCGCATTTCTTTTTGTTGTAAAGGTCGTAAAATGTAATGAAAATAGCCAGGGAAAGCTTGGAAAAGTCGGGGAACTTAAAGGATACAATTTGGTAAAACACTTTGGCTTTCCTGTACCATGCCAAAAAGAATACTGTGTGGTGCTTCTTACTGTTTCCCACAACCTCGGACGAAAAAACAATAAATTGAAATTAGAAATGAATTGGAAATAAATTAAAATTAGCTAGAATTGAATCTAATCTAATTTTAATTGAAAAACAAATAAATGAAATTGAATTAGAAATGCATATTTTCTGCTGAGTGAACTCGGATGTGGGCTAGTGCACAGAATAGAGCTGCTAAAGAAGATACACTTTAGAGTAATGACACTTCAGCCATATTGTCGCATAAAATAAATGTCGCCAGCATTTGCCGACATGCCCGACAGCATGCTTTCAGTCGTCCTGCAACCTAAAATGGTTCACAAGAGAGCAAAACAACATTCCAATAATCTCCCGACACCATATTTACCACCCAAAAAGTTGTGTTTTAGGATCATGACCGTGGGACTTGAAACACCGAAACGGCTCGCACACTGTCGACATGTGAACAAATATCATGTGACTTGTACAGACGAATGACCATCGTGTCAGCTTCAGGTGATGGGAGGAAGAGGGCGTCGATACCCTGATTATAGCTTTCTAGGAACTCTAGAGCAGGAGGTGTAGGTAAATTAGGTGGGTCTAATGTCTCCTTTTAAGTTGGAATGATGCTAAAAAGGGTTCTCTTGCACAGGGCACGTTGAAGGGCTTTGATCAGACCATCAACCTCATCTTGGACGAGAGTCACGAGCGAGTCTACAGCTCGGCTCACGGCGTGGAACAAGTCCTCCTCGGGCTCTACATCGTCCGCGGAGACAACGTGTAAGTTGCACATACCGTAGGTGTCGCAATTTCTATCGGAGGAGGAGTTTCGGCGGCTTAGCACTTTCAGGACCTCGAGGAAGCCACGTGCCTTGTCTAGAAAGTGTGAAACCTTGGTTATGTGAAGACGGGTACAAACGGGGAAAAGAGGCACTCTCAGAAAGCAAATGGTGGAAGCAATGTTTTAAGCTGTGGCCTTTGTCAGGCTACGCGTGAAAATGAATGTCTGGCCCGAGCGAGGGCGTTTCGCCCGAAAGGTCCGTTCTGCTTCTCCTTTTGTTGCTCGCACTTATTTCGATTGATACAGATGTCTTTTGGAGGTGGTGACTGGCAATCTGAAATTTCCTGAGAACTTTTGCTGAAGCCTGAAGCACCATGCATTTGATGAATTTCTCTTGATGGTTCGTTGTGGGGTGAGGTTTGCCAAGCTTTGCAATAGATTTCCATCGACATTCGTGCAGAGTATTAGTTTTGGCAAAAGTTTCATTGCAGGGTGGAAAACCTAAGATGAAAAACGAAAAGGGAGGACAGCACCTCACTTACAACATAATATTTTCTTGTTGTCTGCCCCGTGCCCTTTTTCCCTTTCATTAGTAATGCCTTCAACAGCATTGCTGCTCTTGTGCCTCAGCTTTATAAAGACTGTGGGGTTTCCAGGGTTCTCGTAGGTCAGGTGGACGACGAACTGGACATGCGCCTCGACCTTGCCAACACAAGGGCAGAACCTCTCAATGCTGTCGTCCACTAGGACCTATCCGGCGCAGCCAGTCTCTCTTGCAGTAATATTGAGGAGGTTACAGCCATGCTGGCTCTCATGAATACTGTGTCCATCGCCAACCCGTAATGTCCTTCAAGCGGGGCAAACTTCTAGAAATAAATGTATTTTAATTCAACTTCAGTCAAACTGTTTGTTTGTTGTCTCTCTTTGCGAAGTTCTGGCACACTGCTCACCTGCTCCTTGTATGGAGGGAACAGTGGCGTCGGAGCCTGGCGTTCGTGGGCCGAATGCCAGCATCATCTGCTACTCATAGCAATGGCTGTCTCAGCCTTTCCATGGCTTCCTGAAATCCACCAGTTCTTTAAAACAAGGGCCAGATCTTTGATAAAGGGGAAAGGAAATACCTCAACGTGTACACTGTTTTTCTGGACTAATAAGCACACATGTTCCCATGAACGTGGAAGTCGCTGCTGAGATGTGGTTTGCTCCGGATCGAGGAGCAGTTTTGGGGGTGGAGCTTCATCGCATGCGTGATCTCTCCCTTTCACCGTGCTTCATTTTCCCTCCTTCACTTGCACTCCTTAATTCCGAAATGGCGAATGTCTTCCAATTCCCACGTGATCATAGCTCATGTCATCCTCTTTGTTCTGCCAAAGTGATACCACTTTGCTCGGCAGAACACAAAAAAAAAACAGTATATATTCAGAAACAAAATTTTAAACAGGCCTCACAAATTCTTAGAGAATTAAATGGAAATATTGAATAAAGGCTGAACCGCAGCGATTTAACAAGCAACGAGACGAGTGACAACGACGAAAATCGGCGATGTGCAAGAAAGATTTCTCCCTGTTGCTTGTCACATCACTCGGTTTTTAGATTTCTAGAAAACATTGCTCATTGCCTTGGTCGCTTGCTCCCATCGCTTTATGCGGTTTGCCTCGTCGCACGATTGACTGACCGACAGCAAAGCAGGTCGTTGTCGCTTGTCTCATCACTCACCAAAAAGCTTATATGCAGTGTATACTTAAAAAACACCCATACTGCACAATTCTAACACGCTTGAAAACAGAGTAATGAATATTTACCTCATCACAAAAACAGGAGAAAAAAAGAAAACAGCTAGATATTTCAGGTGCAGCCAATGGACATGCCGTACCCTCCACGTTTTATTCTTCGTGTTGGCGGTAATGGACATGTTTAAATGGTGTTTTAATATTTCAATGCTTGTTGGAGGTTATTGTAGAGCTATCAATAGTTATCTTCACACAGCACCCAGCAGGGAACTGCCTTGTTGAGACAATAGAATTGGAAGGCTCATTTTAATGGCCTACAGATGTGGGGTCAGATCTTTCGTCCCTGATGTCATGCTTGAATGCATAGCCATTGCCAGTCCTCTTGAACATCTGAAACATGCGGAGGATGCACGTCACAGTCTTGGCTCAGCAGTATTGAGTCTAATGCGTGCGTCATGGTGGAGGGTTACTTCGTGGTGCAGAGATTATATTCAACCACAGATCTCTATGACAATTGCTGAATCCCGTATCCCCGCTTGGTCGCTGCAGCGCGAGTGTAGCTACCGGACAGCCATCTTGCATCTCGAAAAATAGAGTTTTTGGAGCGTTGCGGTGTCTGGCGGCAGCGTGCTGAAGACGCGTTTTCTACTGGTTCGTCGTCATTCGCCGAAGAAGTTTCTCAAAACCCCGTGTAAGCCGTGAGACTTGCCGTTGAGAGCACGTGGAAAGTTTCACTAAAATGCAGTACCGCAGGAAAAAGCCACAACTCATGGAAAGCAAGTTTCGCTGGTCTCGCGCGGCAATCAAAGCTTCCTTGGCACGCCGAAATGCTGCGTCTCTATGCCTTCGCACGCTTGGATACCGATCAAGAATTGACGCTGTGTGGATCTCTTTTGCGAGTGCAATGTACGAGAAGCCGTATGTGCCTGTGGATCAGCGTCTTGCTTTAATCTAATGACTGTTTGTAACTTGCGGCACTTGCGATCCAGAAACGAGCTTGATCCAGCGTCCAGTGGCGACGGAAGAGGGTGAAAGGTATGTCTTTTTTTCGTCGTTCGACTGTTTACAGAATACCGCTCGCAGCAGCTCCTCATCACTGATCAGTGGTCTAGCTCATTACCAAACGTAACATCAAGTTTGAGCGCGGCTCGCCTAATTGTGATTGGTCAACATATTGCGCACGACCGTATGGGCCGTGCTTCAATAATTTCCATTCTCGCCGTCTTGTAGTTTTGCCTTCGAAAACCCTCCTTGCTCCACAGCGTTGCTCTATTTGTGCTGCCATGTGGTCCATTAGAGTAGATTTTGAACATAGCCATGGTTAATAGTGCATAAGAGCACGTACCCCCCCCCCCCCCCCCCCCCCCTTCTTCCCCTTTTTATCGCAGCAACTCGCCGGAAAAGCTGGACGATCCATAACTCTGTGGCCGATATATATATATATATATATATATATGATCTAGACATCTACTCGCGACACACCTTCAAAACTTTGATGCGGCGTCGATTCTTGATCGGTATCCAAGTGTACGAAGGCACAGAGACTCAGCACTTCGGTGTGCCAAGGAAGCTTTGATGGTGCCACGAGACCAGCGAAACTTGCATTCGACGAGTTGTATCTTTTTCCTGCGGCACTGCGCTTCCGTAAAAATTTCCACGTGTTCTCAGCGGCAAGTCTCGCGGCTTACACAGGGTTTTAAAGAACTTCTTCAGCGAATGACGACGGACGAGTAGAAAACGCGCCTTCAGCACGCTGCCGCCAGCCTCCGCAACGCTCCAGAAACGCGATTGTTCGAGATGCGAGACTGCCGTCCGGTAGCCGCACTCGCGGAGCGGAGATGGTATATTCAACAGCTTGCAAGGTGTCTGTGTTTTGCTCTAATTTATCATTTATAAAGGAGGCGCAATGGACAAGTACACGGGCAAGGTAAAGCGGGGCAAAATGTGACATTTAGCGCCACCTGTATTCGAATCTTGCAATGCGATTAATTTAACACTTTGCCGACATCGGCTCGCGCTTGTCGGCTTTACTTCATAAAGAATCTGCTGCAATTGGTGGAAAGACGTTGGCGAAAAAAATTGTGCAGTTATTGCTCATGGGTTGACGAACTGCCGAAATGCGGTGAAATCCTCCACTGGCATTCTCTAAAGATGCAGCTGATTTCGAAAAAACAAAAAACAAAAAGACTATAGGTAATTTTTTTCCTTTTTCTGTTTTATTAGCTAACTGCGAATAAAGCTTTATTGCGTTAAGTCTCTATGGTTATGACTATAAAATGGCCAAAATAAGAACTATATGCAAGGGGCAAAATGTGAAAATTTCGCCATCAACAGACAAAAACTGAATTTTAGCAGGCTTGGTGTTTGTTCCTAAGCTCTAGCTGTTTTTCTTTTTCTAGTATGGTTTAAACGTACAAAAAAAAAAAAAAAAAAAGAAAGAAAAAAACACTGGGCTTTATAGTGCGAAAATAACTTGACGAAGACACTTCAAAATGTGCATCAACTGCGTCAGCATATTCGTGCTGCAGCCAAAGCCTTCGGGGTACCTAAGTATGCACTCCACAACCACGCAAATTAATTCAAGGAATGTAAAGAGCAAGTGCTTTGAAAAGTAAATTCTTATCTGAACCATAGGTTCATTCCGACCAGCAAAAAAAGAAGAAAAGATGAGAGGTTGTCATGCGTATGCATAAACAAAGAAGACTTTTTTTTTTTTTAGGGTAATGATGTGCAGAGGATAGTATACAGTTACTGCGAAATAAATAAAAATGAGGACGATGATTATTCAGGTGAAGGAGATAGCCTGTAGCCGCTTCGTTCACTGAATAAGCCTGTGAAGCGGGGAGGGGGGAGGGGGGGTTCAAAAAACCGCGCGACGAGCGCCAACGTGGCTGGCAGAGCCTGGTCTGCATGTGCGTACAAGTATGGAGCAAAACAGCAGCCCGTTTTGCGTGGATCCAATGCATGGTGTGCGGATAGTGGACCCACAAGGATTGCATTGGGGACCCCAAAGTATTCTTCAAATGTTCCGAGTGCGAGAACCGGTCTGTCTTTAATTTTTCACAGGTTGTCTCATTTTGCCCCACTGGCTGTCTCGTTTTGCCCCGGGGGTTGAAGCAAAATGAGACGTGTGTTACTTTTTATTATCAATAAATAGCTTGTAGTTCTGCTAACTCGAGTCTAGCCATTTTTGGCGACTGCAGTGCCAAGGCTCCAAAGAAGATTTCGGTAAAGTTTCTTCTCGATTCGCAATAAAAATATATATATAGCATCGGTTTGCAGATTTTAGTCTCATTTTTCCCCGCCTTATCTGAACGTCATTAAGACTAGATCTCAACCTTTCGTTTGAAAGTCTCTTGGAATCATAGCCCAATCGCTTCCAGATGTCAGTCGCCAACGAGTTCTAACCAACCCCTGTTTTTTTGTGCTTCTATGGCAGTCTTTTCTTTTTTTTTTTTTAGCCATACAGAAGGGACAAACTTTCTCACCAGGGGCTCGTAATATCTGTCGAGCGTAGTCGTGGCCAATAGGTTCATCCCTCGGTGGGCCTCGTCGTAATTTAATTTATTCAATGCACGCTTGACATCCTTCCAGATCCTGCGAGGAAAGTTTGCAAGGGGTCGCAAAGTGGTGCATTATACCCGGTATGTTAGTTTACACCCAGACAGCGCTTGCCTCCTGGAGTCCATGGAACTGTCGGATGTCGGTTTCGGAGCCCTGCGCTCCTCGTTCAAGAGCCGGCAGTCTAGAAACATGTCCCTTTCCTGCGCCACGTGTTTAGTCAGTCCCGAGTTCGAGTTTTGTCAGTGTCACTGCCAGGATGAGCACGGCGGGGCGTCTCTTGCCGATGCCCGGCCTCCTGCACGCCCTCGTCGCCTTGCGTCGTGCTTTGACCTGACATGCACGCTCGTGGCTCACGAGACGGCGATTAGAAAGCCCGCGCCGGAGGTAGCCACAGTGTTGTGCGAATATGCGAATTTTCGAACAGTAGTTTCGAATAATACGCTATTCGATATTCGCTTCGAGGTGAATTGCGCGGTGAGAAGTGCACGCGTGCACTGCGGGGAAGCAATACCCGCGATCTCTGCGGGTATTGCTTCTCCCCAGTGCACAGCTGCGCGGTGAGAAGCGCACTCAACGGAATGTGGAATCTCGTTAATTTGAACCCAAGGGGGACCAAAACGAGTGAATAATGCAATGTTTGAATTACCGGGCGTTGTCTCCCTAGAAACAGATAGGACGGGACCTGCATGTTGGTTTCAATTAACGAGATTCCACTTAATTTAGGCAGCAATGTCTTGACAGCTCTCATTCATTATTCATGTTTTTTTTTGTTTTTTGTCGAAGTTGAATTATAAGGATGTTTCCATACAGCAAGCAGATTTATAAATATCCTTGATTTATAAATCCCCTTGCAACAAATCTCGTTTACATGCCACAGTTAAAATAGTTATAATAAACTTAATTGAGCTTAGAAGTGGACAAGTGAAAGGTCGGGAACAACCTTCACGAGTTCAGCTGAATTTTCCTTTAAGCATGGTGCGCAGTAGTAAAAGAAATTGACATACTATTTTATATTCAATTCGAAAATATTCAGCCAAAACCACAATTCGCTTTGAACTCAAAATCTACTAGCACATGAATGCAAATTACTTTTATTTTGTAATTAAATTACTTGTGTAATTACTTTACCTGAAACGGCTAAATACAATTAAATTATTAGAAAATTAGCACAACAGAAAAAGTAATAATTACAAATTACTTCTTAAAGGTAATGACATTACTTTCGAATTACTTTTTATCTCCTTATACTAAAAAAAAGCAATTAACACTTTCTTGCAGATAATTTTTTTTACATTATAAATATTTAATTTATATAAGCCGCTGTTTAAAGTGAGCCTCGCCAGGTCCAAAGCATAGCGAAACTGATCCCGAAGAAAGAGAAGTTCCAAAGGCTTATGTAAATTAAATACATCATGGCGGACAATATTCGGGGTTATTCCAGAAATATAGATGATTCCATTCTTCACTGTGTCTGGTCGTTTTGGATGGGTGAAATATATACCGGCTTCATTTTTTAAAACAACTGTAAAAGTGTTAAAAAAGAAAAAAACAAAAAACATCATTTTATTCTTACAATCCACCAAATGTCTTGGGGGTTGCCGTATGCTGAAACCTTTTATCTGCAGCCTCTATTCCTGCAACTATATTATTCGCCTCTTGAACAGTAGATTCTTTTCTGCGAAGCAAAATGTACAGCTTGCTCGTCATCTTCGGGAGGCAAACCTCCCAATAGAGGTGTCATAGCTGCTTCGGGAACAAAGTTGCTTCCCTGAAGTGTCATTTCCGCATCAATTGTAATTTTTACTTTCTTGTGTGTTTGAGTGCTCCCCCACTAACTTTTGCACGCTTCTAACCAACGAAGGGCTTTTTATTCTTCAAGCCTGTCCATGAGTCACCACAGTGAGTATTTTCTTCACATACTTCACTTGCCCCCCCCCCCCCCATTCCTAATGTTGCTTAAGCAGTTTCTATTTTTTTAAATAAAAATCTTTTTTTTTTATGTTCCTTAAAAATTAAAAATACACCTGAAACCCCCAAAAAGTTCTACAGTATTTCTATTAGCACTATCGCCCCAGGAGAATTCATACATTGCTAAAATACTGAGTGCACAGAATGGTAATGCATTACGTTACTCACTATTGCAAAAAGGTGATTTCGTCACTATAATTTGATTAGAATAATTTCATTACTTCCACCTCTGGCTTGCGCTGAAGGAGGGGCAGCTCAAAGACCTCCCTGCCGTTCTCATCGTGTGAGTGAGTATATGCTTGGGCTACTTACCCCGGACGCCCAAGTGGCGATCAAGCACTCCGTCCAGACGCCCTCGATGCGCAGGAAGGGCCTCGGGGCCACGGGATTGAAGACCTCGATTTGGACACAGTGACGATGTCCTTCGGGCTGATAGGGCTACGAAAAGATCACACAACTCCAAATTGCGGGGTTAAGTTAAAGAAGAATGCGGGAAGTACAGTACTCCAGCTGGGTTGTGTTCAGCGCTGTGTCGTTGCTGGAAGTGTTTTAGGAATGACTTCGGTTGCCTAAATGGTAGTTGATCAATAATGAGAAAACCTTAATAATGTTTAATGTTATGGGTGCGAGAGTTTATTCTTGCATACAGGCGATTACATCCGCAATTAATTTATCGTCGACAACTGATTCGCAAATCGAGAAGCCACCGAGTTTTTATTTTCTGTGTTCCGAAGACAGCACATGCAATTTTTATTGCGTGTGCTGTCTTCCACTATGGCCAGTATGGAATGGTGGGTAACTGTTACGCAGCGCAACTTCATATTCATTTTCCCCGCTCCGACGAGCTCACGTAAACCCGTTTTGATCCGGACCTCTGCGGGCAAGTTGTCCCGTATGGTTTTCAGGCGATATACTCCAACGCCCTGCCACACACAGCGTCGTTGTTTGTTTTCTGAATATATAAAGCTTGCTTTCCCTGCTAGCCATCTGTAAAAGACATACGTCATTGCGCTCAGTGGCATAACCGGGGGGGGGGGGGGGGGGGGGGAGCTTATGGAGCTTCAGTTCCCCCCCCCCCCCCCCCCCCCCGAAATCCAGCCCCCCCCCCCCAAGTCATACACATCCCAGTCGCCTCGACTCCTCCCTTCCCCTCGAAAAAAATTCCTGGCTACGCCTCTAATTGCGGTATACTCTGCATTCCGAGGGGAACGGTGTACAGTCGGCATCAAAATGAGCTGTCTCGACGGAACGAGGGCCAGAGTTGCAAAAATCTCGCATGGGGAGCCCCTGTCGCGATAAGCTGTTGAGAGCGAGGCTGGAACGGACTGCTGCGATTTCATCAACGGCGGAGGTTGGTAGTAATGATAAGCCGCGCAAGAAAAATAACAAAATAAAACAGGAATGGTGTGGTGATGTATCCAAACCAACAGCCGACCATGCAACGAAAGGCGTGAGGTTGACCCTAGACACGGGACTTATCACTTCTACCAGCCTGCCCCATGTATGAAATCGCAGCAGTCCAATCCAGCCTCGCTCTCAGCGGCTTATCGCGACAGCGGCGCCACATGCGGGATATTTGCCGCTTCAGCCGGCGTTACGACGAGTAGGCTCATTTTGGTGCCGACTATACTCTACACTCCGTGCGGGAACTATAGGGGGCGCTTTGAAAAACGCGCGCAGCGCCGCTAGCGGAGGAGCTGGCGTTCGACAGTGAGGCGCGCTCAGCAGCCTGCGGCGCCTTTTCGCATGCCAAGCTGTGGCGGCGGAAGCGCGCACGGACGAAACTTTTGCTTTTTAAACCGATACGTTAATGGTGGCGCTGCATGAGTGCTGGGGCAAACCTAAGAACGGCATCTAGCTGTTCTCCACTTCTTATATATTGAGTTTGGGTCCTTCTTATAGGTAATTTCTCTAGTTGCGGCCGAAAAACGAGTTAGAGCCATTTTCCGAAAAGCAGGACGGCCGCCACCATAATTGCTCTGAGTAGCAAATTTATTTCGCTCGTCGCTGCAAACGTAGGACTGCTGGAACAATAATATTTGGAGGCGAGTGAGATGTTCACTAAGTTTGTGCACGAAATGTGCCCAGTTTCATTAAGACAGCTGGTGTGAAAGTTAGGTTTCTAACGAATAAAGAAATAAAGCTGTACGGGATATCCAATATTGGACCCGAATTGTTGTGTTATAGCAGGCTGTGCAAAGTGCAGATTTGGGCACGCAGGTGCTTCGACTTGATAGTAACATGACACAGCACTTATTGTACAAAAAAAGGGGGCGTAGGGAAACCTGGTGAACATTCGGTTTGGTCGGCGTAACTCAATGGGAACCGTTTTCGACCATGAAAAGGCTGTCAAGAGAATACCACTGGTCGTGGGAGGTGGAGACTTTAGTGGTAGAAAGTGACTAGTAGACTGTATTTCCAATTGAAACCACTTTACGAAAGGTGGTTACGAAGCCGAGAAAACAAAGTTGTCGGCCAACACACGGTTTGGCCGTCAAGGGCTTTTGCGGTCAGCTGTTGTGTAATAACCCGCTGTGCGAGGTGCTGATTTTCGGCACACAGGTACTTTGACATGACTGTCACTTGACACAACACTTACTGTACCAAAAAGAGTTGGCATAGCGAAACCAGGTGGAAATTTAGTTTGTGCGGCGTAACTAAATGGGAACTGGCTTTGATCGTCAAAGGCTGTCAATATAATACCACTCATCGTAGGAGGTGCACACTTTACAGGTAAGAAGGGACCAGCGGACGGTACTTCCAGTTCGAACCACTTTGCAATAGGTGGCTCTAAAGCCGAGAAAAAAAATGTTGTCGACAGAACTCGGGGTGTCAGCGTTCCCACATCCAAAAGGAGGCTGACCAAGAAAGAAAGCTCACCACATAAACTTCCATACTCAAACATCGATTCTTTAGTGATTTCGAGTTTCATTGTTGTTTTCTTTAGATTTATATTTGTCACTTTTTTACCGTTCAAATCTTTCTTCGTGAAGTAGAGATTGCGTGCCATACTTGTCCGAAAATATTGACACGTACGATGGGAACGAAACTTCTTTGGAGGGCATTCCTCCAACGAAATTGGCACCGCATAACCGCGAGTTTGGGATGGCATTTCAGTTCGTCCCATCGGCGCTGACACATGTAGGCGTTACTGGTACGAAAACAAACGCAGAGCGCAAAGCGGCAGTGTAGAATATGTCAGCCGTGCCGACACAGTGGCAGACATGATCGGGAGACCAAATTTCTCGCGTCGTACGGCACGGCTCCATCGTTGTCGCTGTCCCACAAAACATCGGCGAGGTGAAAAACTGCGAAACTTTGTCCGCACGAGATACAACGCAGAACTATTAAAGCACTTAATGGCCCAGCACAGGCAGCACTTCATGCTGTGAACCCAGCGCAACCGCACCGCTCCGACTTCAACGCGGCGTGGTTTCGGTTTCGTTTTCTCTGGGGTTCTCACTGCCTACTTTCAGTACCGGCCGCGCGGCGGCGCGCCAGTCGCGTCGCACGGAGTGTATACTCTAGCACGCGCCCCGAATGAAACTCCGCTCTACTTTCTTCTTCGATCGATCGGGAAGAAACTTGTACATATTCTGCGCAGTTCTATTATTGTTCGTGTTAAAGACTCCAGGCGTACCTTAGCCAGAAACTTGATGACAGCTCGAAAGCCCGTAGTCCGACAGGACAGCGTGACCGTGCCGCAGAGCTCGAACCAGGGCTTGCCGTTAACGTCGCTGCGGTTATGAGCGGGAGTTTCTCGTTGGTGTTCTAATATAAGGGAATTTAAGGAAACTCTATTATAAGCTAATCGGAGTCATCATTAATAGGATGTATTCTTAATTACGTATTTAGGGCCCTTGCGAAATAGCTGTGGGCGCAAAATTGTTTTTTTGATGGGCAGAGCAGTTGTTCCGAGAGATACGAGCTTTTCAGGTAGCTATGATCACTTTCATTCTGAATCTGGGCAGGCTTGCTAGGACAGCGTCTCAGATTAAACTGCGTGAAAGAAAGCACTGCAAAGGCTCGGGTGCGCGAGCGTCTTGAGACGCGATTTGAGACCCGCTCTGTTCGTGCGCTGGCCTGTGGCAGTGCTTTCCTTCCCCCAATCCACGGTGCCCCACTCTCAGCTTAGACGCTGTTTCTAGCAAGCCGGCCCTGAAGTATCGTCCGGACGTTCTGTGAAACAGTATCTTCAGGCTTTTGCTCTAAAGAAGTGTGCCTTCAGTTCAAACCGAAGAATGCTTAAATTACCACTTGCCGGGACTACCTTCTCGAGAATCTCAAAATAAAGACGGGAAATTCGCTTCCAGCGCGCGATTTCTTTGTTTGCTCACCGAACACAGCCGGCAGGGAGCTCGACGTCGTATTCCTCGGCGTATTCGACCAAGTAGAGGCTGGCTTTGCCTCGCGCACGCAACTGGAGGTAGGAACCCACAGAGAAGGCTTCGGGACGTAGCTGCACCATCAGCGAGATGCCACTGGGCCGGTACTCCGCGTACACGCAGGTCACTTGAAGAGTACGAGCACAGCGGCCAGCCCTTTCACTAAACCAGTCATGCGCGCAGCTTAGAAAATAACAATAGAGCAAGCAAAAAATACTAACAAGTATATCTGAAGTTGTGGTCTCAAGCTCGCTTTGTTATACCTATATGCGTGACCAAACGTGTTTTTGTCGAAGCTGGCCAAGCGTGCTCTAAGATAAGTGAAAGTCCTTGTCGAGATTTTCACGTGTTTATTCCGTTTTGTGCGCCAGGCATTGTAGTGGGCCTCACGATCCCACCGCCAGAAAATTCCCTGCTCTGCTTGGAACGTACCGGCTCTCTACACGTGACACCCCGTCAGTTGTCGCAAGAATCTGCATACGATGAAGGTGCCACATGGAAGCTGCACCAGCTTCCATGTAGCACCTTATCGACACGGCAGGTAGCTTAGTTAATTTATCTACGGCAACCTAGTTCAACCGTTAAATTCAGAGGTTTGGTGTACCATGATTACAAATTTAGAATTCCGAGTTTTAGGGCGACAGCTTCGGCGTGTCTGCGCAATGTGACTATACGCCGATTCGTACCCTGTCTATAGCCAAATAGGTTGATCTGGGACGGCAACGTAAATTTAAACGTTTGCCCGTGCGACTACATATGTGTGTACAATTGCGTTGTCTGTATGTTGAGACAGCAGGAAATTAGTCGGCCCATAGCCTCCTCTATACTGACAAAGCCTGGCAGATCGCCACGAGAAGCGGCCGCCGAAATTGAAAAGGTAGAGCGGCAGACAACGGATGAGAGGAGAGCCACGTGATGGGCGCCCCGCTGCGGCGAGACGCCGAAACACACTTCTCCCGAGCGATGGAATGTCCGCTCGTGCTCCTCGCGTTCCTCGCGCTACCGCTTCGTTTCTCGTTGGCTTTGAAAACCATGTTCTGGATCCTCGCCGCTGCAAAAGCTCTGCGCTGACGTCCAGGTCCCCCAAGAAATGCTCTGTGGTACCAGATCCTCGCGCTCCAAATCTGCGACCGGGCACTCTATGACTCCGTCCTCGAACTGCCAGGCTTTATGAGCATAGAGGAAGCTATGGTCGTCCCCAATGGGAGTCACGGTGTCTCCGCTGTGGGTTAGAAATTTAGCGAGTGCAGAGCCACCGCTAGCCTCGGGTCTTCAACGTGCACCCCGCAGTAGTGATGCACAACCGCACGCTGGAACGATGCTCGTCCAGATCGAAACGGGCAGGGGTAGGGATTGAGTACAGGATCCCTGGGTTCTGTAGCACGAGTTTTCGGTCTACGTGCAGTCTTACGCGCAGTGTTTACTTTCTCGTGACCATCTCGGCAGGTCTAGATATGCTCGTCTCGAACCGTGAAGACTCACCGGGGGAGCTCACCGAGACCTGTTCTGCGAAGAAAACGAGGTCAGTGGGGCCATCGGATCGGCGCATAGTCCAGGAGCAGCAGAAGATCTCTCCCAGAATGGGGTAGAAAGGTTTGGTGACGCCGTCGTCCTTCTTGATGCAGTAGATGCCCGCCATGTACCAGCGCAGGACCTGCAGCATCCGCTCCGATGCCCTGGTCGAAGCGGGAATCCTGCGTGGTTGAAATATTTTTTATTTATTTATTTATTTAATTTTCCCTCAAGGCTAGAGGCATTACAGAGGGGGAGAGCAAACAAAATACAGAAAAGGAAAACAAGCCTAGAAATAAGTTAAACACACTCAACAAATAAAAGATTAGTAATTGCAGTTTTGAAAAGGTCAGAGTCCGTGATGGTGGCAATTGTCCCGGGAAGGTGGTTCCATTCTCGTGATGTACGAGGGACGAACGATGAATGAAATGTTGTTGTGTTAGAAATTGGAATACCAACCTTGTGATTGTGATTGTTGCGAGAAGAAACGTAAAAAGGACGGGATATTAATTTGTCGCGCAGGATAGAATTGTGAAAATAAATCTTATGGAATAAAGAAAGGCGAGAAATGCTACGACGCAAAGCTGAAGGCGGCAATGATAGAGCAGCTTTCATGGCAGTCACGCTAGCAGTGTTTTGGTAGTTAGAAAGGATAAAACGAGCTGATCTGTTTTGAATCGCTTCCAATGCAGTGATGAGGGTGACTTGTCCAGGATCCCAGACAGAGGCTGCATATTCCAACCTTGGACGAATTAATGTTTTATAAAGGGTCAACTTTAGTGCAACTGGAGCTAATGAAAAATTTCGTTTAACATAACCTAACATTCGGTTAGCGTTAGAGGAAACATACTGAATATGATTCTTCCATGAAAGGTCAGATGTTATGTGCACGCCGAGGTATTTATAAGACGACACCGGCTCCATATAAACCTGAACAGAGGCTGCGTATTCCAACCTTGGACGAATTAATGTTTTATAAAGGGTCAACTTTAGTGCAACTGGAGCTAATGAAAAATTTCGTTTAACATAACCTAACATTCGGTTAGCGTTAGAGGAAACATACTGAATATGATTCTTCCATGAAATGTCAGATGTTATGTGCACGCCGAGGTATTTATAAGACGACACCGGTTCCATATAAACCTGATCAAGAAAATAGTTAGGATTGTCAGAAGATTGTCGAGATACACGCATAGACTTACATTTGTTAGCGTTAAGGCTCATTGACCATAAATCACTCCACTCGATGATAGTGTTAATGTCGGACTGTAGAACACTGGTGTCATGATTATCTATTATTTCACGATAAAGGACACAGTCGTCAGCAAACAGACACATAGACCAGGAGATGTTCACCGGAAGATCGTTAATATAAATTAAAAATAGCAATGGCCCTAGAACAGATCCCTGAGGAACCCCGGAAGTAACAGACACAAGAGATGAGTTACTATTATTGACAGTAACAAATTGCGAGCGATCAGACAGAAAAGATTGAATCCATGCAAGTATGTTAGGATCTAAGTTAAGCTTGGAAAGTTTCAGAATCAGAAGTTTATGAGACACTTTATCGAACGCTTTTGCAAAGTCTAGGAAAATGCAGTCTGCCTGGGATCCTCGATCTAAAATGCAATGGAGGTCATGGGTGAAAGAGAGAAGCTGAGTTTCACATGAAAATGTCTTTCTAAATCCATGCTGGGAAGGGCTGAAAAAATTGTTAGACTCTAAAAAGTTGACAATGTGGGAGAAGATGACATGCTCAAGTAGTTTGCTAGGTATGCTGGTTATTGACATTGGGTGGTAATTATGAGCAGAATGATTGTTACTAGCTTTGAGTATAGGTACCACCTTCCCTATCTTCCAGTCGAGAGGAAGAACGGCATCTTTGATTGACTGTTCGAACAACATAGTTAATATTATGGATGAGTAAAATTTAGTATTCTTGAGGAATTTTGAATTGATACCATCCACTCCTGTTGAGGAGGACAATCTGAGATTTTCTATATTTGAAATCACTCCAACATAATCAAGAGGAATCGAATCCATCGGCAGGTAATCAGTGCTAACCAGCAGTGGGGTATCAAGGCGTCTATCACTGGAAAAAGAATCAATGAAAACGCAATTCAATACATTTGCGCAGACTTCGCTAGGCATACTTTCACCACTTGAAGACATTGGTGAGATTGAAGAATGGGATTTTTTGTTCATAATGTTCCGAAATTGTTTAGGGTTACTTATCAACATTGCTGGTAAGCTGCGTGTGAAAAAATCTAATTTGGTGTCTTCAATTGCTCTTTTATACACTTCAGCAGCAGTGCGATAGCTCGACCAGCGACGTTCACATGTGCTGAATTTTGCAGCGCGAAATAAACGCTTTTTCTTATTGGAGAGGCGTTTTAGGGCCCTAGTAAACCAGGGTGACTGTGAGTTTTCAAAGGCTGTTCTGAGTGGAATATGCTGATTGATAAGCATGTGTACTTTGGTCTTGTAAAGTTGCCAATTTTCTTCTACTGACCGGCTCGAGAAACCTGCTAAAAACACATCAAAGAAAGCTTCGAGGTCATGATTAATTTTGATGAAGTCAGTTTAGCATAATTACGAATTTGCTTTGTGAGAGTTGATGGCTTAGGCACTGCTGCTTTAACATCAAAATGCAATATGGAATGATCACTAAGTCCTGCGAGGTGTATTATCGGGGAAACAATATCAGGATGAGTTGTTAGAACAAGATCCAAGACATTTGCTATCAATGTGGTCACTCGCGTGGGTTTCGTGACTAGCTGAGTTAAATTAAAATCTAGACACAGGGAGACAAAGTCTTTGCATTCAGAACATAAAGTCGTTGCAACTATAGATTCAGACCAAACAATAGAAGGATAATTAAAGTCACCCAAAAGGAAAATAGGTGAACTGGGATAACGCACCTTAATGTCATTTAATGAATCATGCAAGGCTTTAACAAATGATGACGCGTAGGAGGGTGGTCGATAGCACACCCCTATTATCCACTTTTGATGGTTGTTACCAGTGCACACCCAAAGAATTTCTAAAGTTTGAAGTCATAACTCTTGTTAAGTTAATATCACGATTCCATTACATCTGTGACATCGCGCACTCTGTGTGAGTGGCCGTATATTAGCTCTCCTGTGAGAGAAACAGCTTTGACATTTCCACAGAGTGTCTTGCCTTTAGCCCTTCACCGTTACCCAGACATGACGAACACTGCGTGACATTGCTAATGCAAACGAGCGATCGTCGTTCTTATTTTCTTATGTTTTTGTTTCAGCATTAAATGGCTGTCATTAAAACTAGAAGTGTGATAGAAAGTAGTCATTTGTCGCAGTGACCTAAGTGGTAAATTTTGATGCCCGCCATTGCCCTTTAGAAATGAAACGCAAGAGTTTCAATGCCATGCTCGCGCTAATAGTGTCGCTCACTGCACATGGCTTACCTTTGTCATGATGTACAGGATGCACCTAGACGTGACTAGAGTAGACTTGACGTTACGTTTTGCAAGTAAGACGCATGCTTGTTTTAGAGCGCAGCTTTTAGGTGCTCGTTCCCGCGTTTCGCGGCGTCGCCGTCGGCGTAACCGCGTGCGTTGCATTATGGGTCGCCACAGACCTATGCATCAATTCAATTCCCCGCTAAATTTAGCGGGAAATTGAATTGGCGTTTAGGTCTGTGACTTAAATTTTCCAGCTAAATTTAGCAGGGAAACTGGGAGGAGGGGAGGTTATGGAGGGGAGGTCCTCCGTACCCCCTCCTCCTTCTCCATACCCTCCCCTCCTCCTCCTCCTTGGTACCCTCCCTTCTCCTCCTGCGTACCCTCCCGTCACGGTACATCGCAATATAAGATACCTCGAGCCGCGCTCTAATTTCGCATTACAAAGATCTGTAAACGTCTTTCATTATTTTTTATATAAGGTTTTGTTTTTTGGGATAATAGGGGCTCCCACTTCTGCTGCATTTTTGGGCAAGGAAAGGGTATTCATTTACGCTGAAGAAGGAAGGCACTTTTAAAACAGGTCATCAACCCTATTTCACTTTGACTCGCAGTGCGACAGAGTGTTAGTGCGTCACGGTGGGAAACACGTGCAAGGCTAATCAGCGAAGAGCCGTTGAAAGCGGGTGGATGAAATTGTGATAACTGCAAGATAACGTGTGGTATGCAAAGTGGCGTCTCTTATCGAGAGCTAGCGTAGCAGGGATCGGTGACCCAGTGTGTTGACGCAGCTCAGCTCGGAGCGCGTAGGGCGAACCCCGTTCTCTAAACATGCGCACAGCACTATACACCGTTTTAGAAATAACTGGCGTCACCTGGCGAAAAACAGGGTTCGAGCATTCACATGATGAAACAACGCGCGCATTCGGAAAGATGAGGAAGGAGCGTCTTTGAACGAACTTGGGGGCAGAAAGGTCGGTCACAATCCAATTTAAGTCACTGCAGCTCAATGGAGCCAGCGGGATTTATACTTCGTTTCAGCTTAATTCCAAACGGAGCCGGTGGTACATGGTAATGGCACCAATAAAGCAGCGTAAAAAGCAAAAGTCGTTAGGCCTTTTGTTTATGATTATTTAGCGATGATAGAAGACGCACAGAAACATGACGAACACTATGATTGTGTCCTTTTGACGCTGTCTGATTGATCCCATCAGATCGTAGATTTGGCTGCGTCTGGACTTAAAGTGAAACGAAGTGTGGCTGCCTTATTCGAGGGAGTGCCCGCGCTCACTCGAGCACGTGCTCACGTATTTTCATACCAGAACCTCCTGGACCGGCAATTTTCGAAGATGGTCTCTTACGATCGACGCACCTGACGAAGAGCTCCGGGCAGGCGAACAGGTCTGTCATGGCTTCGAGAAGCGAGCGGGGCTGGAGCAGGGGTAGCGGATAGTCTAGCTTAAGCATGCTCACTCCGAAGCCCAGCGGCGAGCACAGCTCACGCAGGTCCTGTGCGGGACCGGGGGCCCGCTTTCGCGTTGCGGTCGCCGGATCGGGGGACTCCTCGGAAGTCTTGAATGAGTGGCTGCCTTCCGAGTGCCCTGCGAGCAACGGCACGGAAGTGCCCGCGGTCATGTCGACGTCGGCTCTTCACAATACGCTCTCGTAAAGTGTCTCGATATTTTACGAGTATCGACAAATATCACGCACGACGAAGTACAATTGACGGGCACCAAATGGCGTATTTGAGTTCATTACGCTGCTATGTGCTTCCATTCGCTGCCTGAAACCTGCACTGTCTTTCAGTCGGCGCTTCAAAAGATGTCGGTTTTCGTGAGATGCGCGAAGTCCATCAGGAACTTTACGTTATTAGGGAGTTTTAGTAGATCGTGTTTCCCCCTCCGCTAACCCTCCGCTACGAAGAAACCGCCACTGCGCCTGCGCGCCGATGGCCTTGGCTATAGAGTTCCGGGTAGCGGAGGGACCTAGCGGAGGGGGAAACGCGGTTTACTAAAACTCGCTATTGTTAGCGAGGACAGAGAATCCCGAAGCTAAGTGTAATCCGGAACCAGAGGCGTAAAGTAGTAACCTATATAAAATATTGAAGTCAGTGTAAGTGACTTAACATTACGAACATTGCATACTATTTGAGTTAAAGTGATGCCAGCCAATGAAACTAGCTCAGTTATATCTTTGGAAGAGCTTCTAAATTACACCTCTTTCGATTACGTATCAAGAATAATGTTGAACAATAGACATTCACGTTTATTTTGTTTTAATAACAGGGCTATTTGTTTTTACTAGCTCAGACCCTACTGCAAGTGGGGTCTTAGCCAATAAAAAAAAAATTTAAACAGAGAAGGTTTTCACTTTTTGTTCAATTTCAACACGCTGTAAAGAAAAAAAAAAAGACTTTTTAAAAAATGTTTTTTGCGTCGCATTTTTTTTTTTTTTTCAGGTTGCCAGCAAATGTTCTGTTAGAGGAGTTTGCACTAGTTTTCAGTTTTTGAGCCTCTAAATATGCTAAAAAATAACAAATTCTGATGGTGTGTTTATGGGTTATAGCTGTATATCTTATTCTTTATTATAATAATCTAAGGGACGTTGAATAAATACTCTATCAAAGACATCAGTGTCGTTAGGCGTATAGTAACAAGTTTGCAATTCCAAACGCCTAAACACTGTAAAATCGCAACTGCCGAAAGCGGGCCCTTCAGACGATTTCCGCATAGGATTACGTAGCGCGCAGGGCCTAAACTCTATGCGCTACATAATCTATACTACGTTAGAAATATCAAAGTATAATAATGTAAAACATTAGAGTAAAATACACTTCCTATTGGAAACCTGGATTTTTAAATGCGAAATTTTATATTTTTAATGCGAAATTCATGTTGATAACAGAACAGGATCATTTTTAGCATATTTAGAGGCTTAAAACTCAAAACCAGCGCATATACCTCTAACGGAATGTATTCTGGGTAAAAAAAGAACGTAAAAAAAACGCGACGCAAAAAAGAAAAAAATTGAAAATGTTTCTTTTTTTATGCGGCGTGCTGAAATTGAACAAAAAGTGAAAACCTTCTCTGTTTTCTAATTTATTTTTCAGTACTCGTACGAGATTAAGACACAAACTTTACATAATGTGTAAGGCAATGAAAGGTTCTACCCGTGGTATTGTTTTAAAAACAAAACTAAACATAGTCGACTAAAAAAAAATCCGCAGTTTAGGTCACGGTTGTTCGCGGAGGCATGTTTGGAGACTTTTACAAAGATTGGATTGATGAATAATAAATAGTAGTTGAAATTTTGTTTTACCGACTTGCATATATATTACAATAAAAAAATATACAAGTTCTCTTTTGAATACTTTGAGATTGAGAGTGGTTCAAAAACGCCACACACGAAAATCGTCCAAACCCACCATAGGCATTTGCTCTTTTTTTTTTAGCATATTTAGAGGCTTAAAACTCAAAACCAAGGCCAATCCCTCTAACGGATTGTATTCTGGCTAAAAGAAGGGTGTGAAGAGAACGCGACGCGAGAAAAAGAAAAAAAAAAATAGAAATGTTTTTCTTTTTTATACAGCGTGCTGAAATTGAACGAAAATTGAAACCTCTCTCTGTTTCATAATGTATTTCTCAGTACTCGTACAAGATAAAAACAAAAAATTTGCTTAATTTGGAAGGCAATGAAAGGTTCTACATGTGGTATTATTTTAAAAACAATATTAAACATAGTCGACTAAAAAAAAAAAAAATCCGCAATTTAGGTCACAGTTGTTTGCGGAGGCATGTTTGGGGATTTTCACAAAGATTGGAGCGACGAATAATAATAAATAGTGCAACCAACCTCTGCTGCGCCGTCATCGCGCGACGCAGCAGAGTCTGGTTGCAGTATCTCTCCACGGGGCGCGGTGCCGCCGGGGCCGAGATGCGCTCCGATAGGAAACCGAAACTTAAAACCCAGTCGAATTTGTGCGGTTTTTTAGACAGCTGTAAAATGCTTCGCGTGCCTTCTATCGTTCTGCACTTTGTTGATTTAGTGTTTTTCGATGGTACTGAGCAATTTTCTGATTTAAACCATGCCATTAAACACAATATTAAAAAAAGTTAATTACGCAAAAATAATTAACAACTTAATTATTCCGGACTTTAATAATTCCTAATTGGGCCCCTGGACCAGGACCAAAACGCCACAAGCCTTTTTCCGTTGCGATGAGTAGTTTTCGCGGGAGCGATTTGGCCGGCGTCCTCTGATATATATATATATATAGCTGGCTATATATATATATATATATAGCTGAATAGCTGGCCCTTGCAGCCTAGTACCGGCATTGTTGTACATTACAAAAAGCAGGGAGGCAAGAAATAAAGCGAAACACAGGGCAAATAAACACAGATAAGCATAAACTATGTGAATACGTTAATAGAGGAGAACTACTTTTCGAGCGAAAATGAATCGACGAGATGAGATCACTTTGGCGCATGCTAATTCTAGTGTTCGAGGCATGGGAACCGGGAATCGTAGCCGGGTGCCGCCGGGACACGTTCCAGCGAGTCACAGGCCGCATGCGGCCCGTGGGCCGCGCGTTTGAGAAGCCTATTCTAGTGCATTCTTAGCCTGCTACCGACTATGGCAACTTGCGCCCCTTTTCGGCACTGTGTAACGAAGGAAGAGATTATCGAAGGAATAAATGCATTGTGTAAGAAGCAAATACACTGTCTCCAGAATCAGACGATTGCAAGTTTGACATTGTTTGAGAACCGAGGTGATTGGGTAAATGCTTCACTATAACGTATATTTTGTTCCGCCCGGTCCGGCGATCTCAGAAACTATTCATTGACTTCACAAATACTTTCCCCCATAGCGAACAAAGTTAACGTTACCGCAACCAATTGCGCAACTCAATTTGCAGAAGCGCGCACGCGACCTCCGCACAACCCAATGACAACTGATTTAGTTTTGTTCCACACTACGTGGGTGTAAAGCATTTATCCCACAGACCAATGTGCGGTGAACATTTTCTTCGACGACCGACTACCCGCCTGTAAAGCGTGCTTGGCCGCTGGCTCCCAAGCGTGCGGGAAAGCCAGCTTCGCGGTACTGACACTGTTAGCATGATCAAGCAATCGCCGATCTTTTTTCTGATTTTCTATTTGGATCGCTAAAGGGGGTAATCAAAACTACTATTGTTGGGATAAGCTATTGCTGGGAGATACAAACTAAGCAATAAATGTTTAGCATCCGCCAATACCTTTTCGAGGTAAAAGACGAGAAGGCGGCGATGTCGCGCCCCCCTTTTTATTCTCTTCCAACATAACAACGCTTAGTAGTAGTAGTAGTGTTCGCGCTATGTGCCGCGCAACGTAGTACATCCATATACTCTATCCCACCTTATGATGTACCGCAGGAAAGTCTACAATCTCGAGCTCCTTGAACTAGGGCACATCTCGGCGGCACAAGCTCTCGAACGCCATGAGCTCGCGCTTCTAGCCTTCGCTGCGGTACAGCATGATGTGAAACGGAGTATGGTTGCCTCTGAAATTTTCATTCTTCTATTACGTCTCGGAGACACTGATTAACATAATAGAACAATGCATTTTACTTTCAAACCAAGAAATATAATTATCTTAGAGGACAAGGGGGGGGGGGGGGGGGGAAACTACTAAAAATTGCTTAATTGCGTTCGACCCCCAAAACACAACGAAGCAGACATAAACAAAGCATTGCATTGTAAAACGTCAACTAAGCAAGACCCCGAAAAACGAAAATGACCTTTACAAACGTTGTTTAAAACATACTAACGACACTTGTTGGCACAAATACGAATTAGCAACCGAGATATAAAACGAACAAAAAAAGAAACGTAGCTGGGTACGTAATAGTACTGCTATAGTAACTTACAGGATGAAAACGGCAGGAAGGTCGTTTAGTTGCCCCGCTTTCAGCGCGATCTTCGCTCCTTCGATAACACTTTAATGTCTCGTGAGCTTCGAGAATGCTTGCGCATTCCATAGCGCGCTGGTAGGCAACGAGGGCATGCTGGAGGTCGGGGCTTCTAAAGAAGGCGCCGTTTTGATCTTGTCAGTGACCATAGTTGACCTCAGTGCACACGTACAAAAACTAGGTTCCCAACAAACGTTTCAACAAACATTCTTGAAAATCTAACAATGAACACCATTGGCATGAGACATTTAATCTGGAGCGAGAAGAAGACGAGGGTCATGGGTGAATCGCGAGTCCGAAAGAACGAGCAGTCCGATAAACCGTTTAGCCCAAGCCGGTTGTGCTGCGATTCTTTCTCGACTTCAGTGTCATCAACGAATAGCGAAAGAGCGCAAAATAACACCATTTTTGGCGCATCTCTGAGAAATAAAAGACAAATGAACGAGCGTTTGAGGACGCCACTCACAGGACGGTGGCGAGCTTTGACCGGAACTCTTGGAGCCCGCACCGGTTTCCCTGGCGGCGACAAAAGAAAGCTCGTCTCAGGCTCTCTTTCGACCCCAGGACGTGCTCACCAACCACAACGTGTTGGAGGACTCTGTCTGACGAGAGGGGCCTGCACGTGCAATTCCGTTCATTGGATTATTCCACTCGAAGCGCTCGAAGGAGGGCGCCATGTGCGGGAATATGCGAGAGGCAGAGAGAACGTAGAATGGTAAGTTAGAAAGACTTTTAAACGGAACACGCAGGGTAGCGGAAGCCTGTTGGAGAAAACCGGACAAAGAATGTCCTGGGGCCCTAAGTTGGACAGCGGGACGAACGGACCTGGACATCGCCGTCCGCAACGAATGGTCGGCGCCGCGCCTGACGGGTGGCGACGTACCGCTCCTTTAGTTCCGTTGTTCAGTTTAGGACCCCTGGAAGGCCCCAGAATGGTGACGGACGCTTCGGGAACAGGCGGCTTTCAACAGACCGTTGCTTAATCAAACGTCGAGTTTGTGAAAAAAGAAGGAAAAAAAAAAAAAAACGATATCGCTTAAGCTTCTCGACGCTGTATCTAAAGATGAGGAAGTCGAAATTTCGAATCGTGATTATCGCCAATTGCGCTCGCCCTGCATCGAGCATCATGAGCCGTCCCAGATCATCGGCGACCGAAGTGCCGATACTCTCATTTCTTAAAGCGCGAAATTCTTTTTAATCGAACCTCCGAATCACACAATTTGGTCCGTCCTCCCGTCCGTCTCCGTGTTAATTTCCCCTCTAAATTAAGCGGGAAAAATTACTAACACGTGAACTGACGTCACGCGCACGTCCCGAAATCGGAAAGCGAACATTATAAGCCGCGCACTGCGTTTCTTGCTTCCTAATTTCTTCTTCGGCACTCTTATTGGCTAATGCCACAGCGTCATTGGTTGCGGAGTGATACTAAGGTGGTCAGAACCCTGCGTAAGCTGTCAGTCCCTATCGACCAACACCCTGTTTACAAACAAGCCCGAGTTTGCCCACACCGGGCACTGCGTGCGCGCAGAAACTAGAATAGCCAGAGGCGAAGCATCTGCGCATGCGCAGAGCCGACAGCAGCGCCACCGCAGCGGCGTGACGTCAGAGACATGAGCTGGTTTATGTAGACCAGTGTCTGCTCTGTTCCATAGGCGCCGCCATGTTTGTCTACGCTGATGCCATGGCACAGTAGGAGCGCTGCGCTTTTCGGGAGACTCCGTTCTTTTAGAAACCTTTACACGTACCGTAGTGCAAGAACGTCAGAAATGCACAGTCACGAAGCTCAAAGAACAACACCGATACCTAGAGTGCTGCAAAAAGCAAAGATATCGTTTGATGCTCAGCCCCTCTCTTCACAAGAGCCTGGATTATTCTTTCCCATTTTTTATCTCTCGGGGCAAACTTTTGGACACTGGAGTATAGGAAGAAGGGATAAGCACGACTCACGCTGGTTCCGGCGGCTGTCGGCGGTGAAGAACTGGGCCGTCGATTCGGTGCTGTTCGACACCGAGGGCGCCGAGTAGTTGGCGTGCGATTCCGCGAGCCTGAGCATCCTGGGCAGACGTAGGACGCCGTGGCTGCTGCCTGCGTCCGTCGACGAGGCTCCGGCAGTGGACGCGTAGCGCCCCGGGCCTCGTAGGGTGGTCATCGAGACGGGTTTGAGCAGAGCGGACCCTTCGGGGGTCGCCGGAGGAAGCCGAGGTCCAAACAGCGACAGCGGGTCCACGGCGAGTCCTTGGGCGAATGGGAAAAATGAACTGTTGTTCAGAAGTCAGCAGCGATGGAAACTGCTGACTGATGGAAACAAGATAATGCGTATTACGTAGCTTTCGGAGCTTGGAAAATGTACGTACATCCAGAAGCCATATCAGAATATGGTTCCTAAATGTATACGTATAAAAAAATGAAAGCCGTTTACAACTCCCTGTAACGCAGAATTAGAGCGCAGCTCTTGAGGAGCAGGAGGCAAGGGTATTGAGGGTCACCTGTTCTCGGGGGGGGGGGGGGGGGGGGGGGGGGGTCATGTTTACCTTGGGGGGCGGTGTCGCGTGACCCCCAGGTCACGTGACCCCCCAGAAAAATTTTTCTGCTAGATTTAGCGGGAAATTTTTCCGCTAGATGAATTTTTTCCGCTAGATTTAGCGGGGAAACTTTCCGCTAGATTTAGCGTGGAAGTTTTTACGGTAGATTTAGTGGGAAATTTTTTCACTAGATTTAGCGGGGAAATTTTTCCGCCCGATTTAGCGGGAAAATTTTTCCGCTAGAATTAGCGGGGAAATTTTTCCGCTAGATTTAGCGGGAAAATTTTCCGCTAGGTTTAGCGGGAAAATTTTCCGCTAGATTTAGCGGGGAAACTTTCCGCTAGATTTAGCGGGGAAACTTTCCGCTAGATTTAGCGAGGAAGTTTTTACGGTAGATTTAGCGGGAAAAGTTTTCCGCTAGAATTAGAGGGGGAAATTTTTCCGCTAGATTTAGTGGGCAAATTTTTCCGCTAAAATTAGCGGGGAAATGTTTCCGCTAGATTTAGCGAAGAAATTTTTCCGCCAGATTTAGCAGGCAAACTTTTCCGCTATATTTAGCGGGGAAATTGTTCCGCTAGATTTAGCGGGGAAATTTTTCCGCTACATTTAGCGGGGAAATCTTTCAGCTACATTTAGCGGGAAAACTTTTCCGCTAAATTCAGCGGGGAAATTTTTCCGCTAGATTCAGCGGGGAAATTTTTTCCGCTAGATTTAGCGGGGAAATGTTTCCGCTAGATTTAGAGGGAATTTTTCCGCTATATTTAGCGGAGAAATTTTTCCGCTAGATTAAGCGGGGAAATTTTTCCGCTAGATTTAGCGGGAAAATTTTCCCGCTAAATTTAGCGGGAAAATTTACCCACAATGCACCGCGCGGTTACGCCGCCGCTGACGGCGACGCCGACGCCGACGCCGACGGCAACGCCGCTCAAGCCGGAAACGGGCGCCTAAGAAAAAAAAAAGATTGGAATTGTATTTTGATTTGTCGATCAAACACTCGTGTGCAGAATCGCACTTTCCAAGACACGCAAGTGGCACTCGTGTGTTCGCTAGCCGTCTTCCTGGCACGGACCGTGGCTAGTCGTGCAAAACTATCGAAAAATTAACTTGCTGTACTTTAGATATTTCTTTTTTCTTCTTCTAACCATCGATAGTGTCAAAAACTATCGATAGTGGACTATTTATAGTAATATCGATAGTCCCCTTGATAGTATTATTGATAATTGACTATCGATAGTACTATGAATAGTGCAATCGGTAGTACTATCGATAGTTGGGTTTTGGTCGACTATCGATATTATCGAAGGTCAGTTTTCAGAACACTATCTAGCCTTAGGAAAATTAAAACTCTATTCAAAAAGGGAATGACGACGGACATGTACACGGGCAGACAACGCGTGGTTTTGGGAATAACATGAAATTGAAAGGAAGCAAAACATAGTGTCGCAGTCTCGTACAATTAATTTAGAGATATAAAACACAACTGGCGGTTTGCTACATGTCCTGCGTACATATTGTGTATAATCATGGGGTTCAGATATCGGGCTTTACACTTTAGTATGCCCGCTTTGTAAAACTATACAATATATTAGGTTTTTTTTTTTGAGTTAGGGAAGCCATTTACTGAAGACATTTAGTATCAGGGTTTCGACAAGTTTGTTTCAGGCTTGTGTTTCCTTCATTATTCAACTGACACACAGTCATTTTCATAGCCTTGACCACTGACAGGTGAAACTGAACACTCTGCTGGAATCATAATATTTTTTTCTCCTCATGACCTTTTATAGCGAATTCCCGACAATTGAGAATTAGCTGTTGACGAAATTGCTTAGGCTTGTATTCCGTGATATATTGCCACTTTTTGTTCGGTTCTATTTTGGCAAAGTTTAATAACGATGGCTAGAAAAATATTTACATGCTGGTATAATATTGCCGCGCGCCAAGTAGGCAGCGCGGCCGTAGCCTAACGGTTATCGCGCTTGCCTCCCACGCGAAGGGCCAGGGTTCGATTCCTGGCCGCGGCTATGCATTTTTGTTAACACTGTTATGTGATGTTCTGGTGAAATCGAGAACCGTCTAGCTGATTCAAGGTCAGAATGTTCTACGCGTCGAACCTTCTGCGTCGAATGCTCCAGAAGCCAACGTGTGTACAAAAGCGGCTCCGCGGGCAAGCCGGAGTCAGTTTTCGCCCCAGCGCTCGACTCTGCTGTCTCGCCGACCTCGACGCTCGCGACGCTTTGTTATTATTTTCTATTCTCTTTTTGTTTTGGCACAAGTTCGCCACATTAAACGTTTATTTCTCCCTGTTTATTTCCTGTTTTCTTTTGGTCACCACCCGTGACATTTTGGTGGAGGTGCGGGGTATCGCATGCCCGTGCAGCGTTCCCCTCCCAGGGCCCGCAGTGCAAGCCCGATTCCAAGCCCTGTGACAAGACCACTCAACCCGGAACCTGAAACTCGGACCAGTCGCCGCACCCAAGGTCTACACCCGGAATACGGACTTCTGCCACCCAGGACCAGGCAGCCTACGAGGCCGACGATGGACGACCAGCAATCGCAGTCCCCGACCGCCGCCGCCGTCGTCTACCTGCCTGTTGCCCAGCGAACCCCGACGACCTTCCATGGCGAGACCCACGAAGACGTAGAGGACTGGCTCCTGCACGACGAACGTGTAGCACGCCATAATGGATGGACCACTGAGCAGCGCCTCCAAAACCTCTACTTCTCCTTGGAGGGTACCGCGAGGCAGTGGTTCGAGAACCACGAGGCGTCGCTTACGTCGTGGGACACCTGTATCGCTGGCCTGAAGGAGACATTCACGAACCAGACACGACGACAGCGAACGGAAGACCTCCTTCAAGTACGAACTCAAGGGCCCAACGAAACGGTAACCAGCTTCGTTGAAGACGTCCTCCGCCTGAGCAGCCGCGCCGACCCTCAGTCCACCGAGGAAAAGAAGCTGCGTATCCTGATGCGCGGCGTGAAGGACGACATTTTCGGTGGCCTCGTACGCAACCCACCGACGACGATTCAAGAATTTGTAACCGAGGCGACGAACATTGAGCGTGCACTGCAAGCCCGAGCCAGCCACTACCAGAGGCTACCCGGCGTCAGCGGGGTTCCGCCGTCCGCTTGCGACCTTGGCTCCAGCATCTCCAGCATTCGTGAGATCATCCGGGACGTCGTCCGGGAGGAAATCTGCTACCCACCAGCCGGCTTCGGTGTCAATAGCCGAAGTTGTCCGCGACGAGGTTCAGCGGGCAATTCAACTGGAGGCTCCTGCCAACGTAGCTGCACCCGAGGAGCCTACCGTGACCTACGCCGCAGTGGCCCGACGGCCACCGCCTCCTCCTCGCGCCTATGTCGCGCCGCCCCGACGCCAGTCTCCTGCACCGCAGCACGACCGACGCCGCGACGACCAGCCCCAGTACGCCAGCCAGGAGCCCCGTGTACCCCGGAAGACCGATGTGTGGCGAACGGCCGACCGACGCCCGCTCTGCTACCACTGCGGGGAAGCCGACCATGTGTACCGCCGATGCCCATACCGACGACTCGGGCTGCGCGGATTCCACCCAAACGACCCGCGCCCCCGGTATGGTGAACGCCCTCGGGAGATCGACGAGTACCTGCGACGACCCCAGTCCCCCGAGCCTGCGTCCCGCCGAGAGTTCCGGTCGCCATCGCCCCGACGTCCAGCTTCGCCGATGCACCGACCCCGACGTGAAAGCCTGTCACCCCTCGTTCCTCACCGGGGAAACTAGGCGCGGCAACCCCTGGAGGTAAAGTTGCCGAAGACAACCGACGTAAAGAGCCTCCAAGAACGACGGAGCGCTCCCACTCTCCCGACCCCACGCATCACAACGACGCTCCTGCATCGGTGTCCAACAACCTGAACGTTGTGATCGACGGCCTCGACGCATCGGCACTCGTGGACACCGGAGCAGACTACTCAGTCTTGAGTGGGAGGCTCTCCCGCCGCCTTCGAAAAGTCATGACGCCGTGGGAAGGACCCCAAATACGAACCGCCGGAGGACATCTCATCACACCAGTCGGGAGATGCACTGCTCGCGTCGAGATCCACGGTGAAACGTGCCCAGTCAAGTTCGTCGTTCTGCAAGACTGTTACACTAAATGTAACAGATTTTGTTGTGCAGACTTCAAATTGAACATTACCAGATAAAAAGCTTATACCAAGAAACCATATAGTTACTGGTGCTTATAGTTTTTCCGTTCCTCAAATACAATAAGTTTGGGAACGTAACGTTAACTGGATTTGAAATAAATGATAAAAACAAAAATTTCTTGTGATCCAAGTAACTATATTGTTGGCAATGAGGCAGTGCTGGACAAAATACTCGATAAAAGTATTAAAGTTAAGTTACTAAATATCTGCGTCATAAAGTATTTAAAATACTACTCAAGTTACTTTCACTGTAAAGTATATTGAGTAGACTACAAATACTAAGAATTGTAATTAAGTTACTTTTGAAGATACTTCCACATTGCACCATTTGTATCGAGATCAGTGACAACGACAATTATACAGCTGCACAAATCTTGGTTACCAGAATGGTTTATTAGCACGCAACAACACAAAATGGAAAAAAAGTATCGTTGGGCTATTTTATGCAGTCCACCTATAAGGAGCAGGATATTGTCATGAATCAGAAATGATGAGGCGGCGAGTAAACTGAAGAAACTTAAAGTTTAATGAAGCGAACTTGTGCCCAAAACAAAGTAGAAAAGGGTAGCGCCGCAGGCGTCGATGACGGCGAAACAGCAGGATCGAGCGCTGGGCAGTGTTGTACGCGTTCCTCAAAAAAAGGAACGAAAGCTCGTTCCTCGTTCCTTCTGATTTTTGGAACGCGTTCCCGTTACAAGTTACATCTCTGAAAAAGGAACTCGTTCCCGTTACAGTTAAAAAATGGAACGTATCGTTACATATATACGTTACATTTGTGTTTTGCTAATTACTATATTTTGTTTCTTCAAGCAGAGTTTTTTGTTTGTTTTTATCGGTCCCATTAGTAGTCAACATACGAGTTTGTATGTCGTTATGGAAGGGCAACAGGAGAAGAAAACAAGCGGAAGCAGGGTTTCATTTGTTGATATATTCAAGTTAAAAATCTCAGCTTTTAACCAAATTCATGTTTGTAGTGGACGATTCAGACGAGCCGAATGTACTTTTACCCAACATTGTACGAGAGTTTTACAGCAACCTCACACGTTTCAATTGAGCGAAGTCCCTTGTTCGAACTTAAAAACAGTTGCTTCTCGATGTTGCCGTCCGCAAGACGAGCAAGTCGAGGAGAGGGTAGGGCTTTTGGAAGGATTCCGAGTCAAGAGGTCCAACGAGTCAAAAGATCCAGTGTTGGACCTTTTGACTCGTTGGATCTTTTGACTCGTTGGATCTCTTGACCAGAAGCGTTTTGGAAGGTCAGTCTTAAAAACCACAAATACTTTGTAAGGTTGGCTTTGTTGTTCATTTTGGAGGTGAGGGGGACAAAAGAAGAAATATATATATTCTTATTTAATCTTTTATGTGACCAATGGTCGGGACACAAGGGTGCGTTCGATGTCTGGCAGTCTGTGATCTTGTAACTGTAGGTCTCGTTATGGAAGCTCACAAGTGGCTGTAGTCGACCTTAGCTTTCTGGGTGCATGATGATTCGTGGAACCAAAGAAAGAAGCTGAGCTTGAAACAACCCTCTTTCTTTGTCTTTTTCTACGACTAAAAGCCTTGCTTTTTGTACCGCAGTTTCGGGCACTGAAAAAAGAATCAATGTCCACCAGCTCTCCTGCACCCGATAGTGTTAGCAAGCGAGGACCACACAAAAGAATCCACAATATTAGTAGCCAAAAAGGTAACGAGATCCTGCACTTCGTAGAGATATTGTTTTGGTACTTTCAAAATTCCCGGTTCGAAACAAAATAAAATTTACCCCACTGGACGAAAAAAAGGAACGCCGTTACTCTTTCCGTTCCAATAAAAATGTAACGCGTTCCCGTTCCAGTTCCAGCGATGCAAAATGGAACGGCGGCGTTCCTTCGTTCCTCCTAAAAGGAACGCGTTCCAGGAACGCCGTTCCTTGGAACGCCGTTCCGTACAACACTGGCGCTGGGACGAGGCTGACTCCGGACCGCCACTCGGAGCACTTTTTGTACCCGCGTGGGTTTCTGGAACATTCGGCGTAGAAAGTTCCGCGCGTAGAACATTTGTAACTCGATCAGACGACAAGGTTCTGGAACTTACGAGAATGTCAAGTTGAAAAAATGAAGGCCGTTTACAATTCCCTGTAACGCCGGTTAGAGCGCAGCTCTTGAGGAGGAAGATGGAAGCGTTCTGAGGGATAGGTGACTCCTTGAGGTCACGTGACCTCAAGGGGGTCACGTGACTTCAGGGGGTCACGTGACCTCAGGGGGTCACGTGAACTAAGGGGTCACGTGACCAGGGGGTTACGTGACCTTAGGGGGTCACGTGACCTCAACGGGGTCACGTGACTTCAGGGGATCACGTGACGTCAGGGGGTCACGTGACTTCTGGGGGTCACGTGACCTAGGGGTGTCACGTGACCTGGGTGGGTCACGTGACCCCCTTAGGTCACGTGATCCCCAGAAGTGACTTCAGGGGGTCACGTGACCTCGGGGGTCACGAGACCTAAAGGGGTCACGACCTTAGGGGGGGTCACGTGACTTCAGGGGGTCACGAGACCTTAGGGGGGTCACGTGACCTCAACGGGGTCACGTGACTTCAGAAATCACGTGACCTCGGGGGGTCACGTGACCTGGGTGGGTCACGTGACCCCCTTAGGTCACGTGACCCCCTGAGGTCACGTGATCCCCAGAAGTCATGTGACTTCAGGGGGTGTCACGTGACCTGGGTGGGTCACGTGACCTCGGGGGGGGGGGGGGTCACGTGACCTCGCGGTTACGCCAATGGCGACGCCGACGCCGCTCAAGTTGGAGACGGGCCCCTAAGAGCTGCGCTCTAAAAATAAAAGAAGAGGAGTCCTCTCCCTCGTATCGAACCCGGAGCCTCCGCGCGAGAACCTCCGCGCGACAAGCGCGGTAAGCATTCGGCCTCGCGCTCGCTGGGAATATCACAGATAGACGTTGCAAAACATTTCTGGGACAACAAGAAAGAGGTCGCTTTAGCTATTTGGGAGGAGATCAGACCGTGGCGCCTCAAGCGGTTAACTTTAGAGCTACATGGATGGGGACAACAAATACAACGACTCAGCACTGGAGTTCGTGTTCTCCGGTGAGGGGGAGGAGGGGCCCTTTTGTTAACACTCCAGCCTGCATGAACAATGCAGCATGCACGGTGCCCAGCTCAGCACAAAAGCCCAAGTTAATCAAGCTCGCGTCCTCTGATGACTGCTTTCGGGAATGATCCGGCACTTAACGTCACTTCACTAATTGTTGGCATTTTTGCATTACACTGTGCCCCGCGCTCTATTAAAACAAAAAAACGAAGACATGAGCATGCCCACTAGGCCTGTGGGCATGTGCACAGGCATTGTGTTGGGTAAACATCAAGGTGTGGGGGTGACAAACGGGTCAGAGCGCCTCGCCAATAGTGACATCGCTTAATGTCACGTCCTGCGGCGTAGCTTAGACGCATCGTTTAACTACCATTCATATTCTCCAGGGATGGACAGTATTTCAAATACAAGTATTTGAAATACGTATTTCAAATACTTTGTGTATTTTGAATTTATGTTTATTTACAAATTTGGTAATGTATTTGACGTGTGTATTTAAATACTAAAACGTGGGTATTTCAAATACAATTGTAATTAAATACAATTTTGTGGGCGAAAATACATCCCTCAAATTTATTGTCACGACTCATTTTGCTCATCCTAAGACGTGTCCAGAGCAGGAAGAAAACTACGTTCTGCACCGAATGCAGTGTCTCTCAAACAAGCACAAGCGTTCAGTGACTTTGTGATTACGGTGCTAGTCCAGGGCAAGAATAGTGACGAAATCGACGTTCACAGGCAGACTGGCTAAATAAGTGCCTGTGACAACTTGTGATGCTTTCCAGCCTGACTTCCATCCATATTTTTGCCTGGAAAATGCGCGGGTCGTCCAGATTTTCGTAACTGGTGCGAGTTGCAACAACAAAAAATTCTCTAGCTAGTGCTGCGCGTCTTGGTCGTCTCAGTTAAAAAGCTGCTTGAAGCTCTGTAGTTTTTTCACCTATTACGTCCAAGCTGATTGCATTTTTTGTGATTATATTTCTATTACGTTACTAGAGCCTCGCACACTAACTCCCGAGTGTGCGAGGCAAAATTAAAATGAGATACCCAGAAACCCGTTGCAGGTGCCCTGAAGTCACTGACGTAAATTCGGAGGAATGTATTTGGAAAAGTATTTGGAGGAGTCCAAATACATTTGGTGTTATTTGTATCTTGTACTTAAATGCTTTTTTTGGAAATGTAATTAGATTTGTAATTAAATACATTTTTGACGAAGTATTTTGTATTTGTATTTCCATACATATTTGCATGTATTTTGCCCATCTCTGATATTCCCTATATGGGGAGTTCACTATAAATGAACTTATGAGTGACTGGATAACAAAAAGCCACGGCAGTGGTCGCACCTTCTATTAGGTTGCGTTCAGAAAGACACTCAACGTTGGGGGACGCTTTGTTGGCATCCTTAGAGGTCATCCAGCTCGTAGTTCGTTTCCTGTCCAGTTCTCTGCTTATCAATGTTCGTTTACAGACAGTGTTCGCGAGAGCAATAGGTGGCGGAGTGACGAGGAAAAGAAAAGAAACTAAGAAAACCTCGACGTTTTGCCCTAGCGGGGTCAAATATTCAAAAAGCAAAACAAAAATGTCTTTTTGTGTGTGTGTGTGTGTGTGTCCACTTCTTATTTTCTTCCATTTGTTATTTTCTTGACACTCAAGTCTGCATTGTTGTCGTACGTCGTTTCCCGGTCTGCGTTGCGATTCAGGGTGGCATCTTTGCTTCCCTACAACCACACCTTTTGCTTGGGGATTTTTTGGGGGGAAACTCTATGGAAACAAAAGGTGCCTTTGGGAAGGCGAGGGGAAAACCTTCATTGTACGAACTTTGGGCTGTAATAGGAGTCACAATCGGCGAAAAAGCGATGTTTTCCCGAGCTCAATTTAAGTCATTGGAGCTTATCGGAGCTAGCAAGAGGATTTGGTTGCTCGAAAGAATGTTTGCGTTTGCTCGTGCCATGCCCACGCCACTTCATACCAAAAAACTCAGAAAATGGCGGAATGTCAAAAATGTATTTGAGATAATGAGTACAAGATACTCGGAACTGTAATTAAAATAGAGTATCAAATACTCTCGATCAAAGGTACTTACAAAGTACCAAAGTACTTTAAAAAGTATTTGAAATGCAGCATCCTGAGTATTTGAGACAGGCACAAGTCTGATCTAAACTAAATAAGGTTTTGTATTATTTTTTTTCTTGCACGCAAAATTGTTTATTTTAGTATATGGTGTGAATATTGCCTAGCTAGCTGGGCACGCTGAAAAGACGAAAACATAACAAGGTGACATGTTAGCACACCTTGAGAGCAACCCTTTAAACTGGTTACTGATGCGAATGCGGGAGAATGTCCCACTCACCTACGGCTTGTGATCTCAGTAGACTGAGCATTGTGGCGGCCTTTTTCCGCGGTGGCAGTGTGTTCAGCTGGGCCACCAAGTCAGGCAGGATCATTTCCTGTGGTGCCAGTGACCAGTCCCGTCAACAACCACCGCTAATATATACAGACTGTCCCAAAAACAAATTACTTTTTTTTTTTGTCAAAGCTAAAATATGCATTACTGAACGCTCGTTATCCGCCCAAATGTAGCCCTAGCGGCATGAATAAAGTGCCAAAATTTTATGACTAACCGATATCTAACTCGAAAGTGGCGAAGGATTGTCGGAACATAAAATGCAGTACCTAGACACAGGCCGAATACAGGGAGCGTGCGAATTCAGGGCGATCCCACATGCCACTCATTGCATAGGAAAAAAAAGGAACAAAAATAAAGTTTTCGAAGCTTACGTATTATAAGTAATTTAGTCAAACATTCACTAAACTCATGCTTTTACCGTGCCTGCTGCTGTGCGCTCGCGCTTGCAGAGAACAAGCGATGTTCGAGGCAACAATCTTACGCTTTTCTAGCATTGCCGTCGCAACCAAGCACTGCCCAGATCGCATTAAATGTTGACGCCTGCACCATCTATATTGTGACGTGCTTAATTGATGAAAGAGGACATTTTTAACGTTTGTATATGTCAACGCTATCATATTCACTACTCTCAATTGTCACCAGAGCTACGGGGGAAAAAAAAGGAAGAATTACTTTCGTAGAAGCTCAGCCAAGAATGTGGGCGTGAAGTCGAGACTGTACAAAAATCTGACTTCAGCGTACTTCTCCGTGTACTGGAAGAAGTTTGTTTTCCTGCTTCTAGTCTCCCTTTTTTTTTAAGTATCAACTGTTGCAACGTAACATCTGTAGCTCCGCCCCTAAAATCTCGGGGAAAAAAAAAGCTCAATATGTATTTGGCGCTACAAACTTGGACACTGCGAAATGCGCTTTTAGTGCCACACAAAATTACTTAGAAAATACTGCATAATCTATGAAACCGTTAATTTGTTAGCGTTTTGCCAGTAGAAGGCCACTGCTGGTACAGCGACTATTTTTTGTGTGAGCTGAGCTTTGCTTTCTATGCGACGAGAGAGTAGTCAAATGATCCCTAGGAAACAGTGACTAAACAAACATTCATGTGTTTACACCTGCAGAAGCTGCGGGAAGAACGCCATTGGCGGAAGCAGTAGCTTTGACAGTGCGATAGCAATCTGATGAGCGCACGCTGTTAGTAACAGCTCACCATGCATCAACGCACGTTGATGTTGATGGCGATGGAGTACTCCCTCTGACGCTTGGCACTCAATATACATTCACTAACGAAATTTTGTCTGCCGTTTTGTCATCATGATCTGGCTGGCGCATGCCGGATGCGAGCACTCCAAGGGTTCACATGAAACTTAGATGCGTACAGGGGCTCTGGCAGCGAGGGGGCAATGGGGCCGTCGCCCCCACAGGTACCAAACCAGTGGGGGCATGACCCCACACTCAAAGCTCTCCCACCACCCCTCAGGCTATTGGATGTTGAAGATCCACTACTCCTTCCTCCATATACCGGGTGTTTTTACGAAGACTTTCAAAAATCCGAATAATTAGGGCGTTTGAAAGAAAAAAAACTCTCTTCGGGAACAAACTATACCAGCCATGGCAGATGTCAGGAATTGCCAAAAACGTACTGATTAACCAGCTAATTAATTAAAATGTGTTAATCAACTTTTTAATTAGTGGAAATAGACATATGATTCCAATTATAAAGTGGCTGAGCGTTATCGAAAACCACTAAATCAGTCATTTTCAGAAAGACTTTGAGCGCGTGAGAAGAGTAGTAGCGCACTAAAGTTACCCCTCGTGGAGCAGTATATTTACACAAGTCGCGGTTGCGGTAAGGCGCCCGCACGATTTTTGTGTATATATATATATATATATATATATATATATATATATATATATATATATATATAGAGAGAGAGAGAGAGAGAGAGAGAGAGAGAGATAGAAATAGAAGTGAGCTACTAAATGCGACATGAGCCCCTAGACGTCGGCCCCACACATCAGGTATACTTCCAGAGCCCCTGAATACGTAGTACATAGAAACTTCAAAGTCACGTCACACTGAGATCGTGCAACGAAATGACGCATTAAGGTCGTGTTAAAACCCCATATAGGGAGTATTCACTGTACGCCATATTTAAGGGCTCTGTTTAGAGCGCATGCTCAAAACGATCTGACAATTATAGGTTGATAAGACCGGCAATCTTAATGGCGTGGAATGCACGTTGCAAAAGAACTGTGGAAGCTTAACATCAGCACGTGCTGAGCATTCGTGCACAGAGCTATGGCCGCCAGTGAATGCATGAGGAAGTCATGGGTGTCAACGCGAGGCTGATGTGACTGTTGAGACGGTGTTAGTATTGGGTTATATGGAACCTGAGAAAACGTTTTACAAATTCTGAACAAGCGGTGGCAACGCTGTGTTACTTTGATGTATTAACTGTAGTGTCACAGCCGGTCTAGATTTGAGTGTTTCTTTTTTATACGGCCTTTTCCGTCGCAGGAAAAAGCATGCGCACAATTTAGCGTGGGGGCGCTACTACCCAACTATTCGCAGGGTACCTACATATCTGTCATGTCTCAGGGTGAAGACATTCATGTTACCCTTAGTGTGCCAGCACGTCACGCTCTGGCGCACTCGGTGCATGACTTTGGTGGTAAAATGGCGTCTATGAATTAGCCAAAGCTACGCGCTCGAGCTGAGTGACACCGGATTGCGCGCACTTCAAAATGCATAAAAAAACGATGGGGCGAAAAAATGGCTGAGATGTCACCACTCAAGCAGAAGCGCGCGTGTGTATGAAGGCACTCTAAGGGCTCATTCACACTGGAAGCGGATCCGCGTTCGCAAAGCGGTTGCGAACGCTCTTGTATAAGGATTCAGTACAATTGCACGCGCACACGATGACATCAAATGCGCGTGCAATTGCACTGGATCTTTATACAACCGCTTTCGCAACCGCTTCGCGAACGCGGATCCGCTTCCAGTGTGAATGGGGGGTAAATATTCTTGCTGTTTTACACTACAGGCCGCTCAATGGGTTCTGTCTCGCGCGTTCCAGTGTTTTAGCGGTGTGTGCCCGAACAACAAATCGACATCACGGAAGACGTCTCACGTGTTTTTCAGCGACGATGAACCTCGAAACACTGCATGGAAGACGAGGATACTAAATGAGAACCTTGTTGTGATTGATAGACTCCCATCTACGGTTGTATGCAGCGGACATTCGAAACCGGAGGTTTATGTGTCGGGGTACCGCATTATAGAACCTAGTCCCTAGAGCCGTGTCCACAGTGTCTTCAAAAAAACTATTGCCTGCATCCAAGAAAGCTCAAAGAGAACCCGTTTTGAAGCAGTCGACATCTGCGCCAAGAAGCAGAAAGCAGAAGGGGTTGGCTCCTCAAGCAGATTGTGAAGAGATTGAGTAAGGTGAACCAAACGGGCTCTCAAGCATGCGGTCCCGTACCTTAGACCGAATAGTCGCATGGAGCTGTCCCCGAGTACAGTAGACACCTCCTACGACCACGCGGGGGCGCTGTTCTCTACCACCCAGTGGAGCTTCCAGTCAAGTATGTGGCAGTGCCGAATTGCAAATTTGCAACCATAGAGGCCGTCTTGCCTCATAAGAGAGGCCCTAAGACAGCGAGCGCGAATTCAGTACGACTGTGGATGTATCTACGAGCGGCTACTCGCAGCAAAGGCAGAAAAAACTTAAAAATAGAAGCAACTTTTTTTTTTCGAGATTTGCATAGTTTTTTCTTCTTTTTTTGTATTTAAATACAATAATTCTATATCAGAACTAAACCGCATACCTTGAGCTGTTCAAGTAGTGTCATGGCTGCCCGGGCGGTCGACAGGAACGCCTACGTGAAGAACCCTTGGACAGAGAGGCGTGCGGGAGCCACTGCGGAGTCTACTGACCAGCAGCTCTCGCAGAAGAACCGACCGTCGCGCCCTCTGGCCGGAATCATCCGTGTTCCACGAGGTTTCCAATTCCTGAACCCCCGCAGTCAAGCTGTTGAGGTTCTCGCGGTCTTTGTTACAGGTCGGTCGGTTACAGCCAGAAATCGACTTCACAATCAACGGAGAGTTGAATGGGATTAGTACTGCAGCCCCAAGGTGTAAGTACGTTCAGTGATACTCTACACAACAGAGTCCCAGTGAAGGGGCTAAGAACGTTGGAATATGTTGTCTAAGCCTACGGTATATGGTAGAAGAGGAGTTTGCAACACTTTAAAGCAGGGGTGCACAACAAGCGGCTCGCGGGCCGCATCCGGCGCGCGGGCACTTTCTGTGCGGCACGCGGACATGACACTGCGAGATGTGCTCAAGACGGCGACCAGTGCGATGATGCCAGATATTGAAAACCTGTCTGCCAGTTATTAAAAGCCTGCGTAGTTCTCAATAAACCTTTTTTTCTTTTTTTTTTTTTTTGCCCGCGTCATTTTTGAGTTGTGCAGCCCTGCTTTAAAGGGTAAAAGCGCTAAAAAAAGCCGGACAAGTAAAAGAAACGAACAACACAGAGCGCTACTTGCAACAAAGGCTTCTGCGGGTTTTCACCCTCGGAAACCTTTGTTGCGACCTTTGAAACAACTTATTTCAGAGGGTTTTTACCCTCGGAAATATGGATCACCGACTAGCCCAAGTACGTACCCTTCTGCTCTAAAGGGTTTCAGGAGTTTTGTATTGTCGTTTCTTCCAGCTATCTTACAGAATCTTGAGACTACTATACTCCGTCTCACCTTATGTCCGAGCGCAGCGGCTGCTACGAGCCATTGTAGACAATCCAAGGTCGTGTGCGTGTCACGTGAGCTTGGAGGGGGGGCACAGCAACGCGCGGAAAGCGTATCACAGGCTACGTGCACAGAACGGGATTGGCTAGAATAGCTCGTAGCGTCCGCTGCGTCCGGACGTAAGGTGAAACGGAGTATAGAATATATTTATACTTCAGAATAGCGTACATTACACCTCGATGCCCTTCAAGGTGTTTCTTATATATGACGGGCATGCCTGTGAATACTTGAAACCCTTCAGTCGCAGCCATAGGTTAACAACTCCGCTATCAGCCCAAATCAGCCACTCTGGTGGCCAGAGTTTACGAGTCGTTAAACATAAGTTTCGTGGGTTGATGTATTGACCCAAATAGAGCGCTGTATATCGCCGGTCCTCACCCGAATACCACAGGCCAGCTGCTCGTACAACAGACCAGCGTCCTGCAATTTGGCGCTGACCAGCGCCAGTGTGGGACCTATGTAACGCCTGTCCCAGATCTGCGAACAGAAGCACCAGCACGAATATATTATACTCGATGAAATAACTATCCATGCTTAATCCCGTATTACCCGAGCAGCAGTGCTCACGTGATAGGCTCGGCGGCCGACCATTTGGCGGAGCACAGCTTCCTCGAGTTGGGCCACCCAAATGTCGCGTTCTCGCTTACTGGAAGCTGCCGGGGAATTCTATCATAGACCTCGACCGACTCGGGCCTGGACAGAGTTAAGGGTTGGCCAACCCGGTGCTTACCTTGAAAGAGGTACTCTTTGCCTTCCGAGATGATGGAGAAGCCGCACTTTTCTTCGGGATCCTTTGTTACTATGGCACCCTGTTCAGCGATAGCGCCTCGTGATGAGCTCATGAAAGGCACGGGTGACCAACAGAACCCGTTTCGAGGTAGACTGTGTACGTTAGTAAGTTTACGTGCGAAACGTGACCCTTTATTTTTTTTTATTTTTTTTTTGCTACACGAAACTCGCCGTTCTAGGAAGGTGATAAGTGTAATTTTGCAGCTGACAGTTATAGAGAGCATTAGCTTATTATCCTTTTGTGAAAGTGGTAACCATCAAAGCATCTGTTAAATAAACAGAAGGAAAAGCTATACCGCAGGTTATAAATCGCCATGCAAAGATGTTTTTATACGTCAGCCCGCACGTTTGTTAAGCGTCAGCTCGATGACACCTCCAACATCTCTCTCGCGCTGCGCATTAGAGAGAAGAATCATTTTAAGGGGAAAGTTCTGTATGTCTAATCATTCAATTGGTCTTCAAAGTCCTTGAGCGAAAACACGTCGGCGACACGGAAAGTACCAAAGCAAATGGTAGCAATGAAACGGCGCCAAAAGTGGGTCTTCAGAGAGCATGCTGTCTTCGGAGGTTCGCTATCACGTTTGCATCGGCGCTTGGGCTTTCTCCTTCAAGTCATCTTAGAGATAACATAAGAGATCCTGTGAATTTTTATTTATAGACACGAAGACGCCAACCTGCACTTAGAGCTGATGGTGTGAAATTGATTCCGAGAAAGCTCGCCTTCTGCACGCGCTGTACTCTATTCGCGGTGAGAAGCTCGCTATGGGCGCTTCTGTTTTCTTAAGGGTAGAGCACGTGCTACTCACGCGGTTATGAATTTCCACAGTGCATAGAAGCTTGGCATTGCACGTGCTTGCACCAGCGAAGGAAGTTGAAGCATCCTCACTCTGGGTTGTGGATCCTCCATTCTGGGCGATACCCAAACTTCTCGCCGCGAATTCCACTTTTAGCATACAGTACAACAACGTGTCTTGAGGTTACAGCGCTGTAACCTCAAGATGAATCATCAACTAGCCCAAGCTTCCGTATTGACATCAATGTGAAAGGTGCTGGCGCGAGCAATAAAGCACTTGATATGCACACGTTCTCGTGCAAATGAGACGCCAGATGAAACCACGCGACTATTCACTGGACCATATTTGAGGGCGATGTTTTGAGCGCATGCTGAGAACCACCTCACAATAATAGCCTGCTAAGACCGGCAGTCTGGATGGTGCGGATTGCACGTTGCGAAAGAACTGCGGAAGCTCGCCGTCGGCACGCGCTCAGCAGTCATGGATAAAGCTATGACCGCCAGTGAATATTCCTCTATTTATGGCTTCCACTGACGTTACACTCCACAGTGGCAGCGGTGCGCAGTTGTGACTTTGCTGCTGATCGCGTGCCATTTGTAGCACACAATTCGCAACGCCTACTGTTTTTCTCGGCGAGAACAAGTAGGAACGACGACCACAAGCATGGTGCTCTGACAGGTGGATGGAATCATGTCAATGAAACCACCCCACACACTGCAAACCATACTTGCCAGCAAGCTGATGCCGCTGAACCTTGCCAGGAATCCCAGCCGGCGACGTCTCTGCGAGTGAGACTGTACGACCCACACGGAGATAGGAATCAGCCGCGGCCTAATGGGATGCATCCCGTCAACCGACGACGCCGCAGGGCAAATAGGCTTACCTTGAAGCGGAACAGCATACCCATCCTCTCGTCCAAGATCACCCAGCAGTAATGCCAGCCGGTTATGCCGTTGGTCCACACGCTGAGCGGACCCTCCATGCTTTGGCCCTGACGGGTGGCCAGTCCGCCGGTGGTTGCCTGGACAGGAAGGCGGCCTCCGGACGCCCACGTCCCTGAAGAGACGTGGGCTGGTGGACTATGGCGGCGATCGCAGCGTCACTGTCGGTCGTAAGCTCGCACGTGACTGTATTGTGCACGCCAGTACACTTATTACAAGGAAATCAGTTGGATGTCCTTTGGAATTGTGGGCCGCGACTTCCTCTAGACTCTATAGGTATGGTGGGCCATGACCTCTATAGAGGAGGTCGTGTGGCAAAGTGGGTGGGTTAGCCCAAGATAGTGTCACTGGATTCTGAGGAAGTAGCTCCATTGCCTTCCCTTCCTGCCATACAGACGTACAGACATACACATACATACAGACGACAAACATACAGACGACAAAATCACGCAAGGTGATTAGCTGATCGGTCTCAGTGGCCATGGCAATCGCCATTTCGGTCCACCCAAATCTTCGAAACTCCGAAAGGGTCGTTCTGAACCAATCGCGCCAAGATCGCTATGGAGCATCATCGTACTGAAAGCGTTCCTCGGCTAAAATGAGCGTCTTTGGCACTGTACGTGTAATCAACTTATAAATCGTGCTTCTCTCCGTATATTTCTTACAATGATATTGCTCTTTTTACGTATTTCAAGACAAAAGAAAATTGTTTTTCATTGTCTCCAAAAGCACCGACGCCGCATGAGATGGCGGTACGAAGATGTGCGCTTGTTTCGCCGGTGTGTAAGCCGATTTTCTCGGTATGCACGAAGCGTCTTTATAAAGCTACCCGTCACCAGAGAATTTAGATCGGCTCACTAGAAATGGAGTGGCGAAGAAGATATTGTTCATTCTATGAACCAGAATGGCGTTTATATGGAAACCTGAGCGCTACTTTCCCAGAATCTAGATACTTTAGGCTACCATACCCAAGGATGCGCCAGTAGCTCAAGGACAGCAACTCTTGCGCCGTTTTTCTTTTATGTAAACAGAAAACAGAAAGGTGGGGATGGCATTCTGGTGCTACTATATTACGGGGACAATAAGTGAGTGCACTGGTAAAATGGGTATTTTCCTTTTTGTTTTCATTTTCTCTTCCTTTCTCCTGACTTTCAAGTTGAAAATCCCGCAGTGGAAATTAAAAAAAAAATAATAATAAAATTACGGATTTATGAATTTTGGTTATTGTCAGTCACGGGGGGGGGGGGGGGGGGGGGGGGTGCAGTTATTGCGCTGTTATTGATGCCAGTAATTCAAGGATTTATTTATTCGACTTCGTGTTTTCTTGGCTGTGAAGAGTGGTCAAAATAAAAACAAGAAAAAGAAAGAGGAAGAACAGGGAGACCGGGGGGACTTTAAAGGCCTACAACAACCATGGACTTCTTCACTCCTCTTGGACTGGACGTAAGGACCCCACCTTAGCCTTTTTAACGTTTGATTCTATATTTGACGTCTCGTAGATCTGGGTAGTAATATCTCGTCTAATGGATAACGATCCTAAGCGACTACCAGTATCTGGTCTTGAAAAAAATCGCAGGTTTGGTTTTAAATACCTTATATCTAAATTACGAAAAGATAAATACTATTCGAGTGATAAAAAAAAACCCGACATATAGATGCTTTTTTCTTCCATAAAAAAAAACAATTTATTGGGGCTATTTACTGGCTGTCGTGCTTGGGCCCTCTGCTGCACCACGCATCTGCAGAACGAGCTCATGCATATCGCCTGTCAAGAACATGAACGTTGACGGTGTGAATTACACGAGGCAAACATGTTGTAAGAGTTCGCTGTGAGCACGCGCTCATCAATAGTGTACATTAAAAAAAAAATCCAGAGCGTCTAATTTTTTGCAAAGCACCTGAGTGAGTCAATCGCTGCAATCTACGGAGACACATACACATGAGAAGCATGGATAGTCCTTAACATCTCATTATTGCTCTTAAGCCAATGAGGTTTCAGCACATTCCTCGATAAAAAGACGAATCACGAAGCGTGAACTTAATTAAGCCCTGCATTTTTTTTTAGCTGTTCATGGCTAAAGTGACTTAAAGCTTAAGAAACGACGGTTGTGGTTTATTGTGTTCACGCCTCGTCTTTAGAAATCTTATCGCCTAATGCCGCAATCTCATTGGCTGAAGAGCGATAATAAGATGCTAATGACTATCCGCACCCTGCGGTTATTGAGCGGTTAGTGACTCGATAGCTTTCTACTTTTGGGCGCTCTCGTGCAAATGAGCCGCTGGATAACGTAACGCGCTCGCGCGGGCCGCCTTGACAACGCTCTACATTATGTTTCAGTGCACCTCAAACTTAAGGCCCCCGCCTGGTTACCAAGATATAGATCCACTGCAGGCCACTCGAAGCTGAATTGGTCACTGCAGTGGCTGGCTAGTCTCCCTCACGCTGGGTTGGGATCGGGGAGTCAAAACTTTTACCATGTAGTTGGACCGTCTAGGTCCAAGAGCACAAATCATGCTCAAAACTAATAATCTCGTGGCGGCGTTAAACTTTGGGGAGCAGTGTACGTTTGAAAGCGAGTATGCACTGTTTTGCCATTTTTGAAAGTCCAGGCTGACGACGCTTTAGGACACATTTTTCTTTGCGCAGAGCAGCAAGAGGAACATTCGGGGGAGTCTGAGGAAGGTGAGGACTTTCACGAAACTTCAAACCAAATTGTTTACCAGAAAAATATATGTTACTCCGCGCATATGCGTTAGACAACGTGCCTAATACACACTCCCCTGGCGGTAAGAACAGCCTCCTTCCGAGAGAACACATACGGATCAGCGCTGTCCACGCTGTTGCGCTGCGACGACGGCGAGGGCTGCCAACGACGCAACGAGATACCGAATTCGTCAAGACAGCAGAGACGGCTGTCTCCGCTCACTCGAAGGCTGTCCACGACGATAGACGGCGGCAGCCACCCCTCCCAAATCAAAGGGAAAGACCCCGAGGCTGCATCCGTCCAGTCGTTCCAACGACGCAAAAGCCCTTCGATTCAAGGCCAATAGATGTTCGTGGAATAACACGTATTCCCTAGTAAGGTATTTGTTTTTACTTAGCTCTTTCTGGTTGGCCAGATACACACTAAAAAAAAAGAACAATTCGTTATGTGGCACTCTAGATTTTGCACCTTTAGGGGTATTCGACGTGTCAGTGATGGCAGGTGCAAAGGTAGGGTTCTTCGGTGAAAGGAGAGGAGGAAACGAGAGCGTGCGGCGACCTCGGGGCATCAAGCCCTGATAGGGATGATAGTGGGTAGACCCAAAGGCTTGCTGCCTTTTTCTCTATCCACTGTCTCCCTCCAATCAGAGCGAACAAGAACATATACCATCTGCTCCTCGCGCAGGGTCTGGTGCTCGGCGTCTACCCACACTCTAAAAAAAGACCGTGCGTCTACTTTGCCACACAACACTTAGGGAGCCAATCACCACAACTTATGGAGGCAGCTCAAGGAATGGCGATGCCGAAACATACGTTTAGACCAAAAAGCGCAATCTGAGTTCTGACATTAAGCAATGCAAAACGTCACGCTTGCATTGCTTAATGACTGCACTTTTTGGTCTAAACATATGTTTCGGTATCTTGATTCGCTGAGCCACCTCCGTAAGCTGTGGTGATTGGCTCTCCGATTGTTGTGCGGAAAAGTAGACGCACGGGCTTTTTTTAGAGTGCATTATCTGTCCAATGAAAGCTTGGCACTCTGACGTTGCCGCACGCTCTAATCTCCTCCTCTCCCTCAGTTTCTCTCCGTATAAGGGTCCTTTGACACAGACAGTGTCCGACTGTACGTTTTGTCTTCCAGCGTGCAATATTGGGCCACGTGTCGGTTGTTTTGAAATACAAAACGGCGTTCATTTAAGGTAAACTGGTAATGTCTGAGCCGTGAAAATCACCGGCCAATGCTAAGCACTAGAAAATTTTGTGGTGATAAGCCTAATGCTGAACTAATACTTAATTACTAAACAAATGTTACTACACAAATACTCATCCTCTAAACACGTCCCCTGATGACTAATAGAAAAGATCAAGTTGCAGGAAACGCCCTCCCCCTCCCCCACCCTAAAAAAAGAAAAAGAAAGAAAACAGTTAACTATGTCCAATAGACCCTTCCCGAAATTCAGTGACATTTGGTGGCTATAATGGTAGTTTAACATTTGCCGTACTAATGGCGGCAATGAAAATGGACTCTGCCTTATTTTATCGGGTACCGTCACTTTGCCAAGTCAACGGCAAACGACAGCGTGTGCTTCACAGTACATTTCCTTCTCAATCTCTTTCAGTGACGACAGAAACAAAGATGCAACCAGTCAGAACGAAGCGTCAACCCACATACACGGCTTGATAAAGTTCTACAAACCAAAGGGCTTTAGAGCACTTTGATGCTACCAATAGATTGGCTGGGCCCGAGCTAGAAATGAACGCTTACACAAATCTTGCTTCCAATTTCTGCTTCGCATCGTGCTAACGTCACGAATGTATAAACCTCGAATTATCGGCTAAGGAGCATCTTCAACTTCTTCGTTCATCAGTAAACATAAGGCCGCCATTAGTACGGCACATATGCCATTTTTCCGATGATGACGGTGATCAAAGTGGCCAGATGAATTTCGGAAAGGGTCTATTGTCGCCGGCCAAAATTACTAATTTAGAAACTATAAATTAAAAAAAAAAGTGTTAGCATTGGTTCTTTCTCACCCCTTTCCATTTGTTTAGGACCCCTTGCCATTCATTTTACCCCGATTTCCTGCCACTTATTATCCCTTTCCATTCGTTTATGACCCCTTTCGAATCGTTTATCACCGCTTTCCTGTCGTTTATTATCCCTCTTCATTCGTTTATGACCACTTTCGAATCGTTCATGAACCAGTTTTCAATCTTTTTTTTACCCCCTCAATCACTCGTGGAAAGAACTACATCCCTCTCCGGGGCGGCAACTCCGTTGGGCCGCATTCCAAAGCGGCGCGGCGCATGCTCGTCTCTGGCTCCGCGCCAGCTATGCGACGCTCGTATTGGCCCGAAGGGATGACGTCAGCACGCGTCACCCTTTCCCT